AGGAAAGAAGAATAATAATAGTTAATCAGAGATAGACAGATAGGCGGATAATGGGTCAAGCCAGGACTAGTGGGTTATTTCTGGTGGTGGTGGGGAACTTTGGTGGGTAACTAAATCATTGACTGAAGGTTGAATATTATTCTTGATATCCATGATTAAGTAGGTAATTATGATTGTAATCATATGGTAAATAATTATTGTACAGCTCAACAGTCGACATTTCATAGCTCATCACTTTATCCAATATATGATAGTACCAGTTGTATTATTTTGCATTTGTATTCATTTCAAAGTTTTCATCTTTCAGCTGGTGCCCAAGAGGTTATCCCTTCAGCCGATTGTCCGGACTGATTGTGTCTCGGACTCTTTGGGCTCTTGGTTAAAACTGGCAGTGGTTCGTTATTGGGCTTGGTTGAGGAGTTTGGGTTTGGTAAAGTAAAGAGTCAGAGGGTTGTAAATTATGTAAGGTACGGTAAGTTTTCTCAATATGCACTTGCTGGACGGAATGGCATGGTAATATACAGTTAGCCATGCCATGGGTCCAATGGTGTTGGCCTATATGATGCTCCATAACTTGGACAATACCTTAATCTACTTGGAATGATCATAGGAGCCACCCTATCCTGACTTGATCACACTCTGAATGTACTCCTTAAATTAATCTAACATTCCAGAGGAGTTTCGATAGAGAAAGTAGAAATCAAATAGAGTATTTCCCACACGATGTGAGAGATCATGGTATGTTACCTAAGGTACCTAAGGGAGTGGCAAGATGCCAAGCTTACCCACTGACCATCCACTATCTGATACAGCACGGACGGGAGTATATTACGTAGGGGACTTTTTCCATTCCTTTCTTTCCGTCAGGTCGACGACCTCATTGTCCACTCAGTGCCATCATCGATTTCTCAAGTCTTGCCTTGCACTCTTGCGGTCGTCAAGAATATTTGAGGTTATGTAAGCTCTTAATTCAGGAACTGCTGTCAGATACACTTTTTAATAGCATTTTTAAACCTGCCTTACCCTTTCATTTTGATAGATACCTGATTTCATCATGTCACCAGAACACCCTTACCGCTATACTTCGAGCCGATCTAGCCTGTCCCCATCATGAAGCAGATCTGCTGGTCCGTGGGTCCAACGTCCATTTACCAACTCTCCCTCCACCATTCTCGCCCATTCCAGGCACCTTTTGTTCAATCGTCTCCAATTTCTAGTATCTTCTACTCTAGGTATATCGCATAGGAACAACTATACGCAGAGGGTCGATCACTGATAGACTATGGAAATGATGGATCAAATTCCGCACTAATCGACACAATCATATCCAAGTCTGGAATTTATTCCCTTCCATTAGATACACTGTAGGTACCTGAATTCTCTCGGAGGAGCGATCTTGTCTTACCATCCAATCGCGGTGTTTCGCCTCGTTGAGCTTGGACTGCTAGCCGGAGGTCTGTTCCCTACTCCGTAGGTACATTTGGTAGTCTGAGTAAACCAGACTAACTAATTATTAGGTACCTTATGTACCTGTATGAAGTAAATTTTCATACAACGATTCTCGCTCAATACCTATGAAGCGCAATGGATGAGAGACCGTCGTGCGAAAGCATAATAACATAACACCTCATCGACCAATTGTTGGATATCCGACGAGGTCAGTATTATTGTATCGACATATTGAAGCAACCTATATCCACTTTCGTTGTAGAGCAGCGCAAGGCCGTCTTGGCGCTGTCAGCATCGAACCCAAGAGTCTCCATCTAAGGATCTCTCCTGGGTGATTGGAAGGCTGTGGAAACTTACACCTATACAAGACTACATGTACAGCATCATCATTCGCTTATGCGATCCAATTTCGGTCGGAGCCCACGAGGAGTGGCTGCTTTAGAGGCAACCTTGGTAGAACTCGATGCCTTGACAAGAGTGTCTTCCTAACCACTGTGATAATGTACACACTGTGAGGCTGCTCTCCTTGAGCACAAGTAGATACCGATATACGTGCAAAAAGACGCCAAGTACCTATTTGCCTCCAATGCCTTGTACAAGAACAAGATAGACTTTCCCGTCAAATTTTGCCTTTGGCTCCCCCATGACTTTGCATAGCAGGATCACCTTTGCAGGCAAGGATCTAGGTAGGCACCGCTGGCTTAGAGTCCAGTTCAGTACCTTGAAGGTACCTAGACGAGAAACTCGTATTTATCATCTCTCTGTACCACTCCGTATGCTTCCACACAAGGTCTGAACCGGTTTCAGAAGCACCTAGACTCCTAAGCGAGACGAGAAATGTCCCAGAGTACGCTTGTAAATAGACACCACCATCTAACCAACTTCCATCTAGCTGCAGAGTCGGCTTTAGTCTTTGACCTTAGCCAAATGCTACTTTGAGTTTCCGCTAACTCAGGAGAAGATACCTAGCAAAATGGTTTCTCCGGAACCATACCTCTCTCGAGTATTACATCATTGGGCCCCAACCCGCCAACCATATACCTCTCTATTGGATGACAAAACGGGCACTTTCAGTCGGGTCGCTCTCTGGGTATGATGGTAGTGGCGGAGATTTTGATACAGGAGTTGACGGTGCTAGGCCATTTTGTCTTGCTATCCAACTGTTGAAGGCGTCTCGAACGTTATAGGTAGGTTTGACACCATGGCAGAACTGCGAAGGCGTCGTTGAATTACCTGATCTGCATCCTGAATACTACTACGTAGGTTCCCGGGCTGCATCGCAAATTTGCCATCCTTCTTCGTATTGAGGTCTGTTTGCAGTCGATGCATGTATGTACCTACCTGATGCCTCGTCAAGGTTGAATCATTTTTCCGTCGAAATGGAGTGAGTGCACTGTTCAAGCGCACGGGTCAAACACCGGCCCACAGGAGAGTTGTAGTCGAGCGGGTGGCTCCAAGTCTAATAGCGATTTGCCTTCTAATCTCAAACTTCATTGTACAAACTATCTATCCGTGACATCCAGCTTTGCTTTTCTTTTTTTTTTTTTTTATATGGTCAAACAGCACCTCTATTCCAGTAGATGGCAGTGTGAGCAACCTAAGCCTTAGGGTCCTCCGTAGTCTTGGTTTGGTGAAATTCAAAAAACTAGCGCAAGTGAAATTTAACAAAAATTTTAGGTATGGGTGTAAAGTAAAGGGAGTATATGACGGAAAGCTGGGGCCATCCGTCCTCGGACGCTAGTTCGCTTACAGATTTACCTGCAGCCATCCATCATTCCACCCATGGATCTGTCCGACCTTGTCCTGTGTTGGCTGTGCAGACTGAGGCAGTTAATATAATTTTTGATCTCACATCAACCAGTCCTACCCCTGCATCATCATGGCTGTGAGAAGCGTCATTACCACCGGATGCGGTGCAGACTATGCATACAGTGTCACTGACTACCAGGCTGCCCTTCTAAGGACTGAATACTGTCTGGTGAGGATTTACGATCACTCATGACAGAACCCAGCTGCCTCGCGCAAACAAATGAGAAAGTTCTGACATGCTGCAAACTACGGCCTCTTGCATTGGCTATCTGAACAGGGTTTTATGGTAAGCCTAAAGACAGCTAAGACAGTTAGCCAACTGGACAATACTGAAGTGAGGGATTAGAATGATACCTATGCCGAGTTCCGTATTGCGTCTCAAGACTAACTTCACAAGCCACCAAATATGTCTTCCGTATGAAGAACTAGATACACTAAGGGTAAGTTCAGTCTCAGTAGCTAAGTCCAACCCCATGATCATCGTTCAAGATTGTTGTTTGCTTTTTCCTCGGACGGTCAATGCTTCTATTACCTGCTTATGCCTCAGGTCGCAACCCCTCATCGCACTAACCCCGGGTTTAGCTAGTTGCATATGTATGAAGACAATAATCCATTGCCATTAGAAGACCAAGAGGGTATGAACAGATTCTGATTCGTGGCCAACTTCGGCTGCAATTTCATACCCAGCTTGTAGCCGACCCGAGTTTGTGATTGAAGCGTCAGGTAGTACCAAGCCAGCACGGACATTTTGTTGCATTTGCGCCTTGGATTGGGTAGGAGCCGTGGACTGGGATGGGAGGCTGGGATGTTGGTATTATCCGGTGAAGGGCAACTGAGAAGCGATACTGATGGATACTGGTGTCTTCAGATGCCAGTCTCTACATTATTGTTCCGCTGTGGTGGCGGTGTTTCAATAGGAAATGGGTACTCTATGATATACCTCTGTACACGCATATTATACATATTGATGTGCGTGACCCCGCACGAGCACATGAAACCTCATCCCTTGCTTGATGATAGATGGTGTATGGTGTACGGATACTGTGTGCTTATATTATTCAAGACCGTAAACTAGTGGTCTTCGGCGATAGTCGGTTATTACTATATGATAGACAATCTATGGTGTAAATACGAAGTAGAGGATTCCTCGTTGGGACCATTCCCGTTCCATAACTTAGGCCTCAATTTGATGCTTCTGGGTACTATCTTCTATCTACACAATAATGTACAGAATGCACTCTGTAGAGAAGGTTACTACGTACTCTGTAGATGATGGTGCGACCATCTGCTGTCTCACATTCTCCGCCTGAGACATCAAGGGATGATCGATCACAAATGCCACTGATTGATAAGACAGACTGGATCCTCATCCTCACTCTAGATATCACTTCATATCTACCTACCATCTATTTACCTTCTGTCTCCGTAGCATCATACTCTATCGAATAAAGTCTTGACTTACGCCCCTCATCATCAGAGTTCTGCCTCTAATCCAGTCAATGAAGGAGGATGGATCCCCCCGCCCAGCGTTGCCAGTGCAACCCGCCCGTGTTTACTATCGCAGCTTCACTTGGGTGCACCATTAATCTATTTGGGCTGCTCAGCGTACCCTTCTCACTGGTCCTTCAGACCTCGAATGATGTTCAATGATTGCATACATTGTGTAACAGTGGGAGGGTTGTGAGATCTAGAATGGGTCATAGACAGACAATACGGCTAGATGACTTCTTACTCTGGAGTATTCACGTACGCGTAAGGTAGGATGTGGATGTTGCCTGGGATGTTTACTGTTGCTGTTACCTTCATCTGTGCTTCTCTCTCCTACACCCTGAATATTTTCTTCGCAAAGGCGTCTTCATTCGACCCTTGGTGCAGAACAATCTACTAAATCCATCGAATTATCAATCCTCGTCCCTTTAACAGAGGAACTACACGATCGTCCCACCGTACAGTCCTGCTCCATGTCGGCCGATCTGGTGTCTGGCCCGCGCCTACTCTAGATCTTCGTGACAAGCTAAGATCATCGATCTCGCTAGATGCATCGCACATCGTCTCGGATCGCAGTCTTCATATCCACTAGACACTCTGACATCTTCACTCCTACCCTTCCATGGATGACGGCGCTTTACGGATATCTGGAATGGGCAGGACTGCCGTCATGAGTCTGACGTCCATCGTCTTGCTTGTGTCGCTGCTTATCTGTCCTGTCCGCGCAGCGATTCCATACTCGCCGTCCCATATCCTCTATACCTCCCAGCACAACGATTCTTTTGCCTACTTACTGCGGCCCAGTGACTCGCAGCCGCATGCCACCCAGTTTCTTTCGTTGAATGTCTCAGGGAAGGTAGACGCAGCCAGCCCAGAGTACACGGTTCTTCTAGATGAGCTGCCGTTCCACACAGACAACCAGTCCTCTGCCTTTGTTCCGTCTATTGATCAACATGGTCACATCAAGGTCTATGTAGGGGACTGCGGCCAATCAAATGAGCAAGGAAGGCTTTGGGTTTTTACGCCAAGTGTCAATAACTCGAGCGGCAATGGAACGTGGGAAGTGCATGATTCGGACTTAGGGCAAGGGGACCTAGGAGTCAACAGCTACGGCCCCAACTATCTGTCTGCCGCGTTCACCTGGTCGTCTTCCAACATGACGGAGAGCTCGCTGTATACCTTTGGTGGCATGTGTCCGTTCAAGACGACCTCGAAAGCAACCTGGATCTATGCCTCCAGCTATTCCCAGTCCATGATCGTCTTGAATCCGCCGACCTCTGACCGTGTCTCTTCGTATCGAATATCAACCGCTGGCCTGCGCGCACCACCTATCCCGGAGGCAGGGTTCACAATCACTCCATTGCATCCCACCTACGCACTGTCTCCTTTAGGTCGAACACTACAGCAACAAAACTTTCTCTTCATTGGGGGCCACACCCAGAAAGCCTTCATCAACATGTCTGAGCTTGCCATCTATTCTCTTCCTCAGGACAGCTGGAGCTTCGTCACAGCCGAGTCAGGGTCGGATATGGGAAAAACTGAGCTTGCTGTTCGAGATTCAGCATTCGTGGAGCCAAGGACGGGACACACGGCCATTCTCTCGCCGGACGGTAGCAAGGTCATCGTCTTCGGCGGATGGGTAGGCAGTACCAGTCGACCTGCTCAGCCGCAACTGGCTGTATTGGAGATGGGAGAAGAGTTTGGAGGCACTGGCTCATGGCGTTGGGTGGTCCCATCTCACCAAGGAAGCGGACTCGCAGACGGAACCGGGATCTACGGTCATGGTGCAGCAATGCTTCCTGGCGGTGTGATGATGATCGCCGGCGGGTACAGCACTTCCACAACAACGAAGCGGTCGGCAGTAGGACCTCAGCCTAACTCCCAAGTCTTTCTGTACAATGTTACGTCTGGAAGCTGGATGACTTCATATAGAAATCCAAGCCTGCCGGAACCGGAACCGGAACCCGTAGGAGCCTCTGGTGGCTCCACGTCTTCATTGTCGAAAAAGGCAGGGCTGGGTGCAGGACTCGGACTGGGGATTCCGTCAGTTGCAGGCTTGGCTGTGTTTGCTTGGTTCTACTGGCGGAGACGCCGTGTGCGGCGGTCTCGGGATCGCGAACTGCGCAAGCTCGCTCTCAGTGCACAAAGGGCACACTTCTGGGGCAGGGACGAGCCCGAAATGGCGAGCAGCATCCGCATGTCCAAGACCAGGGACCAGAATAAGACGATCTCCTGGACCACCGCTCCAAGTCGGAACGAGCAGGACAACGGCGAAGGTGCTGCCGAGAGCACCAGCCTGCTTCGTGACATCCCGACCCCTGACAGAAACAGCCAGCAAAGCTTGGGAACGCGCCCTTACCGATATTCAGCGCCATACAGCGAGTACAGAAGAAGCGAGGCTGCGGGTGAAATACATCCAATCGACGAACGCGATGAGGAAGAAGCAAGTTCTCCAGCGTTCGGCGACCCCGATACTGCCGCCGCCTCTGAGCCTTTCTTAGGCGCTGAATTTGTGACTCCGCGCAGTACAATGTCGAATCCAACTGGAATTCCATATCGAACAGTTAGAGCTGTACCTGCGGAAGATCCACCCCGAGACGGAGTTTTGCCCTCAGATCAGGACGAGCGCACTTCGTCGAATCTTTCGGACTCTTCAGCTAGATCTGGGAGTAGTGCTCCTCGCCCGCAGGCGTCACTTCGTACCCCTACAAGTTTGCCAGATAATGGACGCAATTCGCCAGAAGCGCCACCCTCTGCGTCCACTCATGGGACAGGACTGTCCAGAGAGAAGCGCTACTCCTCGGACTCCTACTCTACCGCACATACAACCCTTTCGCTACGATGGGCCGAAGGGGAGCATCTTCTGAAAAATGATACTGAGCCAAACGTGCCAATAGAGGAACCCTCAACGCCGGGTCGATCCCCGCTGACTCCAAAAGCGCGGACGTTTGGCTGGATGGGCAGCGTGCGTCGCGTAATTTCCGGAACGCAGAGGCGAGTTACAGCGATACGAGACTCGACGACAGCCTCTCTGGCGTCGGGCATCGATCGGAGGAGTACAGTCCTCGGAGCCAGGACGGTGGATGGCGCACAGAATGAGTCGAAGGTCCCGCGACGAGCCGTGAGTGCCTCGGCCGAGCTGTTCAGACGAAAACAGGGCGCCAAAGACTGGGGAGCAAGCAATCGAGGCTCCCGGGATACGGGCCTTCAGACCATCAGGTCTTCCCGGGATGATTCGGCGTTGGACGGGCTGATAGACGTGGACGATGACGACTGGGATGTCGAGGGCGCAGCCGAGGGCAGACGGGTCCAAATCACATTCACCGTTCCCAAGGAGAGATTGAGAGTGGTCAACGCCACCGCCCAAGACTTGGACAACATGTCTGAGAGATCTATCAGTCGAAGTAACACCGCAGCATGAACGACAGCCTACACCGCTAGAGTTGTTATAACGCAGAAGGTGTATCCCACGCCTGCTACGATCAGATTGTATATCCATAAAATCTTCTTCTCTTTCTTGTTCGCTTTTTCTTTTTGTTGCTTGCCCTTCCTGGCGAAAGGGTTTGATATCCGCGACTGTTGTCAACTCTTATTCCTTGTCTCACTTTGTTTGGCCTGTTTTGAGCATGTTTCTTTCTACAGCCGGGTTGTGTCTTGACGAACGGATATGGACTATGCTACGAAGTCACGACCTTTTCTCTTTCTTTTCTTCGCTTCTGGGCCGGATTCTCAATTGACGGTTTTTGTGGGCGTACGACAGGAGGAAGTCTCGAGATTGTGAGCATATTCTGTTCCTTGTGCTCTGTACGTTGGAAGGCAGAAATAGAAAGCACTTGTTGTTTTGGATAATCCTGTTTAAAGACTACGACGAGGTCATGCGTAAATTGCATTGACAAGTAGATATCGTTATCAGCTGTAGATTAGGGGAAAGCTCTAGAACAGCCGGGTTGAAAGCGACGCGAGATGAGGTGGAAACGATGCAAGTGCTCACCAGGTGCATGTTGAAAAGCCCGAAGAAAAGATGCTATCTGCAACAAATTTTGAAAAACTATGATATAGATTCTAAAGAGAAACAGGTCTATGAAGAGGCGGGAGCACCGCTGGAGCCGAGAGTCGGTTTGGTAGGGAGGGTGCTGGGTAGCGGGGGCAGCAGATTCTTTGCGCTCTCACGGGCATACTGGGCCATGAGGGCGTCCATGATGACGAGGGCGGACATGGCCTCGACGATGGGAACGGCACGCGGGGTTACGCAGGGGTCGTGGCGGCCCTTGGCCTCGAGGATGCCCTCCTCGAAGCCGTAGGAGGCGGTAGTCTGGGCCTGGCCGATGGTGGCGGGGGTTTGAAGGCGACCCTGAAGTAGATGGAGGCGCCGTTGGAGATACCGCCCTGGATGCCGCCGGAGTTGTTGGTCTTGGTGGTCAGGCGCTGCGTGCTGATGGTATTGTTGCCGGTGCGGGTCTGGACCTCGGAGACGGTGAAAGGGTCGTTGTGGATGGAGCCGGGGACCTCACAGCCGCCGAAGCCCGAGCCGATCTCAAAGCCCTTGGTGGCGGGGATGCTGAGCATGGCGTGCGCCAGCTTGGCCTCGAGCTTGTCGAAGCAGGGCTCGCCCAGGCCGACGGGGACGTTGCGTATCACGCAGGTGACGGTGCCGCCGATGCTGTCTTGGTTGTCCCGGAAGGTCTCGATCACTTTTGTCATGCGCGCCGCGGCCTCCTCGTTCGGGCAGCGGGTGGGGACGAAGGTGTCGACAGTCTTACGGTCGATGGTCTCGATGAGCTTCAGGAACTCCGGGTTGGTCGACGGAGAAGGGTGCTCGGGGTCGGGGGAAGAGGTGTTCGTTGCCGACGGAGGAGACAAAGGCGATAATTTCAACACCGTGCGACAGGCGTAGGTACTTTTCAGCGATGGCACCGGCGGCGACACGGCCTGAAGATGAAGTAGTTAGCACAAGAAGACTCATCTGTCCTGCGGGTGTTGCTCAAAACTGACCGATGGTCTCGCGGGCACTACTCCGGCCACCACCGCTGCTCGCCTTGACACCATATTTCTCCAGATAAGTGTAATCGGCGTGACTGGGACGAGGGAAGAGATCCATTGTGCTGCCACCGTAGTCCTTGGGTCTCTGATCCTCATTACGCACCATCATTCCGATCGGGGTACCCAGGGTAACGCCAAACTCCGTTCCAGACTGGATCTCTACACGGTCCTTTTCATTTCGAGGCGTCGTCAGAGCACTCTGTCCGGGACGTCTTCGGGTCATCTGGGGTTGGATGTCTTCCTCTGTGAGCTCCATGCCCGGAGGGCAGCCATCGACGATGCAGCCGACAGAGCGGCAATGGGATTCACCATAACTGCGAGCGAAGACAGGTTAGAGGTCCGAGTTGGCTGGAACTCAGGTAGGCATAAACGTACGTGGTGACCCGGAAGTATTCTCCCCACGTCGACATTTCGAAATGGTCTTCTGTTTCCGTGTATGCTTCTGCTTTTTGACTCACGTTATTGTTGGTGGGGCTATTCGCAAGGGAGAATCATTGCGATGCTTACCAACGAACCGTCAGTCGACAATGATGGTCAGACCGAATCAAATAGGTACAGGCGCCTCACAATTGCAACCAAGTATAGCAGTGAAATGTATATTCAGCGTTAATCTGACTGCTGTGTCAGCCCTTGCTTTTGAGGGACGCAAAAGAGTTGAAGCGGGACTTTTTACCAACAGTCATCGGGGTTGCTTATCTGGGTTTAGCGCGCCGGCAATCGGAGATATCTTTCATCAACAAGATCTTACATTACAATACCCAACTGTTACTTTCAATTGCGCCACGGATACCGCCATCTTACCATACATTACATAGTCTCCATCTGATCTCCGCCATGTGAGTCCGAATTTCGAACAGCTTCAACTATGCTCACTCCGTGCCTGAACCTCGTCGTTCCTCAATGCGTCGTCTGCTGCGAGGACAATGCCTGCTGACGTCGGCTTTGGCTCCTGGAAGGAGCGGTAGCAGCCCTTATGGAGGTGCCGTACGATATAACTCCGCATTATCCACCGAGCATTTTGCACAGCTAGCGAGCCGTCAGTCCTCCATGCACCAGATTTACCAGTCGCTATCATCCGATCCATATGTGAATCTGTCCATCGAGCATTTCTTGTTGGAGAATGCTCCAGTCGACAGCAGCATTCTCTTTTTGTACGTCAATCGACCATGCGTTGTCATTGGACGCAATCAGAACCCATGGCTCGAGACCAACCTCAAAGCACTTTACAATGACCGCGTGGAAGTTGGAGAAGGGGACAATGAGAGTAAAGACGTACTGCTTGTTCGACGCAGATCGGGCGGAGGAGCTGTATTTCACGACTTGGGGAATCTGAATTACAGTGTGATTTCACCGCGTACCACTTTTACTCGCAACAAACATGCGGAGATGGTTGTACAGGCTCTACACAATATCGGGGCGACCAACACCAGCGTTAATGACCGACATGACATTGTCATGTCCTCCGAGACGAGCAAGCAGGGAAGGCCTGACGCATCGCTGCCTCGGAAAATTTCTGGTTCAGCATTCAAGTTGACAAGGCACCGAGCTCTACATCATGGAACTTGCTTGTTAAATTCTCCCAATATCAACGATCTGGGATTCTTCCTACGTTCGCCTGCCCGTGACTATATAAAGGCCAAAGGCGTGGAAAGTGTGCGATCCCCAGTGACTAATGTCTCGACCGCCTTCGAGAATGCGTTTGCTCCCTTCTCGATACAAGCGGTGATGGAGGGCATTATGGAACAATTTGCTCAACTATATCAGGTCAGTCCTGATGCCGTCCGTCGGGCGCAACGTGCTCACGCCAATGAGCCTGAGCTGTACGCTGGAGCCGACTGGGTGGCTGGTGTTGTAGGAGCACAAGAAGGATACGGAGAGCCGGAGATTAGAAAAGGCATTGAAGAGCTTCGGGTAAGACAGATGCGCATAGTATGTCAGACCATTACTGACGTGTGATCTCAACCAGTCGTTGGAATGGAAGTACACACAGACACCGCAGTTCACCTTTTCCACGTTCCCTTTCGAGGAGGATCCGCGCCAAAGACCCGCATTACCAGAGTCACTGCCTCCCTCAGTAAGATCTTACTGTTAGTGTGTTGGTCGCTTCCACTCGCTGACCGATCATCCAGACCCGAGTATTTCTCCGCTTCAAACATGGTGCGATCATTGAGAGCGAAATTTCGGTCTCATCTGATTCATACGTAGCATCCGAGCAAGCACGCCGAGTGCATGAAGTATTGAATGGACGGAAGCTTCACGAGATCCATTTGAGCCAATGGGACCAGCTACTTACGGACCGTCTCGGCGCAGACGTTGAGGCGACAGTCGCGCATGAGCTTGCAAAATTCATTGGAAGCAAGCTGTGCTCCTAGCTTGACTTGCATACTCCCGAACGACCACAGCCATATTGTACGGTAGACAATCATGTATATTAGATTTTCTACGACTACTTTCACGGTCCTGAGTGGATGGGCTGGGCAGTCAAACCTTTGCCTTTGTAACACTCACCGGCCAAGTTGCTCCGAGCACTGCAACGTCAACCCCACTGGCGGTGTCTCCCTTTCGGCGCAATAGTAAAAGGTCATAGATTTGGTTTACATCGGAGATGGCCTACAATCATCGTGATCACCTCAAGACTATGTACATAGTAGCATAAGCTTGTTTGCGCTGTTTGCAGTGACTACACCGGCGCTCCCCGAATGGAAGCGTTGGCTTAAGTAATCCGCCTTCCGAATTCCGCCTAGTCGCAGGGGAAGTTTGTTCCCAAATCCCAACATCTCCGGCGTTGAAGATAACAGGGCAAGAAGATCTCCTCGTCTCCCTCTATCTCTCCTCCTCCATATCAATTGGACTTCTCGACCTCCCATCATGCTATTCCGAGCTGCGTGGGCCCGTCAGGCTGCGCCTCTGAGGCGTCAGGCTTTTGCTCCTCTTGCTCGCCGCTCTGTCACCACCGATGCCGCCTCATCGCATGCTGAAAATATTCCGCAGGTTTGTTGAGACGCCCAAAAACCCCCGATTCGGAGGGTCTCATGCTGACGGGATTGGTGTTTATGTATAGGAGGATGATAAGCCCTTCACAGTCAGACTCTCCGATGAGAGCTTCGAGACATACGAGATCGACCCTCCTCCATATGATCTCGAGGTCACCAAGAAAGAGTTGAAGCAGATGTACTATGATATGGTTGTGACCAGGTATGGACTGAGCGGAGAGGAGTTTATGTTGCTATGCGACTCGTATCTAACCTTTCGGATCTTGCTTTGTCTAGACGCATGGAAATGGCCGCAGACCGTCTGTACAAGGAAAAGAAGATCAGAGGCTTCTGCCACTTATCTATCGGTCAGGAAGCTGTTGCTACCGGTATCGAACACGCCATTACCCGCGACGACAAGGTTATCACTGCCTACCGTTGCCACGGTTATGCCCTGATGCGCGGTGGTACCGTCCGTTCGATCATCGGAGAGCTGCTCGGTCGCCGTGAAGGTATCGCCTACGGAAAGGGTGGTTCGATGCACATGTTCGCCCCCAACTTCTTCGGTGGTAACGGTATCGTCGGTGCTCAGGTTCCCGTTGGTGCCGGTCTCGCTTTCGCCCAGCAGTACAACGAGGAGAAGGCTACCAGCATTGTTCTGTACGGTGACGGTGCCTCCAACCAGGGTCAGGTCTTTGAGGCTTTCAACATGGCCAAGCTGTGGAACCTTCCTGCCATCTTCGGTTGTGAGAGTAAGTTGATCTTCGATGCCACCTACTGGCAGTCCAAATCTGACAATTTATAGACAACAAATATGGTATGGGTACCTCTGCCGCTCGTTCCTCCGCCTTGACCGACTACTACAAGCGTGGTCAGTACATCCCTGGTATCAAGGTCAACGGTATGGATGTCCTTGCCACCAAGGCTGCCGTCCAGTACGCCAGAGAGTACACTATCGCCGGCAACGGTCCCCTGGTCTTCGAGTACGTCACCTACCGGTACGGTGGCCACTCCATGTCCGACCCCGGTACCACCTACCGTAGCCGTGAGGAGATCCAGCGCATGCGCAGCACCAACGACCCCATTGCGGGTCTCAAGCAGAAGATCCTTGACTGGAACGTCATGACCGAGGAGGAGCTCAAGGCTCTGGACAAGTCTGCCCGTAGCCACGTCGACGAGGAGGTTGCCATTGCCGAGCAGATGCCCGCCCCCGAGAACAACCCCCGCATTCTGTTCGAGGACATCTATGTTCGCGGCAGTGAGCCCCGCTGGATGAGAGGCCGCACTGTCGACGAGACCTTCTACTACTAAACTCTTCCCTTTCGATGTCTGGCAAGCAGGAGTTGGAGAGAAAAGTTGTAAACTCGGAAATTGGCAGGGTCATATGAACCACCCCCCTACAGCACGTCTAGTATATGTAATTTAGCCCGGAATTATTGTTTATGTTTTGCATTATATTTCTCCCGTAGCGTCAGAAATCTACAATTGGAGATGTTGATAAAAGTATTGGGAGGTCCACGGTTAACACATATCGACGGGTTATCTCGTTTAAGGGTATCATAATAGAATGGAGATAACGACTGAAAAGAACAAAGCAAGCTCAAAAGGAAGGAACTTCAACTGGGCTCCTGTCGCAACATCTCGAGGATCATTTCTTGGGTTCGCTGCACAGAATCTAGTTTCTCCTCCAAGGAGGCCCGGTCCTTCTCCAGCTCACGCCGCAGCTCATCCTGCATCTCCTGCCGGAGCTCATCCTTAAGTTGGCTGATGAAAGCTGAGGACATTGAGGTCGGAGCACCGTCCACGGCGCTGTCGTGCGAGATCCCGTTCTCCCGAGCGATCTGGCCATTCGTAGTCAAAGAGGTAACAAGAGGGGAGGAGCGAGGGTCGGCGCTGACTGCGTCGAGGTGTCTGTTCAGTTTCCCCAGAGTCTCCAATACAGCGGTCATCATGCTGCTTTCCAGGGCGGATGCGGCGTGAGCAGTCGTTGAGGCTTGCGGGTACGACCATCCTGCCGCCGCCGGGGTCGTCCGATTCGGCTGGGGTGTCTGGCTTGCGAACATCGAGTCAAACCCTGGAGGTAGGCGGACGGTATTCTGGACAGGGGTAGCTCCAGCTCCAACTCCAGTAGAAGCAGTGGGAACCGGAGGAGACGCAGGGGAGACGGAAGGGGGCTGCGCCTGCTGAGAATGACTCTGACCAGTACCCTGACCCGGAGCCTGGAATCGGTTCTCCACGACCGGAGTGGAAGAAGGCCGCCAGCCATCGGAATTGCCATCCCACAGGTCAAACGACCTGTCCTTCCTCTTGCGGGACTTGCGTGCACGCAAATCGCGCCTCTCAATACGCCGCGCCTCGGCCTCCTCCCACCGCTGCCACGTCGGGATCCAGGCGTCCACAGCCGCGCGCCACCGCGGATTCGACAAGTCGTCAGCGTCGGAGCCGCCCTTCTCGCGCTTCTCCTCCAGGAACTTCATGCGCTGCTTGGTGACGATCTCCACCTTGCGACGTACCGAGTGCCACGAGTACGGATGCCCCTGGTCGCGCGTGAACTCCTCCGTGACCGTCTTCCACCACTTGCACAGGTTGCTGCGCTGCCCAAACTCCGCCGCGTGTCGATTGCAGATGTCAAATAGCGATACCTCCTCCTTGGTCGTCAGTCGTTTCCCGTGCTTTCGCGGCGTGTCTCCTCCCCCCGCTGTGCCATCCAGATCCTCGTCGACCAGCACCCTGCCCACCACAAGCCCGTGACCATTGCTGCCCCCTGCAACCCCTCCACCAGTCCCCGCTGCGCCTCCAACCCCAGACACCCCATTCTGCACCCCGCCGACCCCCATATCGCCCGGCGACGGCGCATAATCCGGGTCCCCCAGTCCGTCCGGCCCCGCGCCGTCTCGCGCAGCGCTGTCGGAGCGATCACTCTCGGACCCTTCGCTGGAGTCCGGCGGAGGGGGTCTGGCCTCGACCACCACCGACACGGGCTGGTGGTGCGAGTTCTGGCCCATTCGCAGATTCGACGAGATGGTCGGTAGGGTGTTCTGCTGGGACCGCGACATCATGGACGGCAGCCACCGGAGCTGAGGCATCTGGAACGACGTGGGCGATGACGACGGAGCCGTGTGGTCCATTCGAGGGCCGGCCGCTGCTGTGGTGTGCTGGTGATGATGAGCGTTGGAGCCTGTCGTCCCATGCCAGGGATACATTGACATGATTGATGTCTGGTCGGGCCAGAGGGGACCCAGGGGCAGGAGAGGAGCTTTGAACTGGGTGACAATAGGACGTAGTGGGGTCCTCTTTGTGGTAGTTCTTGATAGTAAACACTGGATAAATGCGATGAGATATGATATGATAAAGAGACGATTATGAAAAATCACCGGTTGCTTTTGCAAATTTTGCGTTGGGAACAAGAGAGTTTTTGCTTTCATTTAGGGAACTGGTCCTTGGGTACGGTAATTTTCATCCCCCGCCAAAATAGAATACGTATTATTACGAGACCTCTTTGCATGCATGTTTGCAAGCAAATAGTGAACTCAACAAATGGCCACGATGCTCTATATTGAGGAAAGAGATTGATTGATGCATGTACAATGCTAGGGATATTGATTGTAGAGATGGGGCTCATCCAGGTAAAGCAGCTTCCAACACCATTGCAACATGACACTTTTGCTCACCCTTCCCGGGAACCACAAGGCAGATACATCTATGAGCACCGTAACAAGTAGGAAATCACACCAGAGACCCAGTAATACAAGGTGATGGAACATGCCAGCAGAAGATAGAATACAAGGTAAAGCCAAAAAGAGGAAATGTATCACTAGCCCATCCGTCTAACGTCTTCGGAGATACCAGGCGAACGCAGCTGTGCTGATATTCTCGTTGAAGGGTGTTGGCACCTCTGTGCGGCCTGGCCGCGCCACGGGGTGCCGAAGGTACACGGCCGCGCAGATGTTGTGGTTGACCTCGAGGTATCGGGGAATGAAGGCGAAAGCGCTCATGTAGTCGCGCGGCCGCCAAGGGGTAGCGTAGGGCTTGCTGTGGTCGATCGGGTTATCGCGCATCTGAATCAGCGCCCGCCGAAGCACTTCGAATTCCTCCTCCGTGAGCTCTGACGTGTCCACCTCTCCTTCGGGGTTCTGAGCCGCCTGCTGGAAAGCTTCGGAAAGCCTGTCGCTAGGCTTGTTCTCCGCAGCAGATGTCGCGGTAGTAGTGGTGGTAGCGTCTGTTGATTCGGAGGCGATGGTCGAAGTCTGCTCTGCGGGCGTAGATGAGGTCTTCTCTGATTCCTTGTCTTCCTTCTTCTCGGCTTTCTTGGCGTTCAGCAACGTGATGAGCTCGGAGAACTGAGACTCGAGGTTATCGGTCAAGACGGTGCTCGATTCAGAACGAGACAGCACTCTACGGACGGCCTTTTGAAAGCCGCGCAGTTCCTGCTTGCGCTTGGCGGGGAGAACGTCCCTGCTGTTGGACATGATCGTCTTGGCCTGAGTGAGCAGCGTCTTCAATGTTTCCTTCGGGTCATCCTTTTGCTGATCCTGTGCTTCTGTTGTCTCCGACTCATCCTTCTTGTTCTCCGTCTCCGTCTCCGCAGCCGCACCCTCCGCCTCTGTTTCGCCCTCGTTCGACTCTGCCGCCTTTCTCCTGGCGACGCGGGATTCTCGACGTTCAAACTTGTCCTTGGGGGCACCGGTGGCATACATGACGCGTTCCGGCTCAACCTGGAAAAGATCGCCAGGATTCAGGAGGTAACCGGGGTATCTCATCTATTCAGTAACAGTGTCAGCCGCCAGATCCCGGAAGACGAGATGACCGGACGAAGAAGCATACCTTCTTGCCGTTAACCGTCACCGCACCATGCACAACAAACTGCCGGGCCTGCCGAGTACTGCTGGCGAACATCGCCCGGAAGACCGCAACATCCAGCCGACGCTCGAGAGGAGCAAAAGTCATCTGTGTATAGGGTGTCAAGGAAGACTGGTCCTGGGCCCCGGCTGTGTCATCGCCGTTCGCTTCGGATTCCAGGCCTGCTCCTCGACCGGCGGACATTGCAGAACCATCATCACTGGCTAATTTCTCCGGGCTCATGGGCACAACGCTGCGGATGCGGCGGGTGAACATCCGAGACCACTGACTTTCGCGGACCTGTTCGCCATGGTATGCTCGGGCAACGGACTTGGCAGTCCATTTCTGTTGGAAGAAGGTGCGGTTTGCGGTGGGAGGGGCGCGGAATCGATTCAGGTTGAACAGATTATATTTGCTCCATGATTGTCGGATTTTCTGGTATCAAGCTCCATTAGGATTTTGTCACGCGATAAAGGGGTGTCGGTATCGTGATAATATCGATGACTAGGAATAACATACCGCTTTGCTCAATGGCGTAGTAGCCCTGTTCCTCATGATGGCGAGCGTCCGTTGGAATTGACCTGCAACGAATCCTCCTTCAGTATCAACGATGAGCGGAATGAGACCCCAAAACTTCACATCAGGCACGTGATGCAAAGTTCCTGCCTCAGCGATCAGGCAAAAAGACATGGTCAGAACCTGCCATGCGATTGGCTGGAAACACCTCGCGTAGTACTAGCGTCGGGCACTGGATCCACAGCAACCTATATATTGCCGCTGCCCCTTCACCATTTGGTCTTTTTCTTCTTTCTTTTCTTCATACTTACCTTGTTTGGGTGGCTGCGATCAAGAAGGCGGTCCACCACGGATTGGTCCCTGCATTGCACAGCGCGGCGGAACAATCCGTTCAACGGCCTTCGGGTCATTGACAGGCGTATTCTTTGGCACTTTCCACTCTGTGGGATCATCTTTTCTCTTTTCATCATTTCTTCGCCTTGCGCGGGGTATGGAGAAGAGAGTCATACTTTTGTTTCGTCCATAGTCGATGTATTACAGTTTAGTAAATCCTTAGTAATATTCCACAACTCTTCCATATGCAATAGTCTGCTATGTTGTATCTACATGCAGTTGTAGCCATGTTGCTGTGGCTTTTCAGTTGGTCTTCGGGATTCTCTCCCTGTGACTATTTACTACTACTGTATGTACCCAGCAACTCCTACACATCACAAGGCATACTTTGCATTATTTTATTATTTATCGTCCTCATATCATATGCACGTCCATTATTATACACATAAGTCATGTCAATCATCTCGCTTTGCACTTGGAAATGCCTCCAAGAGCGCTTCTGCTTCCTGAGGGGTGACTGCATCATCGAGGATCTCATGGGCCATCTCCACCGTCTCATCGTCGATGCCGCCTTCAAGTATCGGTCCTTCGCTGAACGCCAACCGTGTCAACACCACTAGAAACTTTTGCTTCCCACCAGCGACTCGACACAATTTCGATTGCAGATCCACGTCCTTGTGACGACGGATCACTCCGTAGACCAAGCGCATGAGGCCGTTGACCATGGTCGCATGGAGATCTCGCTCCGGCGGATAGGTGTAGAGCGCATCCAGTTCGTCATGCATGGCTCGTATCATCCGCGCGAGCACCGTTGGGTGCTGTGCGATGACGGAGCTCCCGTGCTCACTGGCCGGTGCGACCGGATTGAAAGCTACCGATGTGAGAAAGTACATTGCCTGCAAGCGCATGCCACAGATGTCTGCTGCTGTATAAGGAGGCTGGCCTTCATCCGGCTGTGGTGTCTCGCTCAAGAGGTTGGCCACACGGTCAACAATGTAATTCTCATTGGCAAGCTGATCTTGCTGGGTCTCCTGGACCGATCCAAAGGACTCCGCTCGAATGCTCGTTGAAAGCAGATTCAGCATTAAGGTGATGTCTCGAATAGGTTGTGAGCAATTCAGCATCATCAAGACAAAGTCGTAACGCATGTGCCGCCAGAACCTCTCCATCGTCCGCTCCATGTGTATACACAGATACGCCATGCGGTATAACAGGCTTAGCGCTTCGGTCGAATCCACAAGGGCTTCTAGTTGGGACAGCGGCGTTTGCCGTACCTGGCCGAGGTTCTGGCGCGACACGGGCGAGTTTCTGAAACGAGGAATTCCGTTGATATCTCCCGACTCTTGTAGCACTGGTACAAGATAGTCGATCATGTCCGGGACACACGACGGTGCATCCAATGCTAACAGGTGGTGGGTAATCTCCACGAACATCGGCACCGGCTTGAAGAACTTCTCCTTTAGGGTCCGGGACCATAGCGAAGCAATGACCTGCGCGTATTCCACCACATAGTTGCCCGAGTGTAATTTTGCCGTCTCCTCTAGGACGATCGTAGACAGCTTCCGTCGCGGCTCCGACGGAAATGCCATTTGCGATAATACCTCGATATCGCATTCTTCGTTGGGATACGTCTTGTGGTTGAGAATGGATTTCATGAGCTCTGCATTCCGGTCCTCTTTGCGCGTGACTGGCTCATCGACCATCACATCATCCATCATCGCATCGCCCAATAAGTCCTCAGGCGGCTCAGCTACAAGCTCTGCCGGCTGACTTAACGGCAGAGGCGTCGGGCTGCCCGGATCGAGCTTCCTTTTCTTCTTTCCAGGTCCCGTGGGGGTCGTCCGCTTGGATTTCACGGACTTGCTCGGCGAAATCGCCATGATTTCATCATCATCGAATCCATCGCGAAAAGGCAGTACTCTGGTCTTCTTGGGCGTTACGGGCGGCGCTTTGTCCTCCGCCCTGCTCTTTGCCTTCATATTGTTGATCCGCATGGTCTCCTCGGCCAGGTCTTGTTTGAGAAACGCATTTTCTGTGGCCAGCAGTTTGCCTTCAGCTCGAGCTGCCTCTACCTCCTCCTTATGCTTGGCTGTCTCCTCCGCCATGGCCTTGCGCAGAGCAGTCAGTTGTCGATCATAGTTCTCGACCAGTTTCGCTTGGTTTGCTCGGATGATGGCGATTTCTCCCGCTTTCGTCTCGGCCAGCGATCTGGCGGCCGCCAGCTCTTCTGTCATCTGTTTGAGTCGCTCATCTTCTATGCGCAACTATAAGTTCCATTAGCCAAAAGCCTGGCATGTAGATGCTTCCACAACAGATACCTTCTCCTCAATCTCATTGTAAGACTCGTAGAAATTGGCTTGGTACGGGTTCTCCAGTCCTTCTTCAATGTCCATAGGCTCTAAGGCGGACTCGTTGCGGAGAGGAACAGCCTGTCCTGCCGAAGCAGGCGGCTGATCCAGCGCAACATGCAATCCAGTATCATCATCGAGCACTTCGGCATCCAATTCACCCACATCCAGAGAATCGTAATCGTTCGTCAGACCGGTATGTAGACGCGCAGGTGGTTTCAACGTAGCATTGATAGGTGTTGATCGGGATTCTGCGACCGGAAACTGTCGATTGACTTGCGCATGAGGAGCAGGAGCAGTGTAATTAGAAGATTCTGATTGCGCCGGTCGTTGCGCCTGTGTAGCTAGATACGCGTTCTGTTCAAGCTGCAATAATGTACTGGGAGGCAGATCCTCGAGGCCATCATCCGAGAAGAAGTCATCGTCCTTGTCTTCCATAACCCACTACGCGAGGTCGCCATGAATCAAAATGATCTGCTCGAGTATTCTTGAGAAAGAGCACGAAATGTTTGTTTTGCTGTGTTTTATTTGGTCACCCAAGGAAAAAAAATAAAATAATTAAAAGAGTTGTGTTTTCCCCAGGAACCAACGGAAGAAAAACGAAGGCCTGACGTAGTGCCGAGTCACGGGAAGTTGGCCCTCATCTTCATCCTGTTCTCTTATCTTACTCTCTTAATCAGTTCTCTTCCGCTTGACCATCCTTCTGCCATCAGATTTATGATCCCCAGGTTGAATGTTGACGATTTAGTTCTGGAATTCTTCGCTCTGCGGTTCCCATAGAGCTCTTCTTGCATCGTCTCGCGTCTCCTTTACCCGACCGCTTTCGGTCCCTACTTCACATGAAAATTTACTAGTAATCAACACGACGATCGCTCCCAATAATCATCCTCACTTGCCGTGTCCCCAAGGATTCTTTTTTTGGCCCGATTCTCCATCTTTCACCCTTGTTCGGGCCCCATTTCGTCTCTTCAGACCCCAGTCTCAGGTTCCCTGAAATTTCCCCGCGGTCTCGCCTGCTCCCCGCGCGTAGTCGCCCTGAGAAAGCGGTTTCTTCCATTTCTCTGCTGCCTTACACCCTTGCTCGACCATGTCAAAGTCACGCCGGAACGTCCGGTTTCAACACCGAGGAAGCAACGGATCTGAAAACCGTCGGATGAGCATCTCAGATGCGAGTGATGTGGCCTCCGACCCTGGGAGCCCGTCGAAGAATGGCAACGTCTCCAAACCCGCAACGATACCCGAAGAGGTGAGGCCCTAAGAGAGGACAATTGGTTTGATCGTTTGGCGATAGAAGGCTGACATTCTCGTACAGAAACAGGAACAGCCTCAATTGTCCGAATATGAGAAGAAGAAGCAGACCTTCATCACTCGGACAATATGGACGTTTGTGATGATTTCCCTCTTCTTCATTGCCATGTTTTCGGGCCACATTTACATCATTGGCATCGTCACAGCAGTCCAGATCATTTCGTTCAAGGAAGTCATTGCCATTGCAAATGTACCCAGCAGGGAGAAGAACATCCGCTTTACCAAGTCACTTAACTGGTATTTCCTGGCCACCACGATGTACTTTTTGTATGGAGAAAGTGTGATCTACTATTTCAAGCATATCCTCTTAGTTGAGAAGGGATTGCTTCCTCTGGCAACTCACCATCGTTTTATCAGCTTTACGCTCTATGTTATGGGTGAGTTTGATCGCTTACTCTACAAGATCGGACCAGCCGCTGATACTGCCTACTTCCAGGATTCGTCTTCTTCGTCGCATCGCTGCAAAAAGGTCACTACCGTTTTCAATTCACCCAGTTTGCCTGGACGCATATGGCACTGTACCTGATCGTCTTCCAAGCGCATTTTGTCATGAACAATGTCTTCGAGGGCATGATCTGGTTCTTCCTCCCGGCCTCTCTCGTCATCACAAACGATATCTTCGCCTACGTATGTGGTATCACTTTTGGTCGGACTCAGCTGATCCAGCTGTCGCCCAAGAAGACTGTTGAGGGCTTCCTCGGAGCATGGATTTGCACCATTATTTTCGGTTACTTTATGACCAACATCCTGATGCGTTACAAGTACTTCATCTGCCCGGTCAACGACTTGGGAGCTAACGTCCTGACTGGACTTCAATGCAATCCCAACCCTGTCTTTGTGCCTCAGCCCTATTCTCTCCCAGAATGGACTGGCTTGGCCAAGACCTTCTATGTTGAGCCTATGCAGTTCCACATCCTGGTGTTTGCCACCTTTGCCTCTCTCATTGCGCCTTTCGGTGGCTTCTTCGCATCGGGCCTCAAGCGCACCTTCAAGATCAAGGATTTCGGTGAATCCATCCCGGGCCACGGTGGTATCACCGACCGCATGGACTGCCAGTTCATCATGGGCTTCTTCGCCTACATGTATTACCACAGCTTCATTGCAGTATACAAGGCCAGTGTGGGGGATATCATCGAGGCTGCTATCAACGGCCTCACGGTGGAGGAGCAGTTCGAAGTGGTTCGCGGTTTGGGCAAATACCTCTACAACCAGGGAACCGTTTCTGAGACGGTATGTTCAATTGTTTTCGAGACAAAGGTCCACCTGCTCACCAATCATACAGATACTGGATTGCCTTAACGGCGAGTTGAAACGCCATTGAAAATGACTCGCTAATGACCATCTCCTTTTTCGTGCCTGGGGCCCTTGATGAACATGTTCGGCTTCTATGCATCTTCTTTTTAATCTTTCTATTTTCTCACAGTTATTTCTTGTCAACGCATTGGGTTGTTGGTGTATACAAGTTAGGAAAGGACGGTCGGGTGCCTGACTCAGCCGGGCAAAGACATGTTGGTCAGCCTGGATTCATATTCTTTTTGCTTTACATCCTCTTAGCTCCGCCTGGAGGTGGATTGGGTAAGCGCTCGATGCACTGTGTGAAGTCCCATCATATATAGCTTTCACGTGAGTGTTTAGGTACTTATCTACCTAAAAAAGATTTGTCGTTTGACATGTAATGCAACAGAATGTGCAAGGTAGCAGGTAGCTATTATTCTGTAGCGATTGTATTGTGATATGACGTACGCCTCTTGAAGCACCACTTGCGAGGTTCCGTCGGTAGACACATCGTCAAGAAGTATCTGGGTGGTCCTCGACACTGGGGTCTCAACAGCGGCGCCCGGCTCGTCGCTCAAAGCATGACGCTATGCATTCAGAGCGCAGCTATATCCGCGTCCTGTTAAGCTCTCACACCAAGCGTGCTGTGCTCCGCTGGAATCATGAATCTTGCGGCAGGCGGGCTAACAGATCCATCGCGGCCAGAGTACCGGTACAGCTGCCAGAAGGCTCGAACCAGCTGTCGATCCCCTGCGAGGGGCGCCCAACAGTAGCGGGTATGTCGCTTATGTAGTGTGGTCTCGTGATTTCCTGTCCAAAGACAATTCATTCCTCCACCTCGTACTCCTCCATTTCGATCTTGAAGTACTCGGCGACGCGCGCCTTCTCGGCCTCTGCGCGCTCCGAATCAAGCATGAAGCGCACAGCCCCGTCTCGACCGCGTTCCCCGGCCTTGGGTCTCTCCCCGTTGGCAGCGACAGGGGTGAGTGGGTGCACCGCGGGCGCGGCTGCTCTGTCTCTCTCTCTCTCTCTATCTTTTGGCGCGTGGCGATCCCTGCCGTCTCTCGCGCCATTGGTAGGCTTGGAATCTCTGCTGTCTTCGACCCAGTGCGTGTACCGACGTAATTTCTGGGCCTCTGCTTCTTTGTTCAGGGGAATGCGGACTGTGAGGAATCGATCAGGTGGGAAGTGTGGGCCGACGGTGGTCGAGCTGCGGTTGTGTGTGTATAACTCGAGCAGGTCAAAGAGAGTTTCTGGTCTTTGTTTAGTACTTGTTGTTGTCTGTGGACTTTGAGAAAAGGCAGGAGACCCACCCATTACTTCTTCGCGGCTCGTTCGCCATTGCTCGTAATCTGACCCCTGCTCCACGGGCTCCAGACGCTGATCCAGCAGGCGGCCCGCGAGTTCGAGACAGCAAAAGGCCATGGTGGAGGTGGTCTGCTTGATGGGGGCAAAGGTTCGATACAGATCCTGCGAGATGCGGTAGGCGAGATTGGAGACCTCGGATTGCGGCGACAAGCCATAGTGTCTGGCTAGTTTGATCAAAGTCTTCTGTGGGTGACGGGTCCGGAAGTCGAAGCCAGACGCTTCAAGCATGAGCCTCTCGAGGCCGATGATACCTCGAGCATGCGCTTCGAAAACCTTATGAGAACTATGTCAGTCGGTCCTGGTTGCCAGAGAGATGACGGGAACTCACGGGGTTGTCAGGAGACATGTGCTCTGATGGAGGGAGCTTCAGGTTGTACGCAGCGCATACAATCTCCCGGGACTTCTTAAGGGTGTCCTCAATCTTGCATGCCGTGAATAGAGCAGCCGCAGCGGCATCCTGAGCAGTCAAGTCAGCTTAGTTACAATGCAGAATAACGCATGGTGTGACTACCATATAATTGTACTCTGTGTCGGGGTGGATAAGGCGAAATCTATGATAATAGACCACAGCAGTGTTGAAGGTGCGAATAGGCCTGTCGAGTCAGCAAGGATTCTTGCTCAGTGGTGTTCAATAATTCAAACATTCAGACGTACAGATAGAGCGCTCGGCGCACGTTGTCGATCCATGTCACCCCCTGCAAGCGCAGAGCTTCCTCGCGCAGAGGATTGACTCCCATGGCCGCGATGCATTTCTGAATTGTCTGTTCAAAGATATAAGGCTTGGCTACCTGGATGAAGGACGGATGGATGGCAGGGGGTTCCGGCAGAGACGGGTCTGTTCCAGCCGGCTGTGTCGGGTCATCCTTCTTCTCCGAAGCCATCCTGTGCTGCTGGCGGAAGAATCTTCTTGTCTTGCCAGGTAGAGAATGTAAAAAATAGGTAAATGTACCGGGACCTAGGATGATGCGCAATGGATGCGATTGAATCTTTGGCTGCGCATGATTGGCGGATTGTCACGTGATATGGGTCACATGTTCATTCCGCATTTGTTTGCATATTCAATAACTGGTAGATTGACGAGACTATTATGATCCGATGGATCCTGGTATCTGTTTCTAATTTCTTGCTGAGAACATATGAGAGCATTTGTGTCATCTGAACTGTTGGGAATTCATATAAAGTATATACACAAGTGGTTGGAATCATGGCACTCCCCTTCCAGCTCTTGTGGCCTTTGCCAACTCACTCTGGGCAGTATTGTCCGCGTAGCGTTGATAGATGGGGAGGTAATGATCCTTCTCACTAGTTGTCTCCCTTATACTCCGTCTGCCTTCTACAGCACGGAGCCATGTCCTCCATCGCTGCCAGACAGCTTCATCTGCTCTCCCCTGACTCTCAGCAGGAATCCCAAGACCGCCTGTCTTGAACTCATCAAACACCCAGAGCCGCACGGCCCACGGGCCCAGCACAAGATCAGGCAGTGAGATCTGATCCCCTAAGAAAAATGGCCCCTCTTGATGCATCTCCCTGGTCCACTCCTTCAAACGGTCCAGAAACTCCTGGCGGACCTTGTCAGTCTCAGCAGCCACGTCCTCGTCCTGGGACTGAGGCTGGTACTGCAGGAAGCGATGGAACGCGGGGATCACCCGGGTCGTTACAAAATCCATCCAGATTTTCGCGCGGGCTTTCTCGTAGGGGTCTGTAGGAAGCAGACGCGGCTGATGGTCGGGATAAGCTTCTTCGAGGTACTCCAGGATGATGTTCGACTCGTAGAGTGGCTTGAGCTTGACGCCATTTCCGTCACCTTGTCCCGTGGGACAAGCGAGAGTGGGGACTAACCCCCGCGGGTTCAGGGACAAAAGTGATTGTGGCTTGTGATAGGGATTGACCTCGATGTATTGGTAAGGGATCTGCTTCTCTTCCAGAGCAAGCCAGACACGTTGGACTGCAAAGGTTAGCTGGCAGTTTAAAAGTCACTTATTTTACGCTTGTACGTACCAAACCTGCTGATGATCAGCTCTGTACAGTGCAAATAAAAAGGTTTAAAGAACTTACGGACAAAACCACCCCGCATAGAGCTTCAAAGGCTGCTCCGCCTGATGCCTGTCGACCAGCGCTTTTGCTGGTCCACTGGCTTCGGGATAGAGCTCGGCGTCTGGAACGGAAGGCATCGTAGCTGTTTTAGGAACTTCTAGCGCCTAGTATTTCCAGATCAATCAGAAGTCGTGTAGCAGGGTTTGGGGACAGGGGACGGCGTTAGGCTTTATATTTCGTTGATTCCTTGATGGAGATCTGCTGACTCAGATATGATGCCATAACGAGATTCTGTTGCATATCAAGATTTACTCCAGATTTTGTCCTATTCGTCGTTGCAAAAGGTGAAATCTTATAAGTGGCCAATATTAGTAGATCAAGCCCTCGCAGATAATTAAGCCGGGTAAATTGATAGGTCTAAGATGCTTGATGGATAAATCATGAATCTTATCAGATAATTCTACTCTATATATACATCGAGAATCTAGAAGTAATAGAGACAAACGCTCAACTATCGCCGTATTTCTTAAGCAGCTTCTGCATAATCGATACCGCACCCGATCGATATCCAGCCCCAAAGATGGCATGGTGGTTCAGGTGATGATACCTTCAAAGTCAGCCAAAGCTCCAACAATGCAAATCAAGGCACTCTTACAGCTCGTACAACCTCACGCGGTCCTCATACTCCTCCACCGGCTCGGTCTTGGGCACGATGCGATGATACGCCTCGAAGAACGCCGACCCAAACCCCCAAACATCTTCATGATCCCCAGCTCATACTCGCTGTGCGCATAGCACGCCGACGGATCATACACCACCTCGCCACCCCCTCGTCCTCCTTACGCCCACTGCCCACAATCCGCCCCGGTCCGCATTCCCACTCCACAGATCCCCATGCACCACCACCGGCGTGATCCCTCCCCCTTCCCCTCCCGATCATACCCAGATGTCCATCCCCCAGCAACGCCGGCACAACACTGCCCACCGTCCGCTCCACCATCTCCCGCAAGCCCGCATCCTTCCCATTCCGCTTCTCCGACGTCTCCAACACCGTCAGCAGCCGCTCCTGCGCGTAGAACTCCGCCCATGAATCCCGCCATCGATTCGGCTGCTTCGTGTCCCCGCAGAACGTCGCTACGGGGAACCGAACCGCCGCCTGCCCGTCTCGGGATCCGCGGGCGCAGGCGTAGAGTGCAACTTGCCCAACCGCTGCGCGAGGGACTCGCCTGTCCGCCGGCCACCGGCGCTGGCACCAGCGCCTAATTCGAGGAACTCGGTCGCGAGAAAGAAGCCCTTGCTCTTGCCCTTGCTGTCTTGCGCTTCCAGCGGTCCCCACGCTAGTGCTCGAGGGCAGAACCCAGGCACTGAGTCGGCGATGGCATTGAGAGACTCGTACTCGCCGCGGAACATCTCCTCTGCGGCTTGGCCGTCTGCGGACGTCTTGACGAAGTACCGGCGCTCTTTCTCGCCTGCCCCGTCTGCGGTGGGGACGGTGGCTCGAATTACCCCCGTGCTGGTGAAGCCGGAGCCTAGGTTTGCGGTTGAGAGGCTGGCCTTCGAGGCATCCGGGAGGGAGAGTGCACGCAGAATTGATGCAGGTACTGGTGCCATATTATGAGACTGTTTTTATCTGAGTAAAGCAGAGAGCTTTAGGGAGTGAACATGGGCTTCCTGGGGTTTTATTTAGACCGCAGCCAACTGGTGATATGACGTCGTTGGATCATTGAATCCCCACCGCAGACCGATAAGATAAGCCACGCAAGCATCATTATTAGAAAGCACAGAGGACTGAGGTATATGTGATAACTTCATATTATATTCAAGTCAAACAGCTGCGTTGAGGACAATACATTTTGTAGATGATGCATTTTATACAAACGTTCCAACACCCACCCATGTCAAGGACACTGTATCCAGTCTCCTGGTAATGCCCATGCTACAGCAAACCAGTAGCAACGAAACAGTCAAGTAATACACAATCGCTATGATTGCGTCAAAGAACTGATCAAATGCTCTGCTGTTTTTGTGCGTTCTCGCACGTCAAGGTCAGGGTCATCAAGGAGGCTTGTCAACCGCTCTATTACCCCAAGGGACCGTAGCTTGAAGGCTCGCTCGCGACAGCCATCGTGGTCGCTCGCGTCGTCTTCGTATGTCAGATTGATGACTACCCAGACACAGTTGATACGCACGTCTCGGTGGCTGTGGTTAAAGTACCACATGAGATGTTGCAGAAGGGTTGGGTGCGACACCAGGACTTGTCGATGCCATGGAAGGCTCGCGGCAAGATGGATAATGACAAATGTGACCGAGACGAGGATCTCGGTGGGAACGTTGAGTGCACGGCTTGCTGAGGACTCCCGACGGTGTGGGAGATTGATGGTGCGAGGTCGAAGCTTGTCCGCCAGCGCGTCGAGGATGAGGTCCTGCCCAATCTCCTTGAAGAGGTGGTCAATCATCTCCGATGCTCCTGACCCACATACAAGATTACGCAGCAAGTCGAAAGTCTGCTCCTGCACCGCGATATCATCCTGTCGAGCCTGTGTGGTCTGGTCCAAATCTCCATTCAACACGAGCTTTCGCCGCCTGGTCGCATCCGGCAGAAACATCTCCAGGCTCATCTTGGACGCAGGCAGAGTGTCCGTCATTTTGAGATCTTCGCCCGGCTTTGCGAATCCTCAACCGGATTCAAAAGGTTGACTTGTTCCCCGGCCGAATTGGCTCGGCTCATACCCGCCGCCGCACTACTGTCCACGTCGCCTTCCATTCCCCGTTTCGCAAGGGCACTTGTAGGGTCCTGCGTAATAATCTGCTTGATCCACCCAGGCCCAAGGCCGTCAATAATCTTGATCTTAACATCGTTGGCAGAATTATAGGACACATGTTTCAGTGCCCACAATGACTCGATACGAAGTTTTGTGTTCGGCGAGTGCGCGTGCTCGCATAGGACCGGGAGAATATCCGCTGAGATAATTGCCTACTTGGGTCAGTTGCAAGTCGAAATCTAGTGTCAGCCCTAAAGGGGATAAAGACTGACCTCTTTCATGGGACTGAAGTCCAATGCCAGGTTGCAGATTACAGACGTCGCAGCAATTTGGACTTCGATATCAGGATGACGGATCAGAACAAAAAGAGGAGCTGCAACACCAGCATCGATCAGACTTGTTCTCAAGACGCTCACAGAGCGAGTAAGCATTCGCGCAGCACCACAAGCGGCCAAGAGAGTCGGAGTGGGATTGCCATCCGTGGCAGTGTTCTTGAGAGTCGACGGGTCCACTGGCAGCTCGCTAGGGCAAGGCTTGAGAGAGTCGATGATGTATGGCACCACTCCATTCTCACACACGAGCTTACGATATTCATCCTTGAAAGGAACAAGAGCTGCAAGTGCCTTCAAAATATTCTCCCGATATCGCATGACATGACAATGAGTTGGCGAGAACCCGGGTGGTCCAAGTCTACATTCTAGTGGCTGCGTATCGGAATTTGGAGCAGATTCGTCGGCGTCTGGGTGCCACATTGGCTTGGTATTCTCGTGAATCGGATTGTAGGTCTCTTTCAGTAATTGCGATAATCGCTTAATCGCGCCACCATCGACGGCGTGTTTTTGCAATTCCTGATCGTCAATCACCAGAGCTGCGAGTACTGCAGGGGCTTCCTCCTTAACACGCGCGGTTGCGGGAATCAAGCCACCGTACTCGACAATGTCATCGCCCGGTATCTCATAGTCTTTGTCGAGCATTCGGATAAGGATCGGGATCAACAGATAGGAAAGCAGGGAGACGCGATGTTTCTTCGCCAGGCCAAGACGGAAAAGGACCGTGACGAGGCGAGCTGCCATCAAGCGAACCATGCCGTTCTCCGCGCGAACCATGTAAAGCAGCCAGGGGACGATGCAATTCTCATCGTCGTCGGAAGATGTCGACTCAAAAAGCGAGAAGGATGTGGGGAACGAGTGGCTGGGGCGACGGCGCGCCCCTTGGTGACCTAAAGGTGGGAAATTGGCTGCATTCGCCGGTGCCGTCGAGGGAGATAATGGAACCGATGGCAGCAGACTCTCAAGGGGCTAATCCCGGCATGTCGGGGACGGCAGAACCGGAGAAATACGTTGACCCCCAGGGCCCTTTTTGATGTCTGAGGGCGCGAATTCGGGTAACTGCTTGGGGAAAACAGTCACAATACCCGGCGACGAAAGGAAATGTTCGGCTCGCCACTTGGAGTGCTCGATAATCACCGTGACCGCACGAAGGATTGGAGCGAGCTTGGCACTGGGAGGTGCTGGAGGGGCAAGAATCCCAATGCGCCCGGCTCCTGGACATGCTCTTCTGCGCCAGGCAGAACGAACCCCTGGGCGACTACAAACGAGGCGACCTTGACAGCAAGAGCATCCAACACCCCCGAGTCAGCCAGGACAGTCTTGTGAGCCTCCTCGGTGCACAACTTCCCAATCAACGATGCAGCCAGTTCAATGGAAGCCTGTGCCTGATAAGATGCATAATCTTGCCCGATGATCTGAGCCAAGCACCCCACATGCTCCTTAGAAAAGAGCAGTTCGGCCAAACGAGTATCCTTGTTCAGTTTCTGCTGACTCTGCAATGGTAGTCGATCTGCAATGCTATTGAGCGTTCGGAGAATGGGAAGGCGGAAGAAGGAAGGGCAGCTGGGAGACGATAGAAATGACAGGAGGGTTGGAAGTGTATTGCTGGCGAGGATGGGCGCAAGGAACGCTGGGCCGCCTGATTTATTTAGGATCTCAGTAATGGTGACCACTACTGGCGATGTTGGGACGAATCACTGGAAATTTACCTTGAGTCAAACTACCAAGGATGATGATCGCCTGTAGACAAGCATCGTCTTCCTCCGACTTGATACCAGACGATTCTTTAACCGTCGCCGTAACGCTTTTCCCGCTCAGTTTCCGTGACGTGAGAACCTTGGTGAGCACCGGAATGATTCCCCGCTTGACATAAATCTCTTTGCGCTGATCATGACCAATTATTTCGTTCTTCAGGCTGCGAAGTAGTGCAGCTTGAGATGATACCGAGTCTGCGCTTTGGAGTTGGAGTAGGGTGGGAGGTGTAGAAGTGCGCGTCATAGTGGTTAGATCGCCGCCGCCGCCGCCGCCGCCGCCAGACGAATCCGTTTGACTTCTTTGGCGACAATCGACAATGGGACGGGGGCCGACTCGATGCAACAAGCCGAAGAGCGCTGCTATCTGAAAATCAATGTTTGATCGATATCATGCTCATGTGGAGTACAGGCGACGGAAGCCGAGAGCGGAGGTCCAGGAGGGGTCTGATGCGGTGTGCTACCAATTGATAAGGATAAAGCCAGATGCGATGAAATGAACCGAATCAATAAGAAGTCTATTGAAACAAATAAAATTCGCTTCGAAAGAGAAAGAGAAAGGAAACAGAGGAAAGAGGGATAAGTATGTATGTACGAGCCTTGAATTGCGATGACAGGTGAACCCTCATCAACGGACAATCTTTCTAGACCATTCGCAAACTGATGTCGCTGAAGTCGGGGAGAGCTTGGCGGTCCGGAGTAACTGATCGGAATATGGGGTACCAGTACCAACTTACAGCACTCTTACAGCTCTTACAGCAGCCTGACAGCACTCTTATTACTTTCCTTTGGTCTACATCATGGGCCTTATCTATGTAGTTACTTACCTACCTACGTAGTGCCTTTACAATCCTACTACTGTATTTTCTAGCATCCCAGAGTGCCGTCTGCTTGCGGAATAGGGTCTCACCGCACGTGATGTCACATGACTTTAATATCACATGACGTAATATATATTCAAACAATATTAGGTAACTAAGGGAGCATCACATGACTCAGGCCTTTGTGGACTGATTTAGCCCTACCTTTTACCTAGTGGATCAAAGTGGACCTGAAAATTGCATTACGTTACATCAGGTGCCAGTCAGAGCATCCATTGTAATTTATGTACGGAGTAGGGTCATCCCAAATTATCATACGGAGAAGATTGTAGTTTTTCAATGCTGCTCTTGATCTTTGCTCTTTCAATAGGTATATATGGAGATATGTTCGAAGATTTTATCTAGGGAGTTCATCCTCAGCCATGATCAAATCATATGTGATCATTACATGGTTTGAACCGCCGAGTGCGGAGATTGGGAGCTCGAGAGTATTTGTGGCCATCCATGTGACCTAGGAAACTATCTCCCATCTCCAAGTGAAGCCAAGTGAAGCATAATAGGGGTCATGGCTACCAAATAGCTACGAACGCCCTGTCATTATCTGCCTGAGTAGTAGATAGTAGGAGTCTTCAGGTACTTTGTCGTAGGTCCGTCCGGTCTAAACTGTCTAAGTGCCTCTAAACTACCCTGTTATAGAGCCCCCACCAGAGAGGGTACCTGAGTTAGGGTAACCTGACCGCTAGACATCAGATCCAGGGCAGTTAATTAAGACTTCAGAATCTGATCAGAGACATGTCAAGCCTGTCAGAAGACGGCAATCAGCGCCATCAACACCTTTAATAATCCATAAAAGTATCAATCTACGAAGTATCCGACCACCCCAACTGTGGGACCCCTGGTAATACGTATTCGACCGGCTGACGGTGCCGATTTTTGTAACAAGCGGTAACCAGAAGAACTGGAAGAGTGCCTCCAATCTTTCCGCCCAGGCGCTCCCAGGCTGCTTTCGATTGGGCAGAATTTGGCTACTCCTTTATTCTTTGTTTTCTTGGAGATGGGTGTGAAGGAGTTTGTGTGTCTGGGAGATGGCCATAGTCTTCGTATTTTTGTAACTGACTGAGCTTCATATAAATATATATATATGTATATATTTTTTAAGCTTTTTTTACTCTTTTTGTTTGAGAATTTTTTTGCCTTGGAAACCGAGTCCCGTGTTCCCCTCCTTTTCCTTAAAAACTTCTACGACTCGCTTTAACTCTAACCCATCATCATTATTATTTGGGTTTCCAAGGACGTATCTTCCGCCCTTTTAGAAACCCTCCACCTCAGACTTCAGTCTCTTTGTTGAAAAGAGTCTGATCTTTGCAAATCATGATGCGTCTGTGCACGCCGTCGTCCCTAGCAGCAGCAGCACAAGGTTTCGCAGCGTCTGCCAGCTCCGTTGCACGTCGTGCAATCTTCCGCCCACGTGGTGGTCTCGTTGGGCGGAAATAATCATGCTAGTCTCATCGCCGTCTCCGTCCGCCCTCCATCCTTCGTCCTCTTCTCCTCCAACGCTTCCTCATCCTTCTCACCCCTCTCCCTCCTTTTCTCATCGATCCACGACAGCCGCCGTCGCCGCCGTAACAGCAGCTCATAATCTTCGTCATCATCATTATGAGCCTGCTCGTCAGCCTCCTGCGTCCAGTAGTCACTACAGTCCGCGTTCTTCCCGCTTGGCCATCGAGGAACTTCGATCGGCCTTGACACGACATACGGTTGAAGCTTCGCCTCCGGGGCCCTCAGGGGATCTCCCTCGCGGCCGCATGTCCGCCGGGCTGACCACCCTTGGGGGCGGAAATAGCACGTGTTCGTCCGCCACTCCTATTCCTGCGGTCGCTACGCCTGTTAATCCGCATTCCTCTGATCGTCTGACGGATACTGAGCCTGTCGGTGCTCCTCCAGTACCAGCGTGGGCCCCAGCTCCGGCAGAGGCGCCGGCCCCTGCCCCCGCTACTGCGCCTGACTTGGCTCCTCCAATGCCCGCCCCCATCAGTACAGGGTCCAACAAGCGTAACAGCCCGAATGATCATGGCGTGGACGCCTCGCTTGCGGGACGCTCTGGGGACTTGGACCTTGAAGGCAGTCAGTCCAAGCGACTGCGGCCATCCAAGCCCGACGTGAAATATCTGCCGGAGAATTATGATCAGGCTGATCCGCGGGACATCGTCATTTTGATTTCTAGCATGCTGATGGAGCTGATTCGCTTCAACGACAAGATACCGCTGAATAACGGACGCCTGACGCGTTTCCATTCTCGATCACCACCTCGAATTTCGGTCCAAGACTATCTTCAACGGCTTACAACCCACGCCACCTTGTCGCCTCCGATCTTGCTCAGCATGGTATACTACATCGATCGGCTCTGCGCTCTCTATCCGGCCTTTACCGTCTCGAGTCTGACTATTCACCGATTTCTTATTGCTAGTGCGACCGTCGCCAGTAAAGGTCTCAGTGACAGTTTCTGGACTAACAAGACATATGCTCGCGTGGGAGGTATCAGCATGGCGGAGTTGGCTCTTCTGGAGTTAGAGTTTTTATTCCGCGTAGAGTGGCGGATTGTACCCCAGCCTGAAGTGCTGGTGGATTACTATCAAAGCCTCGTCGAGAGGTGCGACGGGTATGAAATCCTGCGTGAAGGCTGAGTACTTTCACTGCACCGATGCAGCAGTCAGTTGGATTCCAGCGCTGTTATTCTCCTTTCCATAGGTGGTCGTTCAGATCTCCAATCATTGTATTGTATTTCTACATACCATACATCTAAAGCGGGAACGGAGTTGATCTTCTTATGCATTAACGGGCGATGTGGGACATTTTTCTCATTCTGGTGCTGTGTAATGCCTTAGGAGCCTTCTTTGGCCTTGTTATCACCTTCTTCTTCTCATGCTTCTACGACCTTGCGGACTACCTGGTCATGATCTCTGTACAGCTTCACGCTATTTTTCGGGCGTTCGATTGTTACTAGCGTGTGGGATATCATACTCCTTTATCATTTCGAGCTAATTTAAGCCTCCTACGTATATTTGTCTCACATTCGTTCTTCTACTTTGGTAGCATTATGTCATAGACTTTTTCTATGCGGTCAGTTGCGAAAAACTTAGGCAACAGATTCATTGTTGCCTGAGGCATCAACTCCGGTCCGGTTACAGCAGGGCTTAGGGCGCGCGGCGTAGGGCGCAGGGCTTAGGGCTTAGGGCTCAAGGTTACGGCCTGGATAAATGCGTATCCATGGAAAAGCCGCAGCTCCACTGACTGTCAGCCAAACCATGAAGTCATAATGGGTCGGCGATTGCTATACGAGAGGTAGATACTTCAAGATCGCGCTGGGATTGTTCTATCAATTGCGCGTGAGCCGCGGCGATCTAGAGCGTCATACTACGAGATAGAAGCGCTCGACGTCCTGTGTTCATCCCTCGCAGCGGAGACGGATGTCAATGGAGGTACGGGACATCCTGAGGAGTATCGAGCCTCTTCAGGGACATGTATTGCCGATCAAGACCGTCCAGGAGACACAGACGACTGAAGAGTTTGGTATGTACTTTGGACGGCCACAGAGGGATGGCCTTTCCTAAGTATAATTATTGTCTAACGGACTTTAGAGGATGCATATGTAGCAGAAGTCAACGTGAAGTTGGCCTCGAAAGTGGTCAAGTAAGTCATTTACTCCAAAGGCGCGGACAGATCGCGAGTGGCTAACATCGCTGTAAAGAGCACTTGATGCTGCTTTCCCTCGCGACCCTACTATCCCTGTGAACCATCTCCGACGGTTCGCCAAACATTCCCAATTGCCAGAATCCCTGCGCTCAGCCGTCCAGCACAATGAATCCGCACCGCAGACAATCTTTGTCCTGGTCTCACCTCCTCTCCCAGAAGTTGATGCTCTCCAAAAAGTACTTGCTCCATTTGCTCCCACCTCCTCGACCTCTTCCGAAAATAAGCCTGAAGCCGCCCCTGCGATTTCCCTGCACACAATCAGGATCCCTACTCAACCGCCCTTGAATGCTAAACAAGCCGAAAAATGGACATCGACATACTGGCCCGTTGTCTACAACCCCGCCGCCCGCGAGCCACGATAGCACCGCCGCCGCAAATTCTAAACCGCGCACTCGAGTCCATCCAACCAGAAGCCGGATATTACTTGGCGCTGGCCGAGAAAGTCGCAGAGGAAGCAGAGAAATCCGGCCGAGGCCGCAGAATCGGAGCGGTAGTGGTTGATCCCGAAATTCTCGCCTCCATCGACACTACTGACGACGAGGATGGCACGAGATGGACAGAGGCCGTCGTTGCCGTCGCAGGAGACGCGCGATATTCTCGTCGGGAAGCCGGTGCGCTCTCTACGTCAGAGCTGAATATTGAACCGGGTTCATCTGCAGCAGCACAGACATACAACTCCGACCTGGAAGGCGGGCCTGAACTGCACGCGCTGATGCGCGCCGTGGAAATGATCGCTCAGAAACGCCGTGAAGAAGACCGCGCAGCTTCAGATACGGAACCGTACCCCAGTCCCTTGGAATCGTACTTTCTCTCCCAGTCTGACGTGTCGCCCTCCGCGACCCGGTCAGATTCACAAGAACCGTCACCCGTCCCGGAAAAGCTTCTAAAGACAAACTCCGCCTCACCTGTTGTTCCCACGACGTCGAACACTCCCCCGGTTGCTCCGGTTGCTGCTCCGCGTATCCGTTCGCGTGCGCAGGGCGGCTACCTCTGCACAGACCTCGATGTATACCTCACCCACGAGCCGTGCTTATGTTGCTCCATGGGGATGCTCCTCTCGCGCTTCCGAGCGGTGATCTTCCCTCGAAAGGGACGGATGGTTACGGGAGGACTAGCCTCGGAGCCTGTTGTCTCGCCAGCGTGTGAACCTGACCCTGGTCATGGCCCTGAAACCGAGCCTGAAGAGCCTGAATCGAAGGCGCAAATGGGTGAGTCGGAGTCGGCCGATCCGGCAACAAACAGAAAATACTATGGTCTGCACTGGCGCAAGGAGTTGAACTGGCGGGCGTTGGGCTTCGAGTTTGTCGAGGATGATGATCTTGCTCGGTGTACAGAGAGTCAGACTGGAGTTGCTTTTCATGCATGATACCAAACTGTGATGCCCAGATGTGCTATGGAGTATGGATTTGTATAAGCATGGTGGTTATGGCAGCATGTCTTCCTTGACGCTTGAGAGTGATGAATCAAAGAATGCATCATTCTGACTACTTGCCCATCCTTATATTTTTGTCTGCCTGACAGCAAGGACACGTTATAGCTAATACTTTTGTATGTATATAGCCCTTCCTGCCTACCTATGCAGGGTCCAAAATGAGTAGAGTCCTAACAGAACCACTCTAGAATTTAGCTTCACTATGTCTTTCGGTCTTAATGCAAGACCTTGGTAGCTCCCGCTGCTACTTGGTAAGGCTAGCTGGAAGATCCAGAATAACAGGTGTAAAGTCCAGCGTCGCTTCCCTATGGATAAGTCATGATATTATGCATCAGTCATTAGACTAAGAAGGCGTCGCTTCGTGCTAGCACGTATCATCACTCCCTTGAATCATTAATAAACAAAAGAAATGCCCAAAGAGCCTCGTCCACCACATCCAAGCCTCCCCCAAATGTCCACGCAATCCTTCTCGTTTGGGCATTACCCTCATCTGCAGATGTGTTCACTCGTCCCCAGCCATGTTCCCAGAGTGTAGACGCGAACGACTTATTCCTCTCTCCATTCATTATCAAAGGCTGTCTCCGTAGATGGATCCAACGCGGCAAGTAGATAGATCATCTACAAAGCTCCTGCAAACGCCGATTGATGGGACCGAGTTTGCGAATGACGGGAGAATGAGGGTTGTTCGAAGCGACTTCCATGTACAAGGTATTCAGCCGCTGTGTGAGAATTTCGATGATCCTAGGTGCAACATCGTGAATGTCGGGGTCCTAAATGTAAAACCCAGTCAGTCATGGCTATGAAAGCGGATGGACTTCGTCAGACGTACCCTCAGGTCAACAGAGTGGAGGACAACATCCAGCCAAGTGAGACGGTCGTCAACGTTGGTGTGCAGAGAAGACGTGACTGCGACACCGACCGAAAGAGCCACGATGGGGGAAAGCCTAGTCAGGTACGATGGGTTGAGGCGGACAAAGAGGTTATCGAACAGATCGGCCTGCTGACTAGATTGAAGCCACTACAGCACCATTAGAGTCAGTAGCTCGCCTTTGACCTAATTTTAAGAGTTCATACCTTGACTGAGCCCTCTTCGTACCGACCTTCACTCATTAGCTGGGCAATCTCTGCCAGTTCAAGATCCTCGGCGGTTCTGGCCTCGCTGGGAGCAGCAGCCCGACCGGCAGATGATGCCTGCTGCGAGCTGCGGCTTTCCTCGTCCTGCTGTTTGGCGCTCAACACGCGGTTGAGTCTCAGGATTTCATTTTGGAAGTTAGTCTGGGAAGCAGCCATCGACGCGACCGTGTCAGACAGACCACGAACGAGAGTTGTGAGCTGATCGATCTTCGTGGCATCGTTGTGGCGCTGAATTTCGTACTGCTTCATCTGAACCTGCAACTGCTTCTGTATGTCCGAACCGATTTGTTCTGCGGCCTGCAGAGCAAGGGTCTTGAAGGAGGGGATGATGGAGTTGTGCAAGGCCCTCGACATCTCACTCTCAAGGTGGGAAGCGATTTTCTGGCCAACAGCATCCGAAATGACTTTCATCACTTCAGGTTGCTTGACTGAACGAGCAACTGCATCAGGCAGAACCTGACGCACCTCACGAGGCACAACACTACCCAGGTGCTGAGAAATGACCTGATCTAGCTGTTTTCCAACAGCAGCCGATGTAAGCTCAGTCAGGGCAGGCACAACCTCAGATTGAATGCTGCTAGACACGATACGAGCCAGGTTCTTCTCCACGTTGTCAGACAGGGTGCTGGAGACCAGCCGCAAAACTTGATCCTGTTTGGCTGCAGATGCAGCGTCCCAGTTGCGTCGCTCCTCGTCGAAGCGGGAGTACAGGCCTTCAAGCTCGCGACCAAGACTCTTATTAAATTCAGTAGTGACACCAGTCTGGAGTGCCTCCAAGTGCTTGGCCCAGATCTCACCAGCTTTACTGGCACCAGCTCCAGATGCGAGGGGCGCGGCAGCAGTGACGGCAGGGAGAGGGGCGTCCATGGTTGATGGCTGTGTTGTGGAAGGTGCCAGTTGGGTGGGCTGTTCAATTGGTTGAGGCACAATGCCGGACTCACTGGACAGCCCCTCAACGGCAGTGAATGTTGCTTCCTTGGCTTTCGCTGGGCTCTCACCGGTAACGGCGGTAGCAGCAGCAGTAGCCTTCTTTTTCTTCTTTTTCTCAGACTTCTCGACGCCATTGGCCGCTGCGGCTGGCTCAGCCTGCTCCTCGGCAGACTTCTTCTTCAGAACCGGCTTGACAGGGGACACAGCGCTTGAAGGAGCAGCAGCACCAGCAGCTTCAGTGGTCGCCTCAGGGGTCTTCTTGGCCACTTCCCTCGGCGTAGCTCTGATGGAGGCGGAAGCCGAATCACCATTGATTGAAGGTTCATCGGCGACGTAGCTGGGGAAGGCCTGAAGCTCAGAAATTTCGATGTAATTCTCCTCCAGCGCATTCACAGGGCGGATAATCTTATTGTCGACGCCCCATCCCAGGTCTTCTTTCTTGACGCTCAAGCAAGTCACTCCACGCGAGTGCATCACGTAAAGCTCGAAGAGCGCACTGTCTTCTTTGCTATCTCCAGGAGCCTTAGTGGCAGGGAGAAGATCCAAGCTGCGCAACTGGCCCTTAGAGGCAAACGAAATCTCCCGAATGCCACTCATGCATGCTGTAGATTCTGGCTTGGGCAAGCTCGAGTCCTTCTCACCCGAGCGCTTGATGAAAGATGCCTGCGACATGGGCTGTAGATTATATCTAGGAGCGGACAGGTGAACAAAGTAAATGGAATTGCGCGTAGGATGTCCGACCACAATGATGCCAGAGGCTGCGTGGTAGGCGACACTGCAGATGGCATCTGATTCGTTCTCGTGGGGGAACTTGAGCTCCTGCACGGCCTTGCCAAGCCCAATATCCCAGAGCTGCAAGGTGTGGTTTTGCTTAAGTCCGACCAGAATGTAACGAAGCGCCATCGATTTGGCATAAGGACGCAGCTTATCGATGAACAGGACAGAGGTGGGCCAAGACTTCTCCGTAGGAGATCCGGTAACAAAGGTGTTCAACGGGACGCGCACCTCAGCTGGACTAGGCATGTTCGTGAAGAAATCGGGATTGTTGACCACTTCGCGAATATCCCAGAAGCGTAGTCTGCCGGTCTTGTCTAGAGAAGCAATGACAGTATCGTCGTCACTGAACACAAAGTCCTTGCCAGCCTTGCCAGTCGAGATCTTGAGGGCCCGTTCCTTGAAAAACTTCTCCGTGTTGACGGTGCGTTGAGACCCCGAGACACCGTAGTTTGCATTGGCAGCCGCCTGAGGACAAACGACGTAGATATTCTTGCCACGGCCGATGGCGAAGAAGCCGGGATGACGAGAGCTTCTCTTGGCCCGCGTTTTCAGCTGGCCACCAGAAGTGTTCTCATCAGAAGCCGGGAACGGCGGGAATATCAGGCTCTCGCTCTCCAAGGCATCCAGCTCAAACAGATCCTTTTCGCCGCGCGAGATCAACGCCCAGTAGACCGTGCCGCTGACACCAATGCCCAAGATGGCTTGCTCCTCGGATACGCCGCCCGTTGTGGCTGAGGTGCAGAGAGTGACATTGAACACACGGTCGCGGGTTGCACGGAAGACTTGCTTGTCACTTCCATCCTCCTGACGAATGATCCTCATGCCTCCATTCTTCGCTAGGGCGTAAACGATGTATTCCGATGTAGCCGAGGTCAAGGAGCGGTCCAGTTGATCAAATTCCTTCTTCAACCGGGCGATGTCCATGATGCCATCATCCCGAATGGTCGGAGATTCCTGGGCATTGCCCTTAAGGGAGATGGAAATGAACGGCTTCAGAGGAAAGTTGTACACGGGAACAACGCGCTCTTCTTCCTTCGCAGCACTGTCCTCGGCACTCTCCCAGCTGTCTGCAAGGGCCTCGCCACTTTCGCCATTAGTGGTTTCGTTGATAGCTGCAGTACTGTCCGCGGCGGCATCCTGGGCGGCTGCTGCTTCAATCTTTGCAGCCTGCTTGGCCTCAGCAGCTGTGTCACGAAGGTGGCTAGCGACGGAGGAAATGACCGCTTGAGTGCTTTCTTCCTTGTCCGTTCGTACAGCCAACGACTCGTCTTCCTTGGTCGTCTTGTCATGCACTTCAGCAACGTCGCGGCCAACTATCTGATCCACCAGTTTGCCAACTACCTGGTTAACAGCCTCGCGCTGCTCTGCGTCAAGAATTGGCGATGATGGGCGTTTCGCGGCAGACGATGCTGCTGGCTGAGACACGGGAGCAACATCCGCAGTTGCAGTTAGGTTGATCTTCTGGCGCTGGGTGAGCTCGACAGCGGGGCTAGCACTCCGAGACTTGATCTGAGGAGAGGCCTTGCGTGGCGATGCAGCTGCCAGTTGCTCAAAGGGGTTAGTGTATGTGAAGATGCCTTCCTTGGGCGTCAGTGTCGACTTGGACTGTTGAGAAGATATTATGTCCGGCTTCCCAGACACCATTTCCTCAGGACGCGCTCCTTGCACTTCAACTGATGCCTGTGCGATCGGCTCAGCGACAGGGGACTTGACCGGAGACACAGACGCTGCTGGTTGGGATACCGCCTTCCCGTGCCCGTGGGACACGTCCTGGCTCGGCGATGGTCGGTTGAGCAGACGAAGCAGCATCTCCTGCGTGTTTTCAGCAGTAGGGGCCGCCGACAGGGAGCTCTCGCCGACCCCGGAATGACCAGGTTGAGCGAACTGCGAACTAGTAGGCATCATCGGTGGGGTTGCAGCCGAAGGTGGAGCTTGAGCCTGTCGACCGAACAGGGAAGCAACCAGATCAGACGCCGAGATGTTCCTCGTGTGAGACCTAGACACACCCTCGAAGCCAGTTTCCTGGGCAAGAGGAGACCTTGGCTGCTCCATTCCAACAGTAGTAGGCTGTTGTTGAGATGGAGCAGGGCCCTGATTAAACTTGAGCAGGTTCAGCAGGTTGACAGCACGGTCGGGGTTCTGAGCTTGAGGTTGCTGCGGGTACATTTCGCCACGAGGAGTGGCAGTATTAGGACTGAGGATATCCGAGCCATGTTGAGGCGGTGTATTGACCGGGGATGGGCTAGGGATGGCAGATGAGACCGAAGGGTGACGGTAGCCATGCTGCAACAACTGAGGGTGAGACAAGCTCTGCCCATCGTAGGGTTGCGGCTGCGTCTGCTGTTGCTGGGGACGGTAGCCCTGCTGGTAGTGCATAGGGTACTGAGCGTCCTGAGCAGGCATTCCCGAAGGAGATGGACGTGGTCTGATGCTCGCCAGGAGAGCCTGGAGATCGTTGGGGGTGGACATTTCTGTCAGCTCACCACAATGAAAGGCGACCTCCCAAGTGATATCCAAGCTCTAAGCTTCTCTCGAGAGCTCTCTTTCGAGAGCAGAAAGGGAGAAGTGAGGAAGCAGTAAGGTCAGATAGCTTTGGTAATTGAAAGAAAGAAGCGAAAGAAAGGGGCTAAATGAACGGACTATGGTACAGAGAAGAAGATGGGTAAGGAAGGGGGAGAAGGACGAGAAATGATGATAATTCAGTAGAGCAAAAAGAACAAGATGGAGGCCGAAGTGGCACTAGCTCGGTTTAGGTAAGTGGCTATTATATGTGGCTGATGCAGTTGAGGCTGATGCATACATTGGATACCTGAGGAAGGTGGCTACCTTACGAAATAAGGTAATTATGGCGGGGATTTCAGTTACGGTACGGTAATATCTCTTATTGGAGGGAAACAGCAATGACGCTGAAAATCCTCAGTCAGTGAAAGAATACTTAGAAGTACCTCAGATTTGTACCTCAGATTTAGCCACGATGTACCAGACATTTGCTCGTATCTCACCTGTCTGATGAGCGATTCTTTTCCACTATCTGCATCTAATCTCCATCTCTCCGCCTTCTCCTGCTCTCATATCTTCTTTTTGTGACTGTCAGAGGGAATCCCTCTTCCTCTACGTCAGTCTTTCTCTCAAGTTGAACACAACTCTTCAACACTATAACACTATACTTGTGTCACCGTCACAAGAAGTGTGCTACAGTCCTCCCAGCCTATAGTCTCCCACCATGTTCTGTCTCAGGAGGTAAGTCGCCACAACACCTGAAATATCATACCAAACTTCCAAGCCCACTCACTCACGCGATTAACATATAGCTGGTTACCGCTCCTCTTCATTCCAACCAACGCCTCCCCGCTCTTCATCATCTCCTTCGTCACCCTCACATACATCCTCCACCGACCATGCATCTACTGCTCCGCGCTGCTCCTCATCCTCTTCATCTCCTCCTGCCACTGGGCTGACCGCTGCTTCTTCGACTTCCGCGGCGACTGGTTCTCGCCGCGCTACGCAACTTCAAACCCCTACGATGCCGTCTCGGCCAATACCTCCCTGGCCGCGCAGAACGGGTCTCTGGTCAGCTATGTCGTAGAGACCGTCAATACGACCACCAAGGCGCTGGCGGGCGCCGCGGTTGAGGAGGCGCAGCGGCGACTCGCGCTCAACGGATCAAATGAACTGGGAGAGCAGGAGTGGACCGGTGTTGGACTCGAATGGTTGCGGAGTTTGCTGGGACGACGGGAGTGGACTCTTCCCTGTGTAGATGTCAAGGTTCGGCTTTGAGGGTTTTCGTTTACGGTCTTTCTTTTCCCCACCAGATGCAAAGTTCGAGCATGACCATATGAGGCTGAAATGGCGGATATCGTTTTGCATGCACGGGAGGGTTCATAGAGCATGGATTGGGCTTGTGTTATCTTGACCTGACCCAAGTTGTCGACTGCCATCCGCTTGCAAGTTGTCGTCGCTTCTAGGTTTGGTTTCGTTCTTACGACCGCTGTACAGAATCTACCGTACATACTTGATAATATTAAAGCTCATGCTTCGATCCGACAACTACAGGTACTTGCGAAGAAGCAACAATACTTGGATGGCAGGTTCACTGACCCTGACAGAAGGCAGAGGTTATATTTCAATGTGCAGAGATTGGTTATAAACATAGGCTAGTGGCTAGCTAAGTACATGACAAATAGGTATCTGACAGTAAAGGGGAGGATGAATATGTAAACATGATCACATGCCCGTTTCACATCAAGCTGACCACATCATTAAAGGGCTAATACAATCATAGTCACTGGTAGCATCAGAGAAATCGTGAAACATAAAGGTTGAGTACAGAAGTGGTATCAAAATGGCAGTCCAGGCGTAAAACGGAGGAAAAGACAGACGAGGACAGAAAAACGTGTGCGATAATACGGACCCTTCCTCGTCTGCAACGGTAAGAGCACTGTTATGGCTGAATGGGATTGGCAGTCGATTAGATCAAATAAGCGGGTGGTACAATAACAGTTGCAGCTTAGTTGTAGCCGCTGCCTACAGCCATCGGCATCGGCCAGTCGTCTTCCGTTATACTGCTCCAGAAGATCCAGACAGTAACGACCGACAAGAGGGTGAACAATGTCTCGAATAAGGCGCCGTTGATTTTCCCGTGCGACGCCTGGCAGAGATGGGTGCTGATCACGTAGTTGAAAATTTGGCCAATGGCGAACAATAGACCCGCGGCGGACAGATACACTGCAAATCCCGTTAGTTTGCTAAGCTCATGAGATTGGAGTCTCCCCGGCTCTGGTAGAGACGAGGCTGAACGTACACATTGGCCGGAACTCGCCCAGGACCCGGATCACCAAGACAGCTTCCAGAATGAAGAACGCCACGAGGAGGACGAGGGGAAGAGCTGGTACAGTACGTAGAGGGCGATATTTCGATAGTGATTAGATGGGTCCGTCGCGAACTCCCCGGTCCAGTCGAAAGCAGTATCTAGGGCGATATAACCGGTACCGATAAAGAACACCAGGGCAGAAGCAACACAGAGACCGAGAGAAACAGGTGTACCGTCGTCAAGGAACTGAAACCCGACAAGAGCGTTCAAGAAGAGGATCCAGCAAGTCGCGGTGATCGCAGCGATATGAACTGCCGTAAAACCCTATGCGCACCCCTCAGTTGTGTCCAATAGAAGCAAGGCGTCAACCAAAACAGAGAAAACATACCTTCAGCACCGCGCTGTCAAGAGGGAAACCGCCCACGGTGAAGATCTCGCAGATCTCGACGATAATGAAGCCAAGAAGGAACAATTGCATTTCCCTATACAGTATTACTCGTCAGCCCCTGCCCATGCCTTTCACAGTCCCTGTTTAGCCGCGTACCTTCGCCCAACCGCGGCCTTTTTCCGTTCCGATCGCCATAATAGGAAGAGCGATACTAAGATGGATATGAATGCCAGCAGTATCGATCCTGCACCGATATCAGTCTCGCAATTCGCGACTCGTCTCCGTGTCGTTCTATCCATCGTTCCATACCTAGGTTGCTGAGATATCGATGATTTCCCAGGGAGATACCGGTGAGGGCACAGCCGTCGTAGGCTTCATTAGGGGGTTGGTTGTGAGCGACAAAGAGCTATTGAGGAACAATTGCAGTCAGCAACCTGCAGTCCTATGGTGACAAGATTCCTATATGGAAAATCGCCTGAGATTGAGTTTGACGAACTCACATTGCAAACTGGCAAGGTCGAATCTCTGCAGAAGTCCTGTTCGCGAAAATCCCCAGGTGTTAACTCCCCTTTCGCGCAACCAGTAGACGTATCGAATTCCGTCGGCAGACTCACGTTGAAATTCCCAAATTGTGTAGAACCCATGATTCACCGACCGTTGAAGCGGTTGACCATGCAAAAGGACTTGGATGACCGTGGACAAGATTCGCGCGGCTCGGCGGTGGTCTTGCTGGTAGTTAAATTGGCTTCCCTTTTCCTGGGACCCACGCTAAGGGACCAGACCAGGCCGTTGACAATGGCTCCCGTCGCAAAGTTGAAACAAGGCAGTAACCGTGGGATTATTATGATGCCGATCGTTGTGTCAATTAAGTCTCTGCAAGTCAAAGGCGAAGAGCACAAATTTTGGTATTATTTGCAGCCAAAAGTGAGGAGATTTAATCGATGAAAACAGTGGTGGTCAGATCGTGAGTCAATTGCAGCTCCAAAGCGTCGGTTAACTGAGGCTGCAAGATTGTTGTCATCCACGAGGGCAATGCAACAGGACGTGAACGATGGCAGATTATGCAAGAATATATACTCCGTATGCGAGTAGACAATATGTCGAAGAAAGGAAGTGGAACTGAAGATGGAGAAATGGCTGTACAGGTCGACTTGACACGAGGTGGCTTAGAGCGAAAATACCATCAGGACGATTAATGTCGATGAGTGGTAGCCTGCAGAGCGCGGAGTAGAGAGATAAATCGGACGCTATAGACCAGATATCCAGCGCGCAAAATAAATTTAAACAGTCTTTGAATCAATACTTGTGAAATCTAACGGGCCATAATTGGTTTTCTCTCTCAAGATTTCTGACTCAAGGACCAAGCACTCCAGACGAAGCAATAATTGAGCAGGCTGGGGCTCTTGGGCTAATTGAGCGCCAACTACGTATGGGGAGAACTTGGATACCCTATATCATGATTCCTTCCATCATCCTGGAGCTTGGTCTGATTCTTCGAGGTTGGAGATGTTTCTCCTGCCAGAACCTGATGATCAAGGTGCCTTGATGATAATAGACCACTAGACAGATTATTGTCCTTCGACCATGGTTGTCGAGCTGTGCTTTGGATTGTACCAAGGAAGACTTCCATCTTCGTCCATGGATTGTTTTGATTTCCCCGGTTTTCTATTCTTGGTGCCTGCAACTACTTTACTCGTCCCTGATTCGATACATCAACAGTAAGGTAATTTTACCTGTCATGCAGACAATGTGCCTACAGTCAGTTCAATTGCACGAGAGCTAAACTAGGGATAAAAGTCCAGTCAGAGCCAGGTCTGCCAGTAGACTGCGGTATGAAGTCTACGATCCTACCTACTCTGTATCTGTAATTGTCTCGCAGTCGACATGTCCTCCCCAGCCCCCTATAGAACTTTCTCGTCTAGTTTTAGTACACATACCTTACCCATACAAGAGAATAGGTACCTCAAGTGATGAGGTCTGCCAAAATACGGTATTGTAACTGAATGACCACACCGACTGTCTTACAAGTTACACCTTATCAGCCACCCGATTTTCCCAAGGTATCTTCTCCCTCTTTCCATGGGGTATGCCGTATGGGATATGGAATAGATAGCGGTCTACTCCTTGCTTTTTTGAAGCCATACATTACTGTTGATCATCATTCTATTCAATCCAATGCCTAATGCACCAGTCAAGATCTCGCACCTTGCTTGGGATATTGCTATCGATCATATATTTTTTCCAAGTCGATGAACTTTGGATGATACAAGCTGCGCTTCTTCGTAGACCAGGTTCCAGTATGAGCTGATCTGTGGAATTGCCGATTGTAGAAGTCCGGCAGTCAGCGATGTTTCGGGAATACCTGCTTATGCATGAACTCACTCAAGATCAATTCTTATGGCTGAAGCTTTCCATTCCCCATGCCAGTGTTATGCAGTATTGCACTTAATGAATGTTTTCCCATTTATTTGTTCGACGATCGATGTACGCAGCTACTCGGAAAGTCTTCCTCTATCAAACATGATAGCAAGCGGGCCGTTCGTTCTAACTACCTGATCTTCAACTCGGCACAGATTGCGTGGAGTCTGAAACACCGAAGGCATCGGCCCATATAGGTAGGTGTCATGGTGGCTGACAGCCGTGAACAGCGGCAGGCCCAGAACATCTTCATGTAAGATGCGCTTCTATTGGCGCATTGACAAAATCTAGCATACATCCTCGATCTCCAATTTCTTACCATCGTGTTCGCCCAGGTCCAGTTTCAATGTCCGTCCGAACAACTCGAGCAGCATCTCAAAGCATACCTTGGTAATGGCGGGGTCGTACCGCCCCTTGCTGAGCTCGTCTCGAATAAATGCATCTGTCGCGGTTCTCCGTTAGTACTGCCATTCGAGAGACGATTATTAAACAGCAGAGCGTCATAATCTAACGTACGTTGAGCCCATGCAACCTCGTAGAAGCTGAACAGCACGCCCTTCTCATGCAGGGTCTTGCGGATCAGATCTCTACCCTCCGGCGGAACATGGTTGTCGTTCTTCCCGAAAATCTAAAGCATTGTCACTCAGCTGTCTGCTATCATCCAAATCCCAAAGCGTCGAACTAAACGAAATCAACTCACCATCAGAAGCTCACCCTTGATATCGCCCGCTCTCGCCAAACTGTCATCATTCTTGCCCTCGCCGAGGGTCTTGCTGTGGATGTCCGTCGCAAAGTAGCACACAGTTGCCTTGACGCGGCTGTCCAACGCACATCGGTACGCAAGATGACCACCCAAGCACATACCCGTTGCGCCTACCCGGCCATTGCAAGTGGGCAGGGAGAGCAAGTAATCAACGCACAACGAGGCGTCCTCGTCATAAGCGGCTATTTTCTACATCGCGGTTAGCAGCGCTCAGACATAATCTGCCGCGATGGTGACTCGGCTTGTGGATGCGTACCTTGCTGACTTTCCACTGGTTTCCCTTGTCGGTATCTTCAGCATTGTATAGCAGCGGCTCCGGACCGGTGAACTCGTGGTAGCTGGACGGCGCAGCACAGATGTACCCCTGGCCCGCAATCTGCCTGGCGAATCGCGAGACAGGTCCAGTCACTGGCTACAGTCAGTGTCGGCGTCGCCAGTCCCACGAAGCTGTACGCACCTTGGTAGATCTCACTGAACACTACTACACCAGGGAATCGAGCTTTGGGGTATCCAGGAATAGTAGGATGGAACACGTAGATACCTGATAATCTGTGATAAGCGGATAAGTCTTGATTGGGGTCTTGGAATCATTTGGTTACATACGCATAGTACCATTTCCATCCGCCTTGGTAGGCACATCGTGGAAAGATTCCTGGATCAACATGACGTGTGACAGCGAAATTAGGTGGTATGCAATGTGCTCAGTTGACTCTGTATGATCTTAATCTAAATTCAATTGAACAGTTGGCACAATCAATCAAAGCGATTCCACCTGTCAGTTACTGACTTTCATGCGACACATGGTGGGGTCAATGCCTCTCTATCGATAAGCTGCGATGGAGGGATGAAGACAGGTCATGTGATTAATAAGATATATTGTTGGCTTCAAGTGCCTGGATTCGAAAGCTAACTGAGTGACACCTTAGATACGAAGTATTCGTTGTCTTCTAGGTTCCTCGGAATTTATACATTATCATTCAAGCGATACAGTCTCGCTAGGGTCATAAACCTCTTTATCAAGGGACAGGGGTAACGGTAAGGGAAACAGAAGGAGGAGAAAAAGTAACAAAAAGGGAACCAAGTGATGACCGGTAGTAGTCAATCTAATGATGTACATGAATCGAAGTGAACTGCTGGTGGACATCAAGAATATAAAGACTCCTGCAGTAAAGTAAGAAGCACATGTAGGTGAGTCGGTAATATTGCTCTTCTAGACCCGATAAGCCGATGCATATTATTATGGCATATACCAAGTCTTGTACGTGATGAGAAGGTTTTGGAGTAGTGTTGTGCCCACAAGAAGGCGCGAGCTAAAGCTGTCGAACCGCTCAGCCTTCCCTTAGAATACATACTATAGACCAGAATCAGTCAGTCTGTTCGTCGCGTTTCAAGATGAGCAATACTTACGGGGATGAACAGATACGGAACCTGTCGTTCGTACTCCACCCAGGCTTCGCCGTACTTATTCCGGCAGCGTTGGATATCACGCAGGGCACGGTGGGTGATCATGCACGCGAAGAAGATGGGGTAGAACCAGGGGAACGGGCTGCTGAAGCCGGTAATCAAGCCCCAGTTCAAGGCAAAATAAAGATCGCATGTGTAGTGGATCTTACGAGCTTTACCATCTGCGCCAAGAGTCAGCATGTCTGTCTGGGTGCTCCATTGAAGAGACTGATCACTTACACCATCCATCAACGAGGATCTTGGAACCATCGGCGGCAGTGATTGTCTTGGGATTCTTGAGAGTCTGCCATGGGAGCTGAGGGAACGTCTTCCGAGAGACCATCGTACCACGCTCTTGCTGGCGGAAACGGTTCTTCTGGCTGTTGGTGGTATCCCAGACCCAGTAAACAAACAGATATGCCGCATACAGGAACACCAGGAAGGCACGGTTCCAACGGTAAGTAGCGGGGTCATGGCTGGCAAGGTAGATCGTGCAGTGGCAGTAACTCAAGGGCACGCCGGCCAAGTTCCAGAAGATGAGCATGAAACCCCACTTTTCATAATACATGTCCCTAAGACGAATTAGTTCACTGGCTGTGATGGCTATGGTTAATCAAGAGCATGACATGTGTGAAAGCTTACCAGGTCGACACGATACACTCTTCACCTTTGCAGCAAGCATTGGCGTACAAGAAGTGCGCCATCAGGAGGAAGCCAACTTCTCCAGAAACATAGCCATAGACCTCGTACTGCCGAGCTGCAGCACCGAGAGAGATGAAGAAGAGGATGAACCAAGGAAGGCGAACCTCGAAGAACATCTTAAAATCAAGAATACCAAACATTCTAGGATTGAGCTCCGCGCCCATGAAGAAATCATAGATATGATACCCGGTCATGCGATGTTGCGCGCCACGAGCCAACGCGGAGAAGTATGCGACGAAGGACACCAGGAAGCCGGAGATGATGGCGACGCTCAGAAGAGGCCCAAACTCATCGATGACAGTGTACAACTTGAAAATCCCGGTAAAATGGAGGACACCGGCAAGAGCAATGCTGGTGTAGAAAGACCAGACGCCGGAACAGTAGTAGGGGAGCTGCTTTCCCCCGAGATGCGGCAGAGCACGGCCCATGACAGTCACACCAGGGAGAAGGACGTAGCATAGACCTTCGAAGACGAAGAATACCCAGTAAATGATCCAAGCTCTGAGCGAAGGGTAAGCGCCTTCATAGACCAGATGGCCCATGTGCGCGAAAAATTCCAACATGCTCTGGCCGTCCGAAGGACGAGGAAATTTGCCATCATAATAGACGGCGCCAATCCACATGTAGTACATCAGCAGAGGGAACCCGATCATCATGGACAGCACTCCCCAGGACCCTCCAAACTCGAACTCTCCGCTGTAGTCAATCTTAGGATCCCTGCCCTCAACCCAGCCGTCAATGACTCGTGGCTTCTTCGTCGAACCATTGGCGCGTCCATTGGTGTGTCCATTGGTGTGTCCATTGGCACGTCCGTTCTCTTCCCCTTCTGACACATCCTCGGTCTTCACCTGACGTCTCCGGGTAGTAGACTTGGATCGCCCGCGGATTTCGGTCGCTGAATCGGACACGTCGTCCGCACTGGTCTCTGATGCTAGAGCGACGCTGCTGCGAGTGACTCGTCGCCCAGGGGTCTCAACGTAACCAGGGCGCTCCAATTTCCTACTCGGAGAAAAAATTAGTCAGACTGATAAACTCGCGACGTTGTGTATTGCGAAAAGGAGAAAAAGCAGACTCAACGAGCTTTCAGGGAGGCCAGCAAGTTTGTTGTCGCAAAAGGTTGGTTTCGGTTTCTTTTTTGCACTCTCTCCTTTCGTCGCACAGGGACTAATCCACTTACTTAGGAGTTTTCCCCGTTTGGGAGCGTGTGACAGTCATGATTTTCTTTTCATGAAATTGCCCCAGTTAAGAGGCAAGCAATTGAGCACCTTTATCTAGTGTAGAGCAAGAACCGAGAAGGTTGAGGAGGAAAGGGGAGAGAGGAAGAATGTTTTTTGGGGGTGGAAACAACAATTATTATTTACTTGGGGTTAGATTGCGACCAAGACTAACCAAGACACAACCACAACTGGGGAAGAGAGTGGAGATAAGATCGTCGATTGCACTGTGGCCTCTTCCCACGGCTAAAAATGTGGCAATAGAGAGGTAATGTTACTTTCAGATTCGAGTCACTCAATGAATGGGGATAAAATGTCACTCCATCGAGTCCCTCAACGCTTGGTGCCTGGTGCATTCCATCCCATCCTACGCTAATAAAAGCATTTGACGGTAGTAGAAATATCTGCATTCTAGAGCTCAAAGGAGAATGATTGAATTCGTAGAAAATACAAGGAAGTCAGAGATTCTATCAATCCCAGGCGACCAAGTGTACTATTATTTATTCTATCTGAGGTTTGCGCGTAGTAACCAACCGAAACAGTCACTTCAGGTAATCGAGAATTCATAACATATCTTTATTCAGCATCTATTTCAGCAGGGCAATTGTATATTTCCGAGATTGTTGAGATCTTCAAACTCCATGCCATGCTCCTTCAACAAGAGAGATACACTCCCGTAAGACCACCTGCGCTCACGAAAGAATAGTTCCCTCCCAAAAAAACCCCATGAATAAAGGAAGACCTAAAAAATCTGAAGAGAAAAAAAATGAGCAGGAAAAATGGAAGAAAATGAGGTGGATGTGCCGCTATACAATGATAGGTATTCATGCAATCATGCTCCTCTCTGAATGTTGGTTGACATGAGCGTGATCTTCTTATTCTTTTTCTTGCGTCCGCCACCACCAGCAGAAGAAGGTTGGTTTCCTTCCAGACTCGTCTGAGCCAACAACTGCCTTTCCTGGTGAGCTAGTAATTCTTCTTCCCAGTCCTCGCGCCAGCCGTCGTGGCGAGCGGGTCTTGAGGGAACTTCTGACGACTCTGAGATTGATGGTGCGACGGTAGTTCCCCAAACAGTACGAACTCCGGGAGGAGTAGTCGACGGTGAGGCTAAGGCGCCAAACTGCGAGGACAGCCGAGGTGGTGATGCGGACGATGAGCCAGCGTCGAAGGGCGGAAAGCCGTCAGCCGTAGGGTCATTGGACAATGGCTGGAAATCTTGACCTGAAAACGGTGGATCACTGATGCCAATGCTGGGTCTCCTGCGGCGTGCGGCGGCCCAGCGTTTTTCCTCCTCTTCCTTCTCCGCGCGGAGTCGTTCCTTCTCTTCGCGTGCCTCTTTCTCCTTGTTCCGCTTCCTTCTTCTTCCAGTCTCAGCGCTGAAGCGCTCCAATATTTCTGGGACGACCACATCTCTCCAATCGCATTCGAGGAAGTTCACCTCACATCCTTGTGGAAGATGGCTTAAATATTTGACACGCTTCCGGAGCTCATCGTCAACGATATGTCCGCTTGAGATACGCTCGACGCGGGGAAGTATCGTCGCTGGAAATGTAGCGTAATCTCCGAAAGCAGCCTTCAGTATGCGAATATCCAATGGAGACAGGTAGAATTGAGGAAGAGCTTGATAGAAGTAAAAAGGATGGTCGGGGGGTGAGGTCCATTGCCTTCCCGAGTCCGATCGCCTGCATGAGAGCTTCGGCTACGCCCAGGATCTTTCTGTTTCAACTTCGCTTCCGGAGTCGAGTTCAATTGAACTTTGCTCACAGCCTCCGCCACGCGGTCTACGTCACCGGTCGTAGCCGGAGTAGTAGTAGCCCCAGTGCCCACGCCTGACGATGACATGGACTCAGCCGACGGGGTCCCTGTTTGAGTAGCATCAGGTGGGGACTCCGCCGGGACGGCTTCCCTGAGTGACTTGTCCATAGCAGGTTGTCGCTCAACGTCGGGTGGATTCCCAATTCCTTTAATTTTTGCTTTGGCGTCGTTGATGGTGGCAATAGCCTTTTTGGTCCACGTAGTATCGTCACCAAATAAAAGCTCATCCTCAGCTTCCTGCCTTCGAAGATCCTCCACTTCTGCATCATATTGAGCGATCATGTAATCTTCGCCACCTTTCATAATTCGAGCGTAGTCAGCTACCTCCGCTGCATGGTACCATGGAACATCCTCGCCGGGGTTGAGACTCTCTGCGCCGTCGCGCGGTAGAGCAAGGGTACTGCCTGGATCTCGCTTCACCAGACGTAGTACCACATCACCACCTTCGACAGGGATATCTCCTTCTTGCCCACGAAACCACCGTACAGGTCGGGTCTCTGAAATGTAGATTGAGTCCCAACAAATTGGGCACTTCTTCCACCGAGCCTTCTTCTCAGGAACTGGGGTGTCATCGTCAGTAGAGTGCATATAGCGAATCAGACATGGTAGGCAGAATATGTGACCACACCGAGCCATCCGAGGCGCTACTGGCGTAGATAAACAGATGGGACAGCTTGTGGATTGGGTTTGCGCCGAGACCAGGACCTGCAAGACGGAATCCCAATCCAGATGAACATCGGCATTCGCCGCCTGCGCATGATAACTTCGAGTGGGATTCACAATAAACCGGTAATTTGCGTGCACGTAGCGAGCTTTATCCATAGCATGGTAACCCGAGCCTAATCCCCACGAAGCATATCGACGGCTATTGCGTGGTGGCGGCTGGTATTGCGGGCGTGGAGGTAGGGAAAAGTTCATCAAATGCGTGATGGACGTTTGTCCTTTACGACTCGTTGTCGATCTCATGACGGCCTGAGCACCAGAGTATCAAATCTTAGTTTTCTGATCAAAGATCTGAAAAAAGAATGATTGCTTTTGAAACACATACAGTTTCGCTGTACTCGTCATCATCTAGCAACCTAGGTCGCCTCTGCCGTTTGTGATGGCTCTTGAGAGCCTGGTTATTTCTTGGAGAACTCGAATTCCTCGCTGCCAATCCCGCTCCGAAACTACCAGAGCCACCAGTCCGCCTCTGAGAACCGCTATCGACCGAGGGAGTTGAGTAAAATACCGCGGAAACGGACTGGCTAGGAATATTCACGACTTTTGAAGAATTGGGCACCTGACCAGAATTGGACGACATCTCTCAACCCAAATTCGACGATGACGGCCGGTCCTGATTTCCTATGGCGGGGGAGAGCGGATAGGAAGTAGTGTTATGAGGGGAAGAGAATGGAAGGCCGAGACTGAGCCACAGCACGAGAGAGATCAACCCTCGATGCGAATGCAGATCATAGGACATACACTCAAGCATGCGATGACACCAATCAGAGGCCCAAGGCTAACATGGGGAGAGGAGAAGCACCAAGTCCTGATCCCTCTCCTGTCGGGGGGAGAAAGATGAAGAATGAGGAGGAGGGGCGAGTATGTCATGTCTTGGCAGCCATCGAGAGCCTCAGGCACGTGCCGCCCGCCCAAAAAACAGCATCTCACTCAGCTCCAAATCGGCCTCTCCATCGCCTGGCCTCCTCGCCTTCTTCCGCTGCGATCTGTGCCTCTTTGCGGCATACTCCTTTTTACTGCATCTCATTCGTCGCTTTACTGAGATTAAGGTGTCTCCTCCTAGGTAAGTGTCTCAGATCATCGATCCTGCGATCTCTACTTATCCTGAACTGACAGATCCCATTTAGCTCCGGCCACAAAAAACGAGACATCGAGCAAAAAGACTTCCACATTTATTATTTGCCGTTTCCGCCTTCGAGTTGCGATGGCCGTATAGACGGGTTCTGCTCCGTCAGCTCCTGGTCCACCTCTCTTCGTGATTCTTATGGCTCCCATTGAGGCAACGCGTGGCTGAACAAGTCGAGGCAACCTTCCGACGTGCCTGGACATGATGAACCATCATCTGCCCGCAATGCCCCATGGGCAGCCACCCATGCCGCCTCCTCGACGACAACAAGATCTACCTTATGCTGGAGGGCCGCCCAACATGCGCTCTCCGCCCGCCTATATGGGTTATCACCCTCACATGAACGGCCATCCACCTCCTGCTTACTCACCGCAACAATATGGTCAGTGGTATCCAGCGTATCCTCAGATGCAACTTCCTCCTCGACCATTTCAGCCTCCATATGCGCCAATGATTGTCTCTTCGTACCCTCATTCGCCGCCTGTGATGGCTCCATCTCACATGCCACCCCCGTCGCTTGCAATGCAGCCTAGGGCCGCGACTCCTCTTCAATCTACCATGTCTCCGCCCGTCGGATCGGTGCCTGTCCCATTAAACATGCAGCCTCAGTCTCCTGCGGATATTCCTGTTCATTTCACACCCAGTCCTGTTGTGTCTTCGCCATCTGCTTCAGCGCCTGTGATACCCGCTGCCCCTGCTCCGAGTGAGCCTTTCCGTGCTCCGGTGAGTGTTTTGAGTTTGCCTGAGTCCCAGTCGGATGTTTTCGCTAACCAAAAGACTGCAGTTGCCTTGGCTCTCGGTACCCGATCGTCCTTTCCCTGCCAGGACCCCTCACAGACGTCGAAAGGGTCGCAGTTTACAAATCTCATCTGTCTCGGTCGAGCTGCCTTCAAAGGAACCGCAACTAGCTAAGCAGGGAGAGAAACTAGATGAAGAGAAGCCGGTCGAACAGACTGTGCAAGAACAATCAGAACCCCAGACTCCATCCCTATCTGCTGCTCCTTCGGTTGTGGATTCGACTCAGCCCACGACACCGTCTTCAGCTGTTGTCTCCACAACGGCCCGCTCTCAGTCACACTCGAAAGGATCAAAACCCGCCGTTCCTGTGGTGCCAGTTTTGCCCGTCATCCCAGGCCCTGTAGCCCACCAACGGCAGCCACCTCAGCCACCTAAAGACGACGCGGGTCGTGTTCCTGAAACTCCTAAATCAGCAACAGCCTCTGTTGCCTCAGTGAACGAGACACCAAAAGAAGACGCCGCTGAAGAGACAGCCAAGGCGGCTTCGCCTCCACGTGCTGCCCCTAAGTCTTGGGCAGACCTTGTTCGAGCAAAAGGAGCGTCGAGAGTCTCGGGCCCAGCTGGTGCTCACTCGGTCGAGTCTAACGGCCCGGTCATGCGCAAGAGCGAATCTCTGGCAGATGTTCTAACCAGTCTTGGGGAGGACGTCTCTCAGTACAGCGACAAAGTCGCCTTTCTTGAACCAAGAGGGCTTATAAATACTGGAAATATGTGTTACATGAACTCCGTAAGTTGGCGCGCGATTTGGTTTGCTGATGCACATTTACTAAAGGTCTGAGAACAGGTCCTTCAAATTCTGGTCTCCTGCATACCGTTCTATCAATTCCTGGATCATGTCGGCAGACGAGCATCACATAACGTCCAGAGCGCATTTCCTATGGTTGACGCTATGTCAGTTTGCCCTACTTGCTTCCCACTACATACGACTGTACTTACATCGTGTTTAGGATCATGTTCATGAAAGAATTCCGTGTCGTCGATGCTGCTCATTCGGAAGAACAGTTGAGGCTTCGGCTGAAACCTAATGAGCTCGAAGAATATGGCGAAGCCTTTACCCCGGACTTTGTATACGAAGTGATACGACAATTACCACGATTCCGGGATATGCAAGTAAGTTTTGCTCTTCACACACACTGATAGAGTGATTTGCTCATCAACTATTCTTTTATTAGCGAGGTCACCAGCAGGATGCTCAAGAGTTCCTTGGATTCCTTCTGGAGGAAATGCACGAAGAATGCGCTCGAGCTGCGAAAAACGCGAGCACGACAAAACCTGCGGCTTCAACATCCGCTGAATCGATTGATAAAGAGGAGCAGTCTGGTGATGGGTGGCTAGAAGTCGGACACAAACAAAAGGCTGCAGTCACACGCTCTTCCGGTCACATCGCGCAGGAGTCTCCTATCACCAGGATATTCGGTGGTAAGATCAGATCGGAGTTCAAGGTACCGGGCAACAAGACTTCCGTGACCTTGGAGCCTTATCAGCCTCTGCAGCTCGACATTGGCTCCCCTGATATCCACAATATCGTCGACGCTCTGAAAGGTCTAACCAAGCCGGAGAGCATCCAAGGTGACTTTAACTCTTCTCGTGGTCCCAACGTCACTGCCACCAAGCAGATATTCATTGAGAATCTGCCACCTGTCCTCATTCTCCATCTGAAGCGGTTCCAGTATGACAGCGTGACCAGAGGTACGCAGAAGATATGGAAGAAGATTGGGTATCCCTTGGACCTTGAGATTCCCCGAGAGGTCTTCGCTCCGAACAAACGCAATATTATGATGGCTCATGGTGGTTTGCCCAAATACCGCCTCATTGGTGTCATCTATCACCATGGCAGAAACGCTAGCGGCGGGCATTATACGGTAGATGTACGCCGTCAAGACGGTCGCGAGTGGATTCGCCTCGACGATACGGTTATTCGCCGGATCAAAAGCGAGGATGTCGCGGAAGCCGGCGGCGAGGAAGATCCGAAGGTGCTCGCTGCTGCGCTCGAGCAACACAAGCGAGACAATACCTCCAATGCTAACATCTTTGGTCATATTGACCAGGATGATCAGGAGCAGTCTGACAATGAAAGAGGCTGGAGTCAAGTGAATGGAACAAGCACGGGAGGCCATTCGAGCAAGAAGTCCACCTCCGCCGTTTTGAACGGGGCCTCTGCCGCTGCTTCGGGAAGTTCTTCCGGAGTCAGGACTCCCGTCGGCCGCTATGGGTCTCGTGACAACAAAGTGGCATATCTTCTCTTCTACCAACGTATTGCATGAACGCCAAACAGGCATTGAAAAGCATCGTTGAGTTCCAAGAGGCGGAGGCGCCACGACCTAACGAAGGTCCCCAATAACGAAAAAGTAAGACGCCTCTGCCGCTCGCCTTACCATCACTCTGCCAGTGTGCAATCCTTCTTTTAACTGTCGTCCGTCCTCCAAATCACTGCCTCTAACTGTACGCCTGATTCGTTACATCGGTGCGACCTATAATGCATGGACTTCTGAATCGTTTGCTGACCTCCCTAGTCTCTCTGTCAGCTGTAAATACACCCATCCGCAGTTCATTTGTCATGAGTCGACTGTTCATAAAGCGGATGTTGTTTGAGCGAATTTATTCGAGGCATATCGGCTAAAGGAAGCAATCGTTTCCTTCATCCATCCACTCTTTCCTCAAGACTTGGCTTATATCTGCAATCAGCACTTGATTTACTTGCTCAGATGACTTTTTCCATGATGAGCGCCTCGCATTCGATACCTGTTTTATTTCCCGCATCTCTCTTCCCGATGATGTTCGTCACGACTATCCTTTTCTTTTTTCTTTTTCTTTTCACCATGTTTGTATTCGCAGTGCTGTATCTAGTGGGATGTTTCTCCGGCATATACCCCCTTCTTTCTTCGCATAGCTCCACATTTGGGTTTGCCTTGCGGACAAAAACGGGTCTTTTTCTGATATGTGGCGTGGATTGGACTTATGACGACCCTACGAATCTTCTTATCCATAGACATGTTGATCGAGAGGATGCGTGGCATTTTCTTTTCGGCTGATCAGGCAGGCATTCGAGCGGAGGAGGTGTGCACGAACGGGACTACTGGCGGTTGTCAAGGGCCCGGCTCTGGTGGGATGGTCGCTGGATGATTCTCTACTTCTTGCCTCGATAGGCGCTACATGTAACCTTTTTCATGATGGAAATATGAGGACATTTGCTTTCATGAGGGGTGACTTTTCGGTGTGTGTGTGTGTGTGTTTCAAATGACGACGACGACGATTTGATGGAGTGAGTGGTGGTCAAAAAGGGACAAAAAGGATGGGATGGGAGGTTATGAAGATCACAAAAGCATGTTTTAGGAAAATCTAACACATTTTCATCTAATCTGCTGTGCCTGATCCCGAATCTGTAATATGTAATAGGTATCGTCTGTGCTGTATCAATAAGGCGTCCAACGAAGTTTGACCAATATGCATTGGGGGTATTTATCTTCAGAAATGAGTCAAAGCGGCCAAGTATAAACGCAAAAGACCGCGCGATTATCTATCAATAGTCTATCAAATGCTGAGCCTATTTGTGTATCCGAATCGACAAAAGCCTTCTCATGTGTCTGAGAATCGGACACCATCGGGGGGTGAGAGTCCAGGCTGGTATCGCTGGAAGCAATGGATCTTCTCAGATCATTGTCTCTCGGCAGTCGGACCAGCAGGAGCTGGAATAGCGCCCGTCTCACAATCATGGATGATGAGGTTCACCGGTCTAGCGGGTTCTTCGGCATTTCCTGTCCCGATCTGCTGCTCTGTAGAAGGTGCTGGCCGAATCACAGATCGGCCAATCTGGAAGACGGTAGGCTCCGGAGGTTCGCGCCCAGTGCCGCGCTTACGGCCGCGGTTGGCAGACACGCCCCGCGTGGCAGTGCTGTGGGTGTGGCTGATATTCGCGATGGGGACCGGATCAGGGTCGGTTGGGCTGCTGGTGCTGAGAACGCTGGAGATGGTCCGAGGGAGATGATATCCAGCTTTGACCAGTGGGATGGAAAGTCCATGAACAACCTGACAGCACGTTAGCGACGTTCTCGTCCAGTTATGCGTGTAAACTTACGATGCTGCATATAACTAGAAACCAGACAACCACATCAACGGCTTCAGAGACCCTCTGCGCATCCTCACGGACTTTGCCCTCCACCGTGATCGTACGCAGATATTCACGAGTCACCGACAGGTAGAAGATGGCTCCGACCCCGATGGGTCCGAAGAAACCGACAAAGCCAGCTTGAAAGAGATGCTCGATCTGATGAATGTACTTGTGCATAGCGAAAATGATCGGCATCCGGCGAACGAGTAGAATCAGAACGCCCAGGAATATAAGGCGGTAGATTGGAATGATGTCGTTGTTCACGAACGAAGCCCACGGACAAACAGCGCCAAACCACATGAATACGGCCAAGTTAAGAAGCATATCAATAGTCGGCTGGAGCGAGTCATCCATCGTTTCTAGGCGAAACCAATCACTGATTGCGTGAGTATAACGTATATTCGGATCTGTCGACGGGAACTTACTCCTGAGTAAAGACATTTCCTGCAACGAAGCAAGCTAAAAGATCGTCGGTCCCAATCATGCCACAGGTTCCGAGAACAAAGAGCTGTACATGATCAGCAATTGAAGGTGCCTCTAGATGGAGCGGTGCCAAACATACTGCAAGCGCGATGGCAAAGACGAGAAAACTCTCGCGGTCAACATAACGCTTCTCCTCGGCCCAATGAAGAAGCTCTCTGGAAACCCAGCCAACGGCGATCCCGTACACGACGCTCAAGATTACTGTATAGACCCATGTTTCGTAGAACCAGAGGCCAATTGCCTTGCCAGCACCTCCACTGTAGCCCTGACCATCCATTCCAATGTATTTCAGGAGGTACAACCCGAAAAAGAGAAATGGGTAGCCAAGTCCATCGTTTGCTCCCGATTCAGCAACGATGATTCTCTGCAGAGGACGGGGAACATTTTTGTCCGCGAATTTTCCCTTCACGATGGAATTGGAGAGCACGGGATCGGTTGGAGTGATACAGGCACCGACTATCAGCGCGTGGAGGAACTGGAAATTGGGAATCATAGCCCAGATCACCAAGCTGCTACACATCCACATGGCGGCCATTCCTGGACCCAGAAGAAGCGACAGGCTCTTCCATTCTATCTGCAAGTACCGCTTCGGAAGTTGAATTCCGGCCAGTACCAGCTGGACCCCAAGAACGAGCCTGGTGAAATACAGAGTGATTTCCTCTAGGTTCTGTTCAGACCCTAGGGCATACTCTTTGGGCCTTATGAAATTGGCCGCATGGGGGGAGAAGACGATCCCCGCCAATAGAGAGATTACTGCGTATTGCCCGTCAGTCACACTGTACTAATTGCAATGCATTTTTGTTGTCCTAGAAGGAAGGGCATCCCACGAACATGCTTCAGACAAATAAAACCTCTCCTTGAACAAATAGGACACCAATCCAAAGACGGAGATAAAACCCCCCAACGTCGCACAGACGATGTTGAAGTTGATCAGCGAGAGAGTAGGCATGGCTGCTCGTAGCCCCTTGCTTGCAGCTTCGACCCTATGCGTTAACTATTGATTGTCGTCAATCTACCACAAATCGCTAGTCCGGCTTATCGTGCGGAATGCGGCCAAGCGGTGTCACAGCGTGGGCAGGTTTGACAAGGATTGTTCCACGAATGCAGAAACGTGATAATGATGTTCCAATAAATCAGAAGAGATAGTTGAATCTCATGAATTACCAGCAAGTGTTATTCAATCATAGTAATATAAACGAGCTTTCCCACAATCTTCTTTCCAATCATGTAGATGTTTGCTGGCGATAGGCCTGATATCGGCACTCTGGGACGCAAGTCTAGCTGCCTGAACGAGGAAAGACGAAGGACGTTGCAAGCAACCATAAAAGCTCAACTGAGAAGTACAGGTTTTAGTCCACGCAGGATCAGGAAAAAGAATCGATAGATATGACTGAGGGGAAGGATTCGAAGAAGGAAACATCCGCCAAGAAACAGCGTGAGTGGGGAGGAAATGGCGGCGAGCAAATCACATGCTAGAAGAATGGCCGGTGCTGCCCGGTCTCGGAAATACTGGAGTATGCCATGGCTTCTAAGGATGGACTTTGGAGCTATGCCTAAGATAATTGACAAAGGAGATAGATAGACACGGCTACATAAAGGATATATGATGTCCAATTGACTCTGTCCATTGTCGCATCTTCCCTTCATGGGAGTATCACTGCTGTGCGGAGCGGAACTTCAGTTCAATATACCCAGCAGAACTTCGAATTATGGGATGTTTCCCAGGTATACAAGCCTAGAAATCTTCGTCAAGAACCTCATCCGGGATATTGCGTGCTGCTTCCAGAGCTGCTGCTTTCTCCGAAACCCCCCTTCGAGCGCCACTAACTGCAAGACGGTCAGCAGCTTCGTTGCCCGGATCGCGGTTATGTCCCTTGACCCATTCAAATAGAGTCTTGACTTTGAGCTCATTGCGTTCCTCGATCTTCACCAAGATCGACTCGATCAAATCCTTATTCTCGACTGGCTTCTGGTCGGCAGTCAACCAGTTATTCTTCCGCCACTTGACGAACCATACAGTCACACAATCTATCGCATAACGACTATCTGTGAAGATGGTGACGTCGCGATGCCGAGGAGCGATGTCCAGAGCTCGAAGAATTGCGGTAAGTTCCGCACGCTGATTAGTCTGCCGGTTGCCTCTTAATGGCTCCGAGACGTTTCTGCTGGGAAGAAGGCGTGTCAGTGAAACTCCCAGGCCATCGCAGTTTAGCGTAGAAGCTATGGAGAATAGTGAGGACAAACCTTGTATCTCCGGGCCCAAAGAAGACTCCGACGCCTGCCGCTGCCGTGTCTCTACCGTTCTTCAGCGCACTGCCGTCTGTGTAGATGCGCAACATGCCCGGGGGACCAATCGGCCTCGTCTTGGTTGCGGATTTTTGCTCATTGGTTTTGTAAACCACCTTTCCTGTGGCCGGGTCCAAAAGCACATTGGGATCGAAGCCGTCCTCCGCACCTGGCGGTAATGGACCAGTGCCCGGTTCCAAGATGTTTCCCTGCTCGTCCTTTGGTATCTCATCCGTAAGACCTGGTGGTCCGGGCAATGTCTGCGACGTAGCAGTACCTCCGGCAAAGGTAGCTCCCGCTCCCGCTCCCGCTCCCTGCTCCATTCTGACGAATTCCTCCGCCTCTTCTCGCGTGGAGAATTTCTTGTAACGAGGGCGGGCAAACCCTCTGATCTGTTCCTGCGCCCTGGCCCAATCTGTGTATACACCGGGGACGCGTCCTCGCTGGATGCCGTAGAATCTTGTTGGCTCCGAACTCGAAGGAGCGGCACCACGGGCGCCTGGCAGCTGCGTCCCTGTAAGGAAAGCATTTGCTTCCTCGTAGGTTGGGAAAGCTTGAACTATTGGAGACGATGAATATTAGCCCAAGCCACGCACTTAGCAGGGCAGAGAATTCTCTCGGCACTTACAGACCGCCCCTTTGTACCCCGTCACTTGAGTCAAGCAGTCATTCCATTCGTAGTAGATGCCAGGCTGATAGCCCGCCTTGACCGCATAAAACTTCCCCGGTGCGCTTCGCTTTCTCTTGGTACCTGCTGTTGCCGAGGCATTGGGCTTGGGACTGCCGGAAGTCTTCGCCGCAGGGCCAGGACTAGGCGAAGGGGTGGTGTTGTTGTTCATCGCGTCGTACAGAGGGTGCGGAAAGGTCGAAAAGAGGCGAGAGGATGTTCCGTTCGAAAGCAGGAAGCTTGAATAGACTCTACTTGGCAGTGCAGCCAAGCTTCGAGGTACGGTGGAGCAGGATCGAGGGACGAGAATGCTTGGTCTGCAGGGCGACGGGAAACACCGGGGCCCCAGCTTTGAAGCCGAGAATTTGAACCACAGGGTAGGCGTGGTGGATAAGATAAATGCAGAACTGATCAAAATGGCATGGATTTTCCTGAAACTGGGAGCCTTCAACAGATATAAATGATGAAGGTTGAGGTGAGGGGGTGGAGGGCCCGACAGTGCGAGAGGAAGGGGGGGGGGTGTCCGGCTGGATGGTGGAGGTGTTGGGGGCAGAACTTCCTCTTTCACCCCTCTCTTCTTTTTCCCATCTCGATATCTGAATGACTCGAAGTCTCTGTCAACGTTAAGGTAATAGACTGAGCCATGAAGTAAGTGGCTTGGAGTATCAGTCTTCTATCCCTGATTCAAGAGGGAGATGTTGAGGGAAGCTTCTTAAACATTTTCTGGGCCTATATGGACCACCGCATAGTCTGCTACTTTCCGTCTCGGGCGAGCATATCAATGGCATAGTCAATCCCAAACACACAAAAATGCAGGAATAGTTAGTGCATGTTAATGGCATACCATACAGCTCATTCACAACTTGGATTATGAAAATAACTTTCACTATCAACATCCGAAAGGGTGGTTGCACCACTGGCGGCCGCGTATATTATATCACGTGACTCTATACTGTCGAGCATCGACCAACAACAATCCAGAGACGCAGTCCAGATGCTGCTGATCTTACATATAATTGTACTGACATTAGACGGAATATGATGTACCGCTTAATTGGTTGCCTCTACCGGATGTCCTAGTTTGCCGGGATATACAGAGGACGTATATAACAGCTACTCAACGAAGCTGCCCAGCAGTATAGATCTCATAAGCAGGGATATCTTCTGGTATAGTGGACGGATACAGAATGTTATCTATCCGGACGAGCATCGTAATTCATATTATGGGAAAGGGCGTGATCGTAGTCCCCTTGTCTGTAAGTCTCTTTATGTTTCTCCCGACGTGAGCCCTAAAGGATCTGTATGTCGTTGCGCATCGCCGAGAAGACTAGCACGCCTTCACACACACGAAAACGAAATGTATCTTTTCCGTTGCAAAACTCTGCTCTCAAGCTTTCATCTGTGTTCAAGGTCCAGACCTGCAGGTGAAAATCCATATCAGCTTTCCAACTCTCCTGCGCAGCTTCACCGGACCCCTTACTGGGGCATTTGAAGCCGGGCAAGCTTCAGAGGTATCTCCCCGTATTATGAGATAGATAAAGATAAACCCGGTGTTGACGTGACTGCCTTTTTGAATCAGGATCCTTCCCAAACGTCAAGAACGCAGGATACCTGCCCTCAGTGCCTTTGACATGGCCACCTGTAAGTCGACCTCCCAGTTCTCCGAATACATCAAGGAGGCATGAGGCAAGGCAGCCTTGATGATAAGATTGACCGTGATTGACTAACAGGTGTACAGACGAAACCGACCCGGAGATTGGCTTCGATCAGGACGACCCTAGGTACTGGCATGCCCTCCACGTCAACCTGCACCATGCAATCTTAGAAAAGGATATGGCCGAAGTCAAGCGCCTGTTGAGCTTGGGAGCCGACATCAATCTCAAAACTGAGCATGGCTACACTGCACTGGATTGGGCAGACCATCTAAAAAACTTGGAAGTCGCCAAGTGCCTTCTTCGGAACATGAACGTGAAATTGCACGGATATGTCGAAATCCTCAAGCATATCCGTGCCAAACGCCCGATCATTGTGCGCGCTCTCCTGGAGATGGGGGTCACTGGCATGCTCGCCAAAAACAAGCGCTTCCATAGAGGTTTGATCCTGCAGGCTTGTCGGATCGGCCATCCGACTATACTCCAGATGCTGATCAACTGCGTTCCCGGCTACATGATAACTGACTACAAACAAGTGTATTTGCAAGTAGCGGCGTCTGAGCATAACGACGATGTCCTGGAAATACTGCGCGCGAGGGCTCGTCAAGAAGACGCGTGGAGAGAGAACTACCTCAGGCCCAAGGTAAATCTACCATCCAAACTCGATGTGGGTTAGAAACCTTGAAGCTGACCGCAATAGACCTCTGTGACTCAGGTTCAACTGCCGCCAAGAGACCTTGAGTATGAGAAGATCTTCGATGAGTACATCAACCCGGACGCGTATCTTCCTTGAGTCAGAGTTGGAGTCCGTTGGCTTGTTGACTTTGTTGGTTCTGTTGGCCTGCTATCGTGGCAGATGGTGGCATCTTTGATTATCAGAGCAATGATTGAAAACGTGTCCATGCCTTACGCAGATATGACTAGCGATTGAATCGAGATCCAAGACATTGTATTTGCATTTTTGCTCTTCTCCTTGCATAAAGCTGTCAAGGTCGTAGTGTCTTCTCTGAGGTTCTTTCCAGGGGTTGTTCTGAAGTGAGCACGAGGTTGTCGGTATTCTTGGCGAACGATTTCCCAAAACGGTCCCCGCTGTTGACTACTTAAAGCTTCATATGACTGCGGGCATTTTATTGGCGCAAACGTGTCGTGGATCGTATTAAGTGGATATTATTGAGTGGTATATAGGAAGATACGATCATATTTACTGACGAACATTCAATTTTCAGTTGTATCATACACCGAGTTGCATTCTCTAGAAGTTGAGCTGTGATTAACCAGCTGCATATATATTTCGACATTCTCGGGTTATCTATACACCACAGCCATGTCTGAGAATTCAAACCAGGATATCTTCACACTCGTCTCGCAAGAGCTCTCACAGACTCCCTATGAGTGCTCTTCTCTCACCCGGCTCAGCGGAGGAACCGCCAACTTCGTCTATCGAGGTATCCTCGCTAGGCCTCTCCAGGATGGGACGAAAACGATAATCATCAAACATGGAGAGGACTATGTCGCTTCAAATCGGGAGTTCAAGCTAACTACAGACCGCTGCGTAAGTATACGAACAAAAGATAGCACGGCACTTGTGCTGATCAAAGCCAAAAGCTGTTCGAGGAGACAATCCTAAAAGCCTTGAATGGCTTCCCCGCTACAACCGAGACAGACACCGACAACAATACCAGCTGCACAGTCAAGACCCCTCGTCTGTTTCAATTTAACCATGACACCAACACTCAGATCCTCGAAGACCTGCCCGGAGCGCTGGACCTAAAGTCTCTCATGCTCCTTCCCACAAACTCGCAAAATGTGTCTCGCGAACTGGCAGCGTCTATCGGCCGTGCGTTGGGAAAATGGCTACTCTCTTTCCACACTTGGGTCTCGGAAGAGTCTCAGAAAGATCTGGTCAAGACGATGGAGAAGAATGAGATCATGAGGGATATCAAGTTCATGGTCAACTATGACAATCTCGTCAAGATGGTTGATCAGTTCCCAGCATTGCTGAAAGAAAGCCAGCATATCCTCGGCGAAGTCAGGGACATGGCAGCGGCGGAGCTGGGCCGGAAAGATGGGAATGGGTTTGGAGTGATCCACGGGACTTTTGGTCGGGAAAGTAAGCTGATCTATCTATTTACCTGGTAGAGTTCGATGGGATTAATGAGTCCAGTGTTTTAATACCGAACACCGCATTGGATCAGCAGAACGATATTCCTCTCTTCGTGACAGACTGGGAATTATGTCAGTGGGGTTCCCGAGCTCTCGATCTGGGCCAGATGGTGGCCGAGCTCTACCAGCTCAAGCATTTCAAGAACGTCGACGCAGGAGTCTGGCTCATTGAAGGACTGCTTGACGGCTACGGCCCGATCGATGAAGATATGGCTTTCCGGATCGCGATCCACATCGGCGTTCACTTCATTTGCTGGGGCAGTACGATTCCCGGTTGGGGAACCAATGATCAAGTTGAAGGGGTGGTCAAGCTTGGAAGAGATCTTGTGGTCAAAGGTTGGCAGAAGGATCGGAACTGGTTTGGGACAGGTTGGTTGAAGTGCTTGTTCACTGTGGCTTAGAGCTGGAGCAATCAGAAAGAGAAACAGATGAGCATGATCAACTCGAGCCAGAGGCGTCAACACTGAAATGGTCCAGAACATGGGATCGCTGTAAGCCAATCGGCAACTGCAAGCAACCTACTCTTAAGAGCAACCGCAGATATTCGACTCGTACATGAGCAGAGTAGTCAACAGACAAGATGGACAGCGATTGGCTAGCATGATAAATTGGCGCCTATATTTGTATTGGTCTATGGAGTGATGTTGATGTTTGGTCGTGGTTCTTCAGCATGCAGCATCTCAAAAGTATGGGTGATTCATCTGGATTTGCATTTGTACAAGTTGCGGATCACAAGTAACGAGCAAGCGTTAAGAGGCGAGAAGGTCATTGATGTGTTCTAGACTAGAGCTTTGCACGGAAAACGCTCCGAATGGAATCTAGGCCAGAAGGCCCATCATAAATCTGTTGCTCAACGACTCGGGTATTGATCTAGTCAAGGTCAGTATCGGGCTGAAGGAAAACGCTCCAGGTGCCGACGTCATATTTGGAGATTGAGTGAAGATCAACTTACGTGCTGTGGTCCTAAATCCTCCACTCTTTCGACGCCAAGCAACCGCATACAAGTCTTGGTTTCGTCGGCAAGGACTGAAAAAGATGTCAGCCTATGTGCTTCTGATTACTCCTGAGGGTAGAACATACTCTGCAGTGTACGCTTAACCCCATCGACGCCACCGGCTCCCAAGCCCCAAAGGGCAGGCCGTCCGATTCCTACAGCTTTGGCACCTAGACAAAGGGCTTTCACCACATCTGTGCCGCGTCGAATGCCACCATCTACCCAGACATCGAGCTTGTCGAAGACCTCGGGGCAGTATTTCCGGATCTCTAACAGAGTGTGGACCGCAGGAGGAGCGGTGTCAAGGGCTCGGCCGCCGTGATTCGATAGAATGATACCCTTCACTTGCGGAGTGTGAAGCGACGCGATGTAGGCGTCCTCATGTGTCTGGAGACCCTTGAGAACAATAGGCAAATCTGTGTGCTTAGCCAGCCACGGCAAAGTATCCTTCCAAGTGAGAGATGGGTCCGTTCCGGCAAACAATTGCTTTCCAACACCCCCAGCTTGGCTCACATTCGGAGTACCATCTGCGGCTTTGTCTGCCGCTTTCGCAGCACTGGGAACGGGCATTGACGCAGCAACGTTGTTGCCTCGCTCGTCGTCCTCCCGTTTACCGGGAACGGGAGCATCAAGGGTGAGAACGATGAACTTGATTGCCTTCAGCTTATTGATGCGCGCCAGCATCGCTTCACTCTTCTTGCGGTCGATCTGAACATAGATTTGCCATCCAAAGACCTGATCTGGAGCCGCATCCTTGACAATCTGCTCTGGTGTCATGGATGCATTGTTGGAGATGATTTGCATAGCCCCGAAGCTCCGACACGCCTCTGCAATGCCTGCCTCACCTGCTGGATGGCCCAGGCGAGCCATGGCAGCAGGTGCTACATATATTGGCATTCCAAGCCTGTGTCCAAGGAAAGAGGTATCCAAATCGCATTTCGTGCAGTCGATAAACACTCTTGGTCGCAATATGATGGATCTGTACACCTCGGTATTGAACCGCTTGGTGATTTTATCATCGGATGCTGAGTAGTAGTAGGCCCAGGCCTTTTTGCTGACGTTCTTTGTGGCTACTTGCTCAATATCGTCCATGTTGAGGAGTGCTTCCATGGGGACCTGCCCTTTGCTCTCCTCGGCTACCGCTGGAGAAGGCTCTGCCTGTACCTTGGGTAGCGTATCTGGGTTGACGGTTCCTAGCAATGCCTCGGGCTTGAGATTCTCCTCGAGAATACCTGGAGGATGGATGGGATCGTATTCCTCAGTAGCATCTTTGCCGGCAAGCTTGAGAATGATCCTGGCACCACCAGGATGTTCGGTGAGAAAGTCTGTGACCTGGAGGCTGTGTCAATCAAAACGAACCAATCTCAACGGGACGATAATTGCTGAAGGAGACATACATCGTACACTTTTCCGTACAAAATCACCCAACAACTGTCGGGGGTATTATGCTTCGCGACTGAGCATTACGATGAGATGGTTAGCCGTCATTTTTCGACCAATTGACAGAATATCGACGAGGAACTCTCGATGGATGTCTAAGGTGTAATGTACCTTCTGCAGCGTCAAATACCTTCCCCATCTTGATGCTGTTGACGGAGTGCTAATCACAACTCCTGCGACTGCGTGAAGATCAAAAATATGGACAAGGGAGGAGAAATGGCCACGACAAGAAAAGAAAAAGAAAAAGCCGGTGGAATTGTACCCGACAGGCTACCTAGTTAGCAGATATACATTTGTTGTCCGATGGTCCAAGTTATCAAAGCCACCGAATTTGAATTTACGGGGTCCCCATCCAGTCGTTCGGACAAGAGGCCGACGTGGGGGGGCAGCTCCATCAATTCCATTAAAAAAGGACAAGTCCTTTGGCTGATGAAGAATGGGGAAGAACCGGCGATTGAGCATTACTGCATTGGGCAAAGTCGAAAGCCGACGCTGGGGTTGGTGTTTGTCCTGTTTGTCGGCCGCTTAGAGATGGCCCTTGGATTATTGGTGGAGAAATGAGATGAGGACTACGTTGGAACTAAATAAAATAGTAATGATAAGATCATAGGAGATTAAAGGTAAGTATGGTAGAAGAAGATACTTGCACAGATTCGAAGAGTTACAAGATATGACAACATTCCATCGCTGAATTCGGATGGCAAGGATATCTCGTGTTGAGCTAGCCCTTAACAGGCAACATGATACTCTTCCATAAAGGGCCGTCTTTGCTCGGGGGCATCCACGTGAGCTCCGAAGGACGGAAACTTCTGGAGTTCGTATCGACCTACTCTCGGGACTCAACTTCCAGCTAAATTGGAGCGTATCTTTAGAAGAAGGCAAGGAGCTCATAATAGGATTGGGCAGTCGAATAGCCCAGCTATTATCAACTGCGTTGTGGTTTGTCGCTCTACAGTCTGCTATCCCAGTGTCACTGAAACTAGCGGGTTCATACAATCCAACCCTGCCTGACACGTCGCTATGTTCGAGGTACGTCTTCTGCATCCCTGAAATTAGCATACAATTTCCTTCACTGAGTTTGGCCATGTTCATAAGTGTCGTTTGACTTTGTATTACCCGCTTTCTTGTGCTATGATTCTGACGTGTACCAGCGTCGCGCAGCTGACCGCTACCGTCTCCGGATGCACCGTGCCCGGACGGTCGCTCTAACATCGGATGAGATTGTCGAAGTACGAGCCGCGCAACGGACTTTTGAAGGCGCCTATGTCCGGACAGCACTGTCACAATTCTCATTTGCCCTCGTTGTCCTCAAGATCTTCACCAGCGAATTCTACAGCACCGGAGCTCTCTTTGCTATCTACGGAACGGGCGTACTCATCATCGGTCTTTTCCGTCGTCAACAGGGAAACCGCCAGTTCTTTTCCGAAGTCGGAGAAGACGGGGTTCATCGCCACAAATTCAAGACGAGTGGGAATGCAGTACTGGTCCTTACAGCCCTGAGTCTGGCTGCGTATGCGACCCTCATCGCGCTGACTGTGCGGCTAGGCCGATAAGTCCAGGGCAGCGGACAGCAAGGGGCGTCGCATAACCTAATCTCTATCAATCCATCTAACTGAAGAACGACGTGCGTCGGCAACTTTGGAGCCTCCCCCTGCGTGACTGCCAAGCGCCAAGAAGCAGAATGCGACTGCTTGCTTCACCCTCAACCGGTACTTTTACGCAATTATACGATCGGAGCGGAAGGTGAGCCGACAGGGCGACCACGGTGACAATGAACTTCCAAGTTGATCCAGTGATGCCACTTGGAACTGCCAAGGCTGCCAAGGAGATGTCCAACGGACAATAAAGCCCAAAAGTACCTGCACCACGGCGGACACAAGGCACTTAGTGTGATACAAGTAGGCTCGCTGTCATCCCTGCCCGACACGGAAGGATGCACAAGCATGGTCCTTCTGAGGGAGGCTACCTGAACCCACCTTCAGCCTCTGAACGTTGAGAGGGCAGGATATTACGAGGACTGGCAACTGGCCAAGTTGCCTCGCGCTTCTGGTAACCCTCGCTGAGCTGCAATGCTGAGTGGTGGACGGAATCCGAGTGAGGAGCAAGGGAGGCATGCAACCTAAACCAATGGATCAGCAATGGGGCGATTTCGAAATGCTGAATGGCCTAGATTCCGGATGGGGCTGCACTAAGGCAGTCATCTAGACCCTTCGAGCTCGAAACTTTGATAGTCCGATCCCCGTTAGATAACGAGCTAGGCGCTGCTTCATTGGGAGGGTGCGGCGAGCTGACAATTAGGTCAGTAGCAATCACAACTGCGATGATGTGACATTGCTCCTTGAGTAGCTTTACACTCTAGGCCATAAGTTATCGTAGATTATCATCGGTCGGAAGCTCAAACGCCTTCAAACGCCAAATTTCGATGGTGGAAGCCAGATGTCAATTTGGTCATGCAATTGCGGGCGTACACTCAAAAGTCTCACGGGGATTTTTCCTACTTGTCAGCATAATGAGCCGGCGAAATTGCCTATCCCTGGATCATGCACTCCCTACAGGATCAGCCTCTTCCCTCACATCCTTACCTAGCCAAGCATTCTGAACTTGCCTGTACATCCATCGCAAACCCAAGCCAAGCCTTTCCCGCTTTTGTTATGGCCGACTATGCATATGGGTAAATAGAGCGTCTCAACACGACAGCAACCATGATTAGAACGAATGCTTTCCTGTGCGCTGTCGAAGACTATTTATATTCTTTTCTCACAGCTTTACGATAAATAATTAACTAGTTAGCTGAATTGAGTAGACATTATTTGACATCATTCATACCTCGCGGCGGTGATCAGCCTTCCGATGATCCACTGTGGGAATCGCTATCCTCAAGACCCCAGAAGTGACTTCACCAGGGAAAAGAATAGGTGGACGGCAATACAACTTTTCCCGGTCGCTGTTATCAGAGAACACATCTGACTACCTACTATTTTCTTGCTTCTCGAAAGTGCCATTCTGATCCATAGTCTGATCACGTTCTGCCCTGTCCTGTCCTTGCCTTGCGAACTGGCTTGCCGGCGCACCCGCATCCAATCAGCCGGAGCTTCCTGGCCATCCACAGATTATCTGACTGTGAATGGGAACAACTGCTCTTTCAACGGCAGGCTAAATCTGGACGGCGCACACTCTGGAAAACCTGGCAAAGTGACTGCTGTTCACTGTCCCTTTTTTAAACTTCTTGTCACGGAAATCTCTCCCTCACAGCAGTGAATTCAGTTCGTCGATAGTAGTGACGTTCTGTTTGCCGTTGCTTGACTCGTTACCTTACTTGGTATTATTGCTGCTTCGGCCCACCCACCACTTGTTTTTCCCTCTCTCTTTGCACCCCTCGCCTCAACATCCTGTGACTCAGGCCTGATCGATCCGGGTGCATTCCAAGTTGCTTCTCACATTTCTCGCAAGATAAGAAATCCTCCTTTTGTTAGCCACAACCCTGAAACCTCATCTTTGTCTTATTTAAATTTCCTCTCCTCCCCTCCCCTTTGCATCCCTGCTGTTCTGCGGGGATGGCACAGCAACATTCAGACATTGCGCGTTCCGCGATCATGACGTCGGCCTCGTCGCCTGAATATCAGCGAAACGGTGTCACATCGAATCGAAACAATCCTGCAGGTTCTAATAAGAACAGGACGGGGAAAGACGCCAGTCTTATGCCGCCGAAGACTTTAGTCGGACGAGCGCTAGGGAACGAACTGCATTCCGATGCCCACAAGGGATCGCGTGCGTCTAAGGACGGTGTCGGGTTCGCCCTAACAGACACTCCGATTTCTACCGCACCTCCGTCTCCACAGATGTATGTTTCCCTTTTCGTTTCCTCCAATGATTTCCTATGATATGATGGCGTTTTCTTTTGTTGATCTGGACCTCGGGTTATCTCGAATTCTAGATCGTGCAGATTGCAGCCCAAAAGCCACTTTATTTGGGTGCCTGATCGGCAGTTCTCGTGGCGGATCTATCATCCCCCGAACATACCTTGCTTGTATAGCCGAACTATGTTTCATTTACTCATGTCGTTCTAAGCCTTCTGGTTATTTGCTTTTTATTTGTCTCGGATTATATCATCACTCTGTGAATCTGGTTTCTCCGCCTGGATCGATTCTGTGAGAACGTGCTCCGTACTGACAATAATGCTGAATATAGCAATGGCATTAGCCAGGTGTCGACCCCGAGTCGGGTCCGTGCCACCACCCTCGATATCCCAGGTTTGACCAAGTCCAAAGTGTCTCCCGATGGACGTATCGCTCAGAGAGATCTCGGCTCCAAGCTGGTGATTGTCATGGTCGGCCTTCCTGCCCGAGGCAAGAGCTATGTGACCAAGAAGCTGGCTCGCTACTTGAACTGGCTGCAGCATGATACACAGATCTTCAATGTTGGAGAACGTCGTCGTGTCGCGGCTGGCAAGTCTCCTTCTCCTGCCAGAGCCATGGGCCCTCGTGACAAGCGTGCGTCTGTGCACAACGATCTCGTGGATTCTGTGCGACGTCTCAGCGTGAGCGTGGGCACGATGAACACACAGCCCTCTAAGACTGAAACCTCGCCTCCCGAGGCTGCTACCTCGCCCCCGGAAATCAAGGGCCTCCCACCACCGGTCGTTCCCGCTAAGATCCTTGTCAATGGGCAGGAAGAAGATACCTCTATGCAACAGGAGGGTAGCACGATTATCAATTCTATCGATGCGGGACCGGACAACCAGCAGGCGGCCAGGGAAGCATCACCGGAGCCAATCGATCAATCGGCGTCATTCTTTGACCCACAGAATCAGCGTGCTGTCAAGCTGCGGGAACAGGTTGCACTGGATACCCTGGATGAGCTCTTAGACTATATCCTGGTGCAGGGTGGCAGTGTTGGTATCCTCGATGCCACCAACAGTACCCTCGAGCGCCGCAAATTGATCGTCGACCACATTCGCCAAGTCGCCGGCCCTGAGCTTGGGGTTTTGTTTTTAGAGAGCAGTTGTGTGGATCCCGAGCTCCTGGAAGCCAACATGCGTCTCAAGCTGTCGGGCCCGGACTACAAAGGTCAAGACCCCGTGAAGTCGTTGGAGGACTTCAAGAAGCGTGTAGCCCTCTACGAAAAGTCCTATGTCCCGCTGGGAGAGTATGAAGAAAAGCACAACATGGCTTATATTCAAATGATCGATGTCGGACGTAAAATCGTCTCTCATCAAACCCATGGCTTTCTTTCCTCACAGGTCGTCTATTATCTTTTGAATTTCAACCTCTCCCCGCGCCAAATCTGGATCACACGTCACGGCGAGAGTAAGGACAACCAGCTGGGCCGGATCGGAGGCGATTCCGAAATTAGCGAAAACGGGCGCCGTTACGCCAAAGCTTTGACCCGTTTTATCGATTATCAACGGCATCAGTGGGAACAGTTACAGCAACAGAAGAATATGCTGCGGCACTTCCCCCCACGTCCTGGCGACAGCACACCTCCCAACCCTTCCTACATTCCGAGAGATCGGCCGCGTAACTTCTGCGTGTGGTCGTCAATGATGCGGCGCTCGGTCCAGACGGTCGAAGGATTCAACGAAGATGAGTACGATGTCAAAGAGATGAAAATGTTGGATGAGCTGCATGCTGGAGAGATGGAAGGCATGACGTACGACGAGATTCGCGAAAAGTATCCCGAAGAGTACGCGATCCGCAAGAAGAACAAACTGTTCTATCGTTATCCCGGCCCTGGAGGCGAAGGGTATCTGGACGTCATCAACCGCCTTCGCGCTGTGATCATCGAGGTAGAGCGGATGACGGACCACGTCTTGATTGTCACCCATCGGTCGGTGGCGCGTGTTCTGCTCGCTTACTTCCGTGGACTGAAGCGGGATGAAGTTGCCGACCTGGACGTGCCTCTAGGAATGTTGTACATGCTCGAGCCCAAGCCTTACGGCGTGGACTTTAAGGCCTATCGCTACAATCCTGATACCGATTGGTTTGACCACATTCCCGACTTTGAACTAAGCCAGACCCCCACTTATTGATTTTTGACTGATGAAGCCGTCGCTTGGTACCCTTCCGTTGGGCCTTCCAAATTGATCAGTCTTTTACGCTTGATTTATGACCCCTCCTTGCTATGATTCGGATTTTGCGGTTGCCAATGTCATGATTCTGCGATGTGACCTTTTCCTGTCTTTTTCATCAACCTTGTATTATCATTGAAAGATCGCTTGTGGTTTCCTTGTTTAGGTGTGTCATGGATAGCGGGAGTCTGTGATGAGTTGTTTTTTATCTCCAATCAACGATGTCCTTGTGTGCTTTCGCATGGAATGGCGTTGAGGTGGACTTGTACTTGATGCCATCAGTGCTCAACTCTTGCTCGAAGTGATGTTTGCTAGAAATGTGGTCCTTACAGTCTAGCCTCTTATGATATGTGATGTGATTTAATCTGGCTCCCTAACGCAGCTTAGTCTATGCATACTCTGCAACATTAGACGTGTTCAATAAGTATTCTAGAGATTTCCTAGATTAAGAGATTTGCTTCACTTTCTCAAACACCTCCAGGAAGGTTTCCGGCTCATCCGCGCCCTCGATGGCATATTGCCCTTGCACGGTGAAATACGGGACACCAGTGACCAAGCGACGTCGCGCTCGTTCGGCCTCGAGGTCAACTTCCTTTCCTCCGTCGTCGCCAGACTCCAGGAACTTCTCAACCTCCCCGCGGTCCAATCCCGCCGCCACGGCGGAATCAACCAACACCTTCCGATCCGTGATATTCTTCTCCTCCTCAAAGTAGGCGCGGAAGAACTGCTCAGCGACCCTCGTCTGCAGCCCACCCACCTTCTCCTTGCTTGCGTCCCCGTTAGTCGCAGCCGCACCCCCTCGAGCCCCCGCCTCCTTCTCCTTCAAGCCCGCATACCAAAGCACCCGGTGCGAGTCACGGGTATTCCCCGTCTTGCCTCCAAACTTGAACGCAATGCCGTCGGTCTCGCCCGCGGCCGCGAGTCGCGAGAAAATCGCCGCGACCCGGCCCTCGCCGAACTTGGAGGCGTAGAGCTCGCGCTTGTCCACGCCGGGGTACCCCGGCGAGGCCGGGTTCAGGTAGAAGGCGTGCCAGGTTAGCGTGAAGGTGTCGGATGGGTACCTGGCTTTGTGGGCTGTGATGGCCCGGGAGAGACGGCGGTAGCCGACGTAGCACCACTTACATGGGTTAGACTGGGGGTACGTGGTGGAATATATAGGGTACCTACCGGACAGACGGTGTCGGAGATGATTTGGATGTTGATGTTGGTCATGATGTTTGAAGTCAAGGGTTAGTGGCAGTGGCAGTGTCCCAAATGGAACAGAGTGCGTCCTCTAGATTATAGCTTTATATTATTCTGGTACTCCGTACTGAGGTAAATATTTATTTGGCTTGCTTTGGTGATGATTTGTCAGCAGCTTTATTTTCGTCGTGCTCGCGGGTCGTACTGATCTATTTGATTGATTTCCAAGTATTTGGTTATGCTGTTGAGTGTGAGAAAGCCTCTGGCCCTATCTAGTGAATGTATCTTCATAATTTGTTGTAGCCAGTGCAGTCTTGTCCGTCTCATCTTGTCCACTTCTACCATATGATACTATTGATCTGCTGTGACATCATCAGCCGAAAGGACATCCGGGGAACTATAACAAAGCACTACTCCACCTGCATCAAGGCTACACTCCACACTTCCACAGTGCTTTTCCCAAAGTACTCTGTACAATGACCAATTGCCGGCCCCTTTATTGTTGTATACCATTGTCCGATGGACATCGTGGATCAACCCAGGGCTGGATTCCGCAGCGCCGTATCCTCCGAGCAAAAGCTTGCTGAGGTATTTAGTCCTGCCCAGTTCACATTCTGTGCTGGATTGGAACATGTCCTCCACACCCGTGCTCCTCCCACTATTCAGTGGTTTACACAGCTTACCACTGCCGTGCCAAAGGATACCTGGGGGGTCTATGTCCTGGTACTCGAAAGACTGGACATGAGTCGCTTATCTACATTGGATCCTTAACTGCCGTATATCGTGGGATCCGCCCCCGCATCCAACAGCATTCTGTTGGCAAACTTGTTCCACGATTTGTTCAACAAGCAAACACCAACGGCTACAGTATTGTTCATATATCAGTATTGGGATATATGCCGATCCCTGAACCTCATGACATCACGAAGTTTCGGAGGGTCATCCTTCTCCTTGAAGCCTGCAGACCTCACTGCTGAGTATGTTCAGGAAGCGAAAGACGATGGCTATTCGATTGTGCATAGTTCTATACTGGCTCACATGCCAATTCCTCCACCTCAGGACATCACGAAGTTTCGGAGTTTCACCCTTGTTCTTGAGGCGCGCGAACCTCGCTCCTAGGTTTATCCAGGAAGCCAAGAATAATGGTTATACCATCATACATATGGCCTTACTTGGGCATATGGCTATCCCTGGCATCCCCCCTCCGAAGGAGGTACCGACATTCGGTCGCCCATTCATCGTCGAGGCTTGTTTCAGCTGTATGTTCTGGCCAATGCGATCCAAGGACAAGTCCTATGGCTTTCCGGAAGGGTTATGGCAGTGGTTTCCTCTTTTGAATAGAGGGTACTGTGTTCCCATAACCCCCAGCTGAAGTCCTCGGGAACATATTCTACAGATATCGTGAAGCCCTCCAGAAGGTAGTGATAAGGAGTCTTCATGGCTAGTGCCTACTATACACCAGAACAGCGGGCCAGGATTCCTGCTTCCAACAAAGCGAGGAACAATGTCAAGCAGAGACAGGCAGCAGTGGCGGTGGAACTGCACTGTTATGGCATATGAAAATGCTTCTCCCATACACCACAAGACCAAACGCCATCTTAAGACAGAAATGGGCGATGCCGAGAACGAGCGAGGCAGCAAGAGGCTGTGGCTTCAAAGACGTATTACTGTGATGTCTGTAATGTGTCGTGTCGTGACGCAGCTTCGCTTAGGAGACATAACAAAACCAAACGGCACAAGAAGAAGGTCGAAATGGGCAATGACGACTACTATTGTGCACCTTGTGCCATCTCTTTTCGTTATCTCTCAAACTTCAAACAGCACAAAAAGCCAAAAGCGCATATTCAAAGAACGACATGCTAACTTTGACCCAAAGATCTCACCACTGACACTCATGCTCTCCGCCGTCTCCGCACTGCTGTGGGCACGCCAAGTGGACTCTCTCTTCTGCTGCTCAGACTGCAGTACCATTGTACCAACCAAGTGATACAAGGGTACATCATCTACCACTGTAGGTAGGAAGTTAGAGAGATCATCGAGGATATTATCATACGACCATACATGGTCGCTCTACCATAACACAGACCTCGGCCTCTTGCTCCAACTTTGTTTCAGCGCACTGGCCGTGCAATCTACGGCCGATGATGATCTGTCTTCGTCAAATATATCCTGCATCAGGTCACTTTCGCCATGATTGGGGTGGGGGGAGGGGGAAGAGTCCGCGTGTGTAGGTTTCGCTCGCGGCTTTCCTTCTTCTGGCTTCAGCTCATGATGGTGTTCGTGATGAGCGGCCAGTTCCACTCTCTAAGCGGCCACATGAAAAGGGAGGGCCTTGGGCATAATCGCCTCAAAGCTTGAACGGTGGATATCTGCCAGGAATGCATGTCAAAAAGCTTGTATGTAAAGTGCACCGAATAAAAAGCCCAGACTCAACCCGCGGCTACTGCTAAGCCTGTCGCTGTGACTCATAGATGGACGTGTCTTGCAGGCTATGACTCTGTAGTAGACAGACAGTAGATAGTACTAACATCAAGAGCAACACTAATCACCAGACAACACGCAAATTGCTTTGCTTCCGCAGAAAATGGATTGCTCCTACATCCCAGAAGATAGCAACACCTGGGACCGCTTCTACCACCCCGACCCAGACGACGAGGACCCCCCAACATTGGACGAAATCCGAATCCTGCGGGAATTCGTCGATTGCTACGGGACGTCTGATGCCATCGCGGCAGACGAAGCTGCTCGCAATTTCATGTCTCTTTGCAACGATGACCGCCACGGTGGTATTGTCGATAAGGGCGAGCGCGTGGGGTGGTTATTGTGGGATGTGGGGATTGAAATGCCGCGGTATCAACCTGCCATTCTAAGATTGGTAGAGGCCATATGAGCGCTCCCCGGAATAGACCGAACCGAAGAGCAGATCCGCACGTGGCGATTCAAGGAGAGGTTGGAACGCTGGATAAAGATGGAGGCATTTGAGGAGATTTGGTTTACGGCTTGGCAACGTGAGTAGTGATCAATGCATTACATGCTTGACTTGATCTTCCGGCAGCTCGGAAAGCACCACGGGAGACAGGCTAATGTCATAACTGCAGGTTGCTGGGACTGGAGATACCCTGGGCATGAATACGATGACGAAGGCTATTCTGACTTTCTCAATGCCAACGCTTTCAACGCGCATCGTCTTGCAGCCTATCCACCGGACTCTCCACGTTCAAACGAACTAGGCAGGGCATACCAGCTCATCATCTTCACGCTGGAGCAGGATCCATGGAATCATATACCGGAGTCCTTACAGAAGGGAACCCGCTCCCCGCGATTAATTGACCGTACCTGGTGTATCACATCGCTGGACGTAAGTAGAAGAAGATTCCTGGATTGCACTGATGACTGACTAGGATATTAGACTGATGTGCATGCCCTGGTGCCTTTTATACAAATTGCTGGGCACATCATCTTCCGTTTCATAGGCAGGAAGGACCTCTCCGGGTGGGACTCTATGAAATACCCCGATTCTAATCTGTGGAAGGGAGATACCATGTTCTCACTAGATCGCTGGGAGTTCTGGAGAGAGCGACTGCGATGGATAAGTGAGCAAGATGAGCTTAAAGAAAGGACGCGTTGCGAAGCCCGGATGTTAGAGAAACTTATGCTGAGTATTCAGCAACATACGGAGTAGTAAGGAGAAAATCAGAGCATAGCCATATGCATGACTTGCATGTATGTTATACCCTTCTGTAAATATTAGCGTACAACATTATCAGGTGTTACAATCATTTGAGGCGAAAGTACAGACAATTGATCATCGCAATCTACAACCATGCATATGAACCATGCGTACATATATTCGTATCAGTTACTTTTGGATGTACAGCGACTCAATACAGGCTATCACAGTCATACTCGCGTCAAGCATTGTAAAGACGTGCATTTACATTCCTTGTCCACCCTGGTTGACCAAGCGCCAGGTGTCCGGATGTTCCACTGGAGTAAATGAAACATTGAACATAGGGGGTGTGTCAACGCCGGGCTGCTGCTCCCTGATCCTCTTCATAGTAGCCGAATACTGCTTCATGTCAGTCCCAGTATTCCAATCTCCGAACCGATCAGACTTACCTTGAAGGCGAAATTCAGCACCAAGGCAATCGCCAGACCAATACACACGACGATAGGACCAAATGTGTTGTCCAGATCACGTCCGCTGCGCTGCCGGATGAGCCGGGACCGCTTTTCATACATGTACCATCCCCAAGCGGCGGCGAACAAGGCGAAAAAAGTGTAGACAATGGACAAGGCGCGAGCAATATCGTTGTGTTTGCCCGCAGCATTGTACAAACCGAGAGACAGAGAAGAAAGCAGGATACTGACGTGCAACCACTTGATAAAGGTTCGTTGGTTGGCAAGATATACCTTGCTCTCCACCCGGACAGGGCCCGAATCCTTGATCCAGGTGACAGGTTCACGCACGCCAGGTGGCAGGACAACCGACTGTCGATGCGTGCGGCTGGATCGCGAGATGGGGAAAGACGGGAAGAGTGCGGCCAAGCGGGACGACGTTATAGGCTGCGTTTCTCCCGGAGCACTCACCTCGGGCAATGTGCGGCCTTCTCCTTCCTGTATGGTAGGCCTGCTCGGCCGTGGTACAGGTTGCGAGGGCTGTCTTGTCCGCGCTGGGGAGCCCAGGTCCGAGAACATGGTAACCGGGGATCCAACCAGTGGGCGCACGGTAGGACTTGCTCGGTTGCCCAGGAAGCTTCCGACGACCATATCATCCTCGGCACGCTTTGCAAGCCGTTCCTGTTCTTCTTGAAACGCTGTTTCGGGATCGCGTCGGATGTCATTCTCCAGTTCGCTCAACCAGAAGGGGAAGCTATTGACATGGTCCTCAAATAGCTGAGCGACACCATGGACGAATTTCGAGAAGCGCGGCGCCTCCTTGACAAGATGGGAGACCATGAGCTCGTTGACCCACTCGACATGATGTGCGCTGCCCCGCAGTTTAATCTCCAGCAAAGCGTGTGGGAACCGATTGACCTCGCCGGTTCTGATGCCTTCGAAGGGGTACTGCATTCCGCTATCGTCGATATCCCTCCGATGCCAATCGGTCGGGTCCCGACACGGACGTTCTTCGTCCAGCGCGTCTTCCCTGATGAGCGCAAGGTTGGTGTCGAGTGAAATTCGAATGCGATCATCACCGGGAATTTGGAATGCAGTGCGGGTGTAATTGGCCCGAAGCATGGGCTGTAGGTTGTTCTCCTTGATGAATGACTGCAGCTCCTCAACATCCTTTTTGAGCGACTCCGCCTCCGCTGATTCGCCGTTATTCAAACCTTCCATTCGATGCAGCTGCTTCTCGAACGTATATTTGCCCTCAAGGAACTCCTGCACATGCTTCTCCTTAAGCTGCACTTTCACCTCTTTGCTATAGTCATCACGGGTCACGATCTTCTTCTCCAGGAAAATGGCGGGCGTGTCCTTGAGATTCCCGGTCCACCGAAGTCTGAGCGAACCGGCTTCGGGGGCTTTGGCTACTTTCTGATTGTAGAGGTCGAACTGGGGGCTGTCGAAGTACAAAGATGTAATTGTGGGGTCCTCAGGAAGCGACTCAAAGTCTCTCGACGACTTGGGGTTGTAAATGAGCACAGGCAATCGGCGAAGAATGTAAGTCTTGACTTCCAGGATGTTGTCCTCATGGACCCAGAATTTGTACGATGAGTACGCATCCTGGCCAAAACGGGGCTCCCCGGCATCTTTAGCTTCGACAGCACCCTCACTCAGGATCTGGCGCACAAAGGAATACATCACTGATATCCGATGAACCAGAGGCGAATAGTCCTCGCTGTTGAAAGGGAGCTGCGATAAACGTACTTGCAGCAGCGGCCGTACGCGGTATCGTGCACCGCGCTTGCGGTCATGCTTCTTGGCAGCTTTGAGGAAACCGGTGAAATTGATGCGACTGTACTTCTGGAGCTCGCTAACTTCTTTGGCAATCTGGTCCAATTCCTGAAGAACTTCGGTAGCGATAGACTCCCTCTCCTTCTCGTCCACGGTGGCGGTCTCCTGATCCGCATTGGGTGCCAATGGCAGTAACCTGCTCTCACAGGCAGACGTACGCTCTTTCAGCTGCTGAGATGTCTCAACCTGGAAAGCATTGACCTTGTCAAGCTGCACATTGATCAGTTCCTGAACGAAGGCTTCCTCGTCCTGCTCTGTCCATGGAGACTCTTCCGAGTCACTTGCGTCTTCGGTGACATCATGTTCTTTCAAGAGAACCTTCAATTTGTGATAGTCGATGTACTTCCCGCTCCAGGGGGGTAAATCGAGTTCTTCAGCGTCTTGCCAAAACGCATGACGAATTGATAGGCTGATTTTCGGTTAAATTGAGGTCGCGACAGTTGGAATGCTACATTCGGTCCAACTGTATAAGTTTGTTGGGGATCTGTTGTAGAAGCGTCTCAACAAACAGAACAAGACATAAAGCGCATGAATGTGCTGCAAAGAACAAAGCAGAGGAGACAGAAATCCCTTTAGGGCCTGATGAAAGGATTTTAAACGATTGAATCAACGCTTGAGATCTGGTGGCTGGCCGGCACAGTCTAGCCTTCCAGCTAGTTTCATGAAGCTGTTATCAGGAAGTCCAATGCATGCACGTGCGGCACTAGCCTTAAGCATCCTCAGCCAATCACAGTCTGCATGACGTCGAGTTGTTTCATTCTGTGGAAGGAAAGACGCTGCCAAACGGTTGGTAATGCAAATACGGCATATTGTCTTTTCATGACGGTAAGTATGAAATGGTAACCGGAGATACCTGGGTAGATCACCGATGGAGCCGCGGTGATAAGATCAACAGCATTTACAGCATTCCATATCCTGTCGTATGACTCTTCGATTCGCAGTCGACGACGGCAAATCAAGGCCATGAGAAGTCCTTTTCACATTAATATATTGCAATTTACTCTCCTCTATTCTTGATAGCCCATAGCTTACCATTTATGACGAAACATCCACGCAATGGAGTCCATGAACCCGAAGTCAAATGAAGAACCACCGTCGCTGCCCAAATCACTCCACACCGCATTGAACGATCTTCATCGTCGCCCCTATCCACATGTTCCCAACCCTCCATCGTGCAAGAAACGTGCTTCAGTAGCTCTGGTCCTCCGGGTACGACCAGCATATGATCATTGGCCCGATTCGCCTTCCCTACCCGTTGAGCAAGATCAAGCCGTCTCCACTGAACAACGATTGAAGTCATTCTTCTATCAGCCCTGGGTTCAGCATGGATCACCAGAGGTCCTGTTTATCAAACGGGCATCACGTGTGGGAGACCGCTGGACAGGACATGTTGCGTTCCCTGGAGGGAAGCGTGATGCGGAAGATACAGATGACCGAGCGGTTGCAATTAGAGAGACCTCGGAGGAGGTAGGATTGGATTTGACGACAAATGACTATATTTACATTGGAAATTTGCCAGAGCGGGTAGTAACCACCAGCTGGGGCTCAGTACCGTACGTTGGCAATCTTGATCTTGCTAGTTCCTTCGATAATGCTTACAATGTTATCCAAGGTTGATGGTCCTCTGTCCTTTCGTCTTTTTGTCGACTCGGAGCGATTCACCAACTCTCAAATTGCAACCAACAGAGGTCGCTTCATCGCATTGGGTACCTCTCGAAAGTCTTCTATCACCTTCAGCACGGACGGTTGAGTATGTTGACATGTCTCAACGATTTGCAAACCGAGGCGGGCTCATTGCTCGCCTTCTATGTCGGTCCCTGATGGGGTGGATGGAGTTCGCTGCGATTCAGTTGCAACCAAGTGAAAGTTTAATCTGCAATACGACTCCGAACCCGGATACCATTACAAACCAGTCAAGCTCTTCAACCTTCCAAAGATGGAAAACGTGTTGCTCAACCGCCGCCTCCGTTGACTCAACTCGACCCCTGCATCTGTGGGGACTGTCCTTGGGAATCTTGGCCGACTTCCTTGATATGCTCCCGCCGCATACGGCCGTGCGGTTGTGGAAGTATCCTACTTTTACAAGCCCTGACTTGCGCTTCATAATCAGCATTCTGACGTATCGTCTCCGAAAACGCAATATCCTCCATGTGAGCTCTGGGGCTCGGACAGTCATAAATAACACGGCCGTGGACGGCCAAACCGTGGCGTTGGCAGTACTTCAAGAAACCAATACACAGCACGACCATAACGATGTTGGAATTGGAGGCTTGGGAGTGGGCAGGTACTACGGAGCTTCAGACAAAGCTTCCGACGGGAGCACATATGCTGTCGGCATTATGCTCAGAGGCTACTACGAGAAGCTGCGTGTTGCGATTTATGTCTTCCTCGCATGGAGGATTGCCTTGGGCTCCGTGGCGGCGGTCTACGCATGGAAATTCCTTCGAGATCGTCGAATTCGTCGGTGACAAGGTCTCCGCCTTTGTACGGAGGCGATCTTGTATAGTATAAATTCCTGGTGATTCGAGAACTGGTACATACTACAGTGTATGTCCAGCCTTTAGGACCGAGTCGAAGATAAGGAGATTTTGGTCGTATATATGCAACAGATACTGTACATGGAAGCTGCTTTACTGGATAGAGCAAGTAGACTGTCACCAGCTTCCTCCAAGTACATTCGGAATTGAACCAGTGTGGTGTCAACGACCATGGAACGTACTGTTCTGTAAATACGTAGCTCGGTGGTTCCCCACACCATCTTTCTCCGGTATCTATGGAGGTGGTGCAGAAGGTAAATTTCCAGTCATGTGACTTTTCGTCATAAATATCGAGCTCTGATTGGCTGTCCATTCATGGACCCTCAGATTCCTTTGGGAGACCACTCCAGATCTAGTACTAAGGTAGGGTAAGATTGGTTATCCAAACAAGCCCGAAGCTCATGCATATCGTCCCCATTATCAATCAAAATCATCACGAGTAAATCATCGCGACCAGTCCAAGAATCAATTCATACTTTGAATCAGGACTTTACTCTCAGAATCCTTTGCGATGGCCGCGACACAGAAGCTCTATCCTCGTGGCACTGTGAAGGGCATTGTGAAAGCACATTCCAACCGCAGCGTGAGCAAGAACGCTGATATTCTGGTAAGCAGCAGGTCAACAGTCACGTCAAAGCTCATTAATTAACTGATTTCTCTCCGTGCCATTACGCAGATCTTCTTAGATTATATGCTTTTCATGCAAGAGTGAGTCGGCAACCTGCCCTCCCAGCATTTCCCCAAGCATCGGCTGTTACCATCCATGCCATGTCTTCTACCTCGAGGCACAGCTGAGATACTCGTTTGATGGGACAATGTTGACTGGATCCAAAGATTGATGCGCGAAGCTTCGATAAGGTCGCGAAAAGCCGGTGAAAAGCATGTCTCACCAAACTCTGTCCGCAAGGTCACAGAGGTACGTTGTCAATTGAATCGATTCATGGTGCTGTTCTGACGGCTTAAACTTTTTATTCCCCTAGAAAACACTACGGAAATTCAAGGGCTGATCAGTTGAATCGTCTTCAACCGACTCTCTCCAGCATCGAGTGCATACAGTAACCACGGGTGGGATGAGGCTACTCAGCCGCTTGGCTTACAAGGAGACTACCTGAGATCGAGTTCCCTCTTCCACTACTCTTCTGAATATATTGCAAGGGAAAGGAGTACAGGCGTTGTTGTGTTGATTCTTATGATACCCGGGCCGCGCCTTGTGGGCTGAGCTCCACACAACAGATACATGGTGGTGCCCTCTGAACAGCTTCATAGTCACTTGATGAAATAGCCGCCGTAATTTATAAATACAAAGATTCATCATTTTATCTCAGTTGTATAAAGTGTGGAAACGAATTGGCCGTCCTTTAAGCTCTTTGTTCTGCTGGTCGTTGCAGCAGGCACACGACAAAGCGGCGAGAGGTTCGGAAGAGTTCCACCCACATCTTTGACTCTTCAGCTCATGACAGCTTAGACCAGATCCTCGCACAACACTCTTCTTTCTGAACCATTTCCCTTTGCGCACTCCCTTTACTTGCTAATTGATATACCGGAACAAGGCGATTCTTAGCCTTTCAAGTTTACTTATCTATTATCCTTTATTTGAATCACAATCCTCCCTTGACTTTGGAGGTCATCGCTCAGAGCTCCCACATTAACCAGCTGTCGAACCACGCATCTCCACAATGGCAGCTGCTTCTGTCAACAGCCACTCTCAGGCTCAGTCCGAGGCCTCTCCAAGGCCAGAATATGCAGTCACTGCTTCTAAAGCAGATGGGACCCAGGGAACAGCCAACGGCGTGGACACCCTCGACAACCCTCATTTCAAAGATCTTCAGAGGTATGTAAGATTCAAGGCTGAAGCTGGCGCATCTGTTGCGATGCTGTACTTTGATTGTTCCGATCATGGAAATTGACAGCATTCCTATAGGAGCTTGCGCAATACCATGAAGAAGCTGGTGAGTCGCTCCAACACGCCAGAGAAACACTCGTTCACTCGCTAACAAGCATTCGGTCTCTGTGTAGAACGCAACCGCAAAGGTCGATGCTATCATCGCAGAAAACCCCGGCAAATCTCTCGACGAACTGGTTGCAGAGAAGAAGATCAACGTGGACCAGAAAGCGCAGGCCCTGAAGAAGCCTGCGCTCCAGGCCACCGTCGCTCAAATTGAGGAGCAAATCGCTCAATTCAAGAGCTTCGCCAGCCATTACGAGGAGCGCCTGAACAGCCAGAAGACCGCATTGGAGAAGGCCTACAAGGAAGAATTGGATACTGTTCGGGAAAAGGTTCGCGCAGAGGCTACTGAGGCTCACCAGAAGCATCTCAGACAGAGTCTGCTTAGCCTGACCAAGTTCCTTTGCGCTGCCGCCGCCATGAGGCGCTCCGGTGACGAAACATCCCCCGAGAGCCGTGCATTTGAAGGTGTCCTCTACCAAGTCTACGGAGGCTCCCAGGACGCAGTGAGCTCTATGCTCAAATTAATTGACGGAGTAGACGAGAAGGTCGTCAGTGTGGAGGGAGAAACACTCGAAGTCACCTGTAAGGAAGTCCTCCTTATTTTCTTGATTGAACTTGATTTGGTCCAGTTGATTAACCAGTGTGCCTTGTCTAGACGGTAAGGTGAAGCAAACATCCGAGGAGTACGCCCCTGGAGGTGCCACCGAAGAGGTGACCGCGGAGGCAACTGCAGCCTCTGATCCTACCTTGGCGAACGCCGCCTACACTGAACTCCAGGACGGCCCTCTTGACGCCGGTGCTACAACCGCCAACGAGATTGACGCCTCTGCGCCTAAGGCCGAGGTCCCTCCTCCCGCCCAGACTCTCGTTTCCGATGCTGCTAACCAAGTAGCTGAGGCTTCGTGGGAGCAGAACGGGGCTGGCTCGCTCGAGTCGTCGGCAAATGCTGACGGCTGGGTTGAGGTGCCTCGCGATCCGGCGGAGACGGAGACAGGCCTACAGGCAACCCCTGCCTCTGCCGATACCGGACTGAAGAACAACCCAACTGTCGCGCCGGCCTCCGGACAGAGTGATGAACATGTCTCTGTGCCTAAAGCGCAGGGCGGCGACGGATTCGAACCTGTTGTGCACCATCAGAGACAGCCCAGTGGCCGCGGTCGGGGCCGCGGTGGACGTGGCCGGGGAGATGGATTCCGTGGCCGCGGCCGTGGCGATTTCAGGGGCCGTGGTCGAGGACGCGGTGGTCGTGGCCGCGGCGGACCCAATGGGGCCCCAGCTGCAGCTCCGGCTGCAGCACAGTGATTAAGTCTCAACCTCTCCACGGGACGCTGGCATCTACCATGTGCCCCTGAAGAATAGATTTCTCTATGAGAGTACTAGTCTTCAGTCCCATGGTACTCGACTCCAGCGCTTCGCATTAGGTGTCGCCTGGGGGGGTTCTTCCTAGGCACCACTGCACTATTTCCCCCTTATTTTCCTTTCTTGACCACGTTGGTCTCTCCATACCCTTCTCTACCTGTCTTAATGTCCACAAGCGCATCGGTACGGCGGTGTTATGGTTGACGAAAGCGATGAGCAACTCGAAATTTTTACCGGGAACAAGGATTCTTGATTGCAAAGGGATGGGTTTGGGATTGTCTGGGCTCTTCTGCACCTTTGCTCTCTGGTTCTCTCTTTTGGTCGGTTGATGTTACCAAAAGTCCCTCTTGTATATGTCTGGCAGTTATTGAGCGTGCATATCCTTGGTCTGATATTCTCCATCTCCTCTTTCATTTTCTGTAGATTGTATTCTCCATTTCCGCGCCACCGGTGGGTTCTGAAGGCGACCTTTTTGCTTCTCTGTCTTCATTTCCTTTCCCTGTGTTCTACTTTACTGTTCCCCTCGAGTCTCGAGGCCCGACATTCCGAATTTGGGCCATGGAGCGGGGGGAGATGGTGATGGTGATAGGCAGGTTGCTATCACGCCGTCGCGGGGCCATGGCTGGCCTGTGGGAGAATGGGTCAATCTTGGAGAAGATTGCTGTGTACAGCAAATGAAATGAATGGCATTCATCTCGCCCACAGCAGTCTTTTCGACTCTATATTGTAGCTTCAAGTGCATCAGTAACAGTAAATAGGTCCGAAACTGGCAATAGGGCACAGGGCTATGACATAATCGGTCTGTCTCGACCTTAAATGATTACCCATCAGCTACGGGTATCGGTGTCTCATCCTGATGGATACCAAATTGTCCTTGTTTCTTTTTTTCTTATTCCTTCGTTTGATCGAGTCACTCGTTGTTTACCCCTCATGTTCTATTTCAATCCGTCGATTGCGTGAACTTGCAGTCCGAATTGATCGTCATGGCGCTGGCCGCGGATCAGCGTAAGAAGATACTTCGAGTGTTGATGATATCTCTCCTTCTAGACCTGGTGGGAATAATCCTACATACCAATGGGACGATGAAGACTCTCTTTAACTGACTTGTGCTAGATCTCCTTTACATTCATCCTTCCACTCTTCCCGTCGCTGCTTACGTTCTATCGTTCTCAAGACCCTTCTCCCACCTCTCTCCTTAATCGTGTCTTTCACTATCTCAACGCGTACAAGAACTCGTTCGCAAAGCCGATTGACTCGCGATATGATATAGTACTCCTTGGAGGAGCGCTGGGATCGCTCTTCTCTCTTTTGCAAGCCATTGCTGCGCCTTTCATCGGCCGACTATCCGACAGATATGGACGACGGCCGGCGCTGCTCTGCTCCATGGTCGGGAACACTCTGAGTGTCGCGCTATGGGTCGCCGCGACGGATTTTCGTACCTTTCTCGCCAGCCGCATTGTCGGTGGTCTAAGCGAGGGCAATGTGCAGCTGGCGCATGCAATTGCGACGGATATCAGTGACGAAAGTCAACGGGGTTCGACCATGGCGCTGGTGGGAGCGTGCTTCAGCATTGCGTTCACCTGCGGGCCGGCCCTTGGAGCTGCCTTGTCGAACATCACCACGGTGGCTGCAAATCCGTTTGCGACCGCTGCGGGAGTCTCTCTTGTCCTTATTGTCACCGAGACACTGTATCTGTATCGCTGTTTGCCGGAAACACACCCCCGGTTGACCAAGCTCAGTTTTGGTCCTCCCAGGGCTGAGGACACCGCCTCCTCAACGCAAAAGAATAGCAACGAAGCTGGTGCCTCAAAGTCCGGTTCGAAGATGCCTGGCAAACACACGAATAATCCCGCTCTCCTCAACCTGCTTCACTTTCTCTTCCTTCTTCCTTTCTCCGGGCTGGAGTTCTCGCTTCCCTTCCTTACCGCCACATTTTACGCAGGAAGCACCGCATCTCCATCCGCTCTGAACGGTCGTCTTCTCTCCCTAATGGGACTCATCGCCTCCTTGCTCCAAGGGACCGTCGTCCGACGTCTACCGCCCCTCATGACTCTCCGCGCCGGAGTCGTAGCTTGTACCATCTCTTTCTTTCTCCTGGCTCGAATCTCTTCGCTCGTCGGGCTTTACTCGGCCGGTGCTCTGTTGGCTGTGACCAGTGCCACGGTTGTGACCGGCCTGAATAGTCTCGGTAGCTTTGAGGCGCGCGAAGGGGAGCGCGGCGTCGTGCTGGGTCGACTGCGAAGCTGGGGCCAGGTAGGCCGCGCTGCGGGCCCGCTGCTCTTCTGTTCACTTTTCTGGTGGGTCGGACGCGAAATTGCCTATACCACTGGTGGGTTCGCAATGTTGGCGGTCTGTGTGGGCGTATTTACGACGTTGAAGTCACCCCCTATCGGATCTGCGACCAAGGCAGGCAACGTGAAGGCCTAGCAGTTTCGTTAGTTGCATATATCAAATTATTGAGCGTATATTCTTGGCATAGCTGGATTCTTGACTGATTCATCAACCAACAACAAGCGGGACTGTTCACACAAAGTTAGAGTTCTTTACTTCGATATGTAACATCAAGGGTGAGCAGAAGTCCATCATACACTCTATAACATTCGTTGCTGGGTATAATACACGTAAGTATAAGTACATTAAAAGAGGAGATGGTGCGAATTTAAGACAGCAGACGATGAAAACATGATCAACGCCATAGAACTTGAGTGAGAGTGCCACACAGGCGCCACATATATCAGCAGCGTTAGTAGAACAATACCACAAAGTATCTTCGTGTTGTATGAGACATTTTGTAAGGGCTTACACACCCATCATCAACTGCAGCCGGGAACCTGAAACTGTGAGCTATGCCGACCGGTCAGAGCCACGATGCGTGCGAGACGAGGGAAAGCTACAGGTCTGACAGCCCTGGATCGCCAGCCCAGGCGGAGGGTCGAGAGAACCTCTCGCCTTCCCAATCAGCCAGTCAGTCAACGTAACAAACTTGGCAGTCCGGTCCCATCCGTTCGCATCGTCAGCATGCTCGATCGTATGCGAAGAGATCCGGCCTTCTTCATCAAAGGAGAAGATGAACAGCCCAGTAAACTGCTCTTCATTCGACAGTTTGAAGATAGGTGCATCCCCACCCAGAAGCACGCTGAGACCCTTGTTGACGCCATTCTTCGCAGAAGTATGGCTGAGCTTTTCCGATGATCGCGACGACGACGACGACAAGGCCGTGTTGGACCTGCTCACAGCACCGGCAGAGCCATCTTTATGACCCTCTCTCCTGGGCTCTGTCCTCCATCGGACGACTAGCCGCTCATCGCCGCTTTCGCTCTCGCTGCATCCATCCGGATCTAAGACCGTGCCTGCACGAACGATCCGCTCGCTGAGGATCTGCAATTTCACGTTGCCGACTAGCGGTAAGCTGCTCCAAGCCACAGGGACAGTCCAGAGCGCGGCTCGATACAGTGTCCGACCTTTCACCGTGGGCAGGTGCGGATGCGTCGAGGGGAATAAGTGAAGTGTGATGTTCGGCGAAAGGATGTTCGGAGGTAACGGATTGATGAGTAGAGTAGGTAGCAGAGGAGACAGAGTCCGTAGCGCTGCGGAAGGGCACCGTCAGCATGATCCCATCCTCTCATCGACAATTTATTTCTTTCATCCCGGGACAATCACACGTACTTTTTCCAAGTTTCAGAATCCGTTCGTCGGGTGGTTTGTGGTCATTTTGCGGGCCCCCGTTCAGCCCGTCTATGGACGATTCATGATGCGTCTGTGAGAAGAGCGTGGGCGATATGGGCGTTGGCCAAGGATCGTTGAGAATCCCGTGCCGTGGCTGCGCCAAAGGCCGTACTGGGGATGACACAAAGTACTGACGGGGACTAGACAGAGAGATAGATTTCCGTGGAGCTTGGAGGAGACATCGAATAGGCTGAGGGTGGGACGGAGCAGAAAGCAACTTCGGCATCACGACGTCGGAAATGAGAATAATACTCAAACGGAATGCATATGAGTATAATCGAATTGAAAGCCGTACTAGACGACAAGATACAAGCGCTTGTCAAGCCATATGTCTGGGATTCTATTGGTGTTAACGGCAACGGGCTGGTGTTCAGTAGATTCAACACTAAGGCGTGAAGTCGAAGTTTCGGTTTGGTTTCGCCGATGACGTCGGGGATTCGCCGAAGCCAAACCGAAGCATCGACAACATTCGGACGAACATATACACAATTAATGGTCAAGTCCACGTGCGGGAAAACATCGAGATCGGTTCCTACAAAGACTGTACATAAAGTCGAATTATACCGATATAGCTACCCATGAAAATGCCGAAACCCAAACCCCAAATAAGATCATAATCATATACAGGAATCGGAATCCCATCAGAATTAAGCTAGTTCATCATCATCGTCTGTTCCCATGTATCGCCGCTCGGCCAGATCCCGAATCTTGTCTTCCAGCACGCCTCGCCCATATCGTTCAGCGATCTTGGCTGCGGCTTCGATCATCTTTCCATTGCGATCCTTCATCATACGAACTAACTCCAAGGCCTTCATGCCTCGCTCCTCGCCTTCTCTGCACTCAACTGCGAGCATCTGCAGAAGGATCTTATCCAGTTCGATCTCTTTCCTGGCCAGCTCGGCCCGTTGACTGGACGTCGCATTGGTCGAGGACAGGAGATCCTGGAGCAGGGAGAGGAGAACGTTGCCACGGACAAAAGACTCCTCAAACCGTGCCGAAGCGTCGTTGCGAGATTCATCGCCCTCGTCGTCGGATGCTTTCTGCGGCCTGTCGGATATCGGGACCCGGAAATCGAACTCGCTGAGCAGTGGACGTGGGAAGTACGGATATCTATCTCCTCCTTTGAGAATGATGCAATGGAATTTCTCTTGCGCAACTGCCACAGGCCAGTAAGTTTCCTCTTTTCGCCCGCCTGCCAATCGCTCAAGCTGTTTTGTATCAAGTAATGGAACCCAGCGAGCCTGGCCGTTAGTACGCCAGTGCTGCAAGATGAGAAGGACACCTTCGGAATCGTAGATGCAAGGATCCTGGGAATATTATGAGTATGCCACCAATACTGTCATTGATCCGCGCCGAATACTCACCCCTGTATCAGAAAAGAAGACGCTTCGTAATTCTGAGCCCTCGGGAAGAGCAACCACGTCCTCGTTTTGACATACTTCATCCCTCTTGACGTTCTCAATGGAGTACGTGAGAGTCGCAGTGAGGCCATCGCTCCCCAAGGGTCCGTTACCAATCGTCATCACGTAATCGCGCCATGCAGCGCACGTCACAGCCGGGCTTTTTTGTCTGTACACCTTATAAGGCGTCCCGAATAGTGTATACACACGAACGTAGTCCTTGGTCGTCACAGCAACAATATATGAATCACTTAGCGCCAGCGCTATTATCTCCGTCAGCTGCCAGTCTCGAATGAATCGGGCTCACAGTGCCTACCTCTGATCAACTCTCCTTGAGGTAGCTGTGTCCGCCAGTCCGCACGCGTGGTCCAGGTCTCATGAGGGCGATAGAATATAGTAGCGGGACTGCCATCGGTTGGATTATTCGAAAATAAAGTCCCATTCTCGTCTAGAAATAATTAGCATGCATCTCTACAGCTGGATGGTGCTCCTTACTGAGACATGCGCGGTCATAGAGGTAGGGGTCGGTGAAGTGAAAGTCACGGTGTAGTTCTCGGTCATAAAATTCCACGGTCACCGTATTATGAGTCTCTTGATCGACTGTCCACACACAGCCGGTCAGGTTCAAACCTAGCTCAGTCAGCATACTGTTACTCTGCTGACGCTCGAAACCGAGACATACAGAGATACCGCCGATTTCCTCTCCAAGGTGTGCTCCCTGGCTGAAGAGGAGGGTGTGCCTTGGGCTTTGTGTAGCTGGTCAACAATCGTTTCTCCGCGGGGCCGGCAATATCGTCAAGATGTCCATTTGTTCGCTTGCCGTAGAGATTGACGCCCTCCGCATAACCAGCCCCATCATCATCCTCGACAAAGTCCTCCATGCCCTGATCCGAACCAAGGAGATCATCGAGAGAATCGGGGGTACCTCCCCTTCCCGGCCGCTCTATTGACTCTTTCGGTCTGCTTGTCAATGGTCGACCGGCATTTCCAGACACCTCCGCCAACACGCCAGGAAAGATAGGGGCGGCCTGGAGAGGCTTCTGGATATGATGCTGATGTTCCTTTGGCACAAACCCATCGTAGATGAAAAGCTCACCGTCTGACGTTGTAAACGAGAGCGAATTATTGGTAGGGTGCCAAGCAAGATTGATAACGTTGGCGAAGTCGTAACGGTGCAGAACTTGCTGTGTTTTGGTTTCCCAGATTAGAATCTTGCCGTCGGCACCAGCTGTCGCAAGAAGAGCCCCGTTCGGTGACCAGCTGACCGAGGTAATATCTCCGTTGTGCCCACCCGAGAAGACCTTTTCCTTCTTCCATTCGGATACAGAATAGACTGCGATGTCTCTAGTCACTTCTGCAGCTGCGAATGCTGTTCCATCAGGGTGCCAGGCGACTTTTGCCGTTGCTTCGTCCTCCGCTTCAAGTCGTCGGATGACGCCGTCTAATTTCCGTACTAATTCTGGCTCATCCGAGAAAGTCGAATAAATGTAAAGCAGACCGTCCGTGCACGAGACAGCTATGTATCGTCCGTTTGGATCGAAGGAAACGTGCTTTGTGCCTTTGGCTTGCTCTCGGAGGTATTTAACTTTCGTCATGTCTTCGATGTTGACAATCTTGACCGTGAGCTCACTGGATACTGTCAGCTTTGCGCACGAAGACCACCTTCAAGTAGAATTAGACTGACTCGCTCGCAACTGCCACCCACTCTCCGTCCTTGGAAACAGCTAGGTCTCGGACGGGCAGCGCACACCGTACAAGCAGCTGTTCCATCTTTCCTGATCCTATCCCATACTTCCAGACGGTGCCATCTTCCGCTCCCATAATAAACGAGTCATTCTGCGAAGCGCATTAGTCTCTAGTAGCCCCTCGAAGACACGTCCAACATACTGTAGCAACGACGCCCAAGTTACCATCAACGCCATCGTCGATCGTCTTCGGTTCGCCGTCTTCGCCGACAGTATAGACTCGGATCGCAGAGTTGGAACCGCCAGTGACAATCCGACGACCATCCGGCGTGTACGTCAACACTGTTGTTCCAGGCGTATCTGAAAGAATGAAAACACTGTTAGCCAACCCCCATTATTATTTAATGGCTTCACTTACGGGCCGGTCTGCCTCTGGGGCGGAGCGCTTCTGTCGCCATGGTAGATACCGATCAATAAATGCCGGTAGAGGTGAGCCCTGGAAACACAATCATAAATTCTGCGCTATACATCTAAATCCAGCTCGACGCTGGGTCAATTCCACTGCTCGAGTCACTAGAGGTTTCTCCGACAGCGCAATGCGGAGCATCACCGCCAACGCGTGTCTTGCGCGGGGACGCGTCGACGCGGCGTTAATGACTTTTAACCTGGTCGGGAAACTCAGGGCTTAGGGCATGGGGTAAGGGCAGGAGCAATCGTTATACTCAACCTCTAACACTTATTTTATAAGTAGATCATGGTCAGTATTCAATTTATCTATTCAGACGTACGATTGGCTGACTATCCATCAACTAACATCTAATGGCCCGACGGCCGTCAGGAAGTCAAAATCGGCTCCGTCTTGAGCCTGGTTGACTGACCGTTCATACAAGCCCCGATACCCTCTTCTCCGCGTTCTGTCCAACCAGGCTTTGGCTACCTCTGAGCTTTCTCTCTTCCTCGCCTCAATACGTGATTTGAATTCTTCATCGGAGATTTCCAGGATCAGCTTCCCGTTATCGGCATCGCAAGTGATCATGTCACCAGTCTGCACCACCCCGAACGGCGACTCTGGCAGCGCTGATTCTGGCGAAATATGGAGGACAATAGTGCCGCCTGCTGTTCCTGACATCCTTCCGTCCGAGAGGCGCAACATATCCTTGACGCTTGCAGAAGCGAGCTTGCGCGGTATGGGAATCAGACCGGCTTCTGGCATGCCGGGATTGCCGATGGGACCTATTCCCTTTAACACAAGCACGGAGTCTTTGGTCACGTCCAGGTCCGGATCATCGATCCTTTTAGCCAGGTCTTCTGGATTCTCAAACACGACAGCTGGTCCTGTGTGCGAAAGAAGTCTGCGATCTTTGGAAGCGGACGCTTTTATGATAGCGCCGTCCGGTGCGATATTACCTCTGAGGACAACGAGAGAAGACGATGGGTAGAGCGGATTCGATAGTGGTCTGATAACCTGCTGCGAAAATGGGAATGTGCGAAAGGGAGAAGCGTCCAAGACCTCGCCCAAAGTCTGACCAGAGATTGTCATGGCCGAGAGATGTAGAAGGGGACGAAGGGTATGCAGTAGTGCCAGCATACCCCCAGCATTATGAAAATCGTTCATATAGTTGTCACCGCTGGGCTTCAGATCAATCAGCAAAGGAGTGCTTCGCCCAATCTCCGCGAAAGTATCCAACGTTATAACTCCCTGGAGCTTGGGATGCCGATTAACAATAGCCATCAAATGAACTACGGCATTTGTCGATCCCCCGATCGCTTGAAGGACTGTGATCGCATTCAAAAACGACTCTTTCGAAAGAATATCTTGCGGTCTTCTCTTAGCTAGTGCCGCGGCCACAGCATCGGCTCCCGTCTCTTCTGCGATTCTGACCCTGGCAGACGAGACTGCGGGCGCAGAAGCGCCGCGCAGGGGCATCAACCCTAGAGCGGCGGTGATGCAAGCCATCGTACTGGCAGTGCCCATCACACCACAGGTCCCGATCTAGAAGCCTGAGTCAGTACGATGCACTACCACAAATTGTGAGTCGCTGGAGCAGTTGGGACAAACCGTCGGTGCAAGCTCGTCATTGATAGCCGAGATCTCCTCTATGTCTATGTCTCCTGCACGAAAAGCCGCCCAGTTGTTGCGGCAGTCAGTACAGGCACCTATTCTCTGTCCGCGATGGCTTCCCGGTATCATCGGTCCCGTTACTAGCGGCAAGACTGGCTTGTTGGCCGAGATACCACCCATGAGTTGTGCAGGGACGGTTTTGTCACAACCTAGCTCAGTCAGTCTTGACCATCCTATGCTTGGGGTGCTGGCTTAGCTAGAATAGGGAAGCTTGTAAACGGACCTCCAATCATGATGCACGCGTCCAGCGGCTGGGCTCGAATCATTTCCTCCGTATCCATGCTCATCAGATTGCGCAGGAACATGCTGGTCGGATGAGAGAATGACTCATGTATACTGATAGTAGGGAACTCTATCGCCAGGCCCCCATTGAGCTGGATCCCGCGCTTAGCAGCCTCGATCAGCTGGGGTACATTCGCATGGCAGGGGTTGAACCCCGAAAAGGTATTGATAATGCCAATGATAGGACGGGACAGAGCATCCTCCGAGTATCCCAATGCCTTTATAAAGACCTTTCTGAGGAATAGAGAAAAGTGTGCATCTCCATAAGATGTCAGTCCCTGACGCAGACCAAAGTCAGAGGATATTGGTGCTGATAGATCATAGTCTCCGCTTAGGGAATATTCCGCCTTGTCGTCCTGCATCGTTGTCGACTGAACACAGCAATCACGGATTCAAAATATATATTTGCTGGCTTTTTCTGCATTCAAATGCAGAACATGAGCCTTCTATGTCCTCGCTGATGAGGCGATCAAGTATGCCGATAGCGTCAATATCGGCACAACTCCGTGATCCGGATATTTCTCCGCATCACCTGTATAGTAATAAGATGCATCTCACATGTGGAGTACACCAATGTTCTGAGGCTTAGGATGAAACCCTTCATCAACAAGATGGGTTCATGCTGAGTATGGCTATCATGACGGAAATCAGATCGATTCAAACCGAGGCTACAGGTCAATGATCACTCAAAAGGGGACTTCATGGACAAGCTTTCGAACATGGTGGCAAGCGGCTATATCTACATCCAAAGAAATATTATCCAAATAATATGTAATCCGGGCCGTCAAAGTTGTAGCTTTCCAATTTTTATACGCGCATTCTCAAGCGTACTCTAATGTCATTCTTAGGCAAATACGCTCCGCTGGAAGGCCTGTGTCCTGGAATCGTGAAATCTTTGCCACTTGCCGGTTCGATGTCCCACATTGAAATGATTGCAGCAGAGAATAGTAGAATCGTCCTTTCAGCGAGAGCGCGGCCCTTGCAACCAGAAACGCCGCCTCCGAATGGATAAATGGTGTGCATGTCCGCCTTTTGTGCGCCTGTGTCTGGATCTGAGACGACAAACCGTAGCGGATCGAACTGCTCCGGGTTAGAGAAGAGTTGAGGGTCTCTCTGGACCACCCCGTGAGCCATGATTATGTTTTCTCCCTTCCCAATTCGGTAGGTGCGTGGTTCGGCCGAACCGGCAGCTGCAGCATCTTCAGAGGACTCAGTAACAGTCAAGTCAGAGGTGACTTCACGAAAGGAAAGTCCTGCTGAATCTAACCGCATGGTCTCATAGAAGCTGGCTTTGAGTAGTGGGCAAGATCGAAACAACTCATCCGGATCAAGGGAGACCTTAGGGGGTTCTTGGAATGGGAGCCCTGTCTCCTCGCGACTGGGCCTATGGACCTTTGCAAAAGGAGCAATCTCCTTTCGAATTTCCTCCAGAAGAGCAGGGTCGGAGTAGATGCGAAGAATGTGCCAGAAAACAACGTTGGGTGAGTTGGCGTTCAGGGCCCAGAAAAGAGACAAATGACCAGGGGCGCTGGACCTCGGCGATAGTCCAAGTTCTTTAAACTTCCGGATTCGTTGCTTCATCGGCTCTGATACATCGTCAAGATCGCGAAACTTGACACCAGGGTCATTTCCTTCATCCCAAGAGACGAATGCCTGGTGGTAAGCTGCAAGAGCATCCAAGATGCGATCACGCGCTGCATATGTGGCCGAAAGACCTGGCAATGGTAACCAGCGGGGAGCACCAAGCGACAGGGCGGGGAATCTGTTATCAAAGTCCCACATATCATCAAGTAGATTAGGAAAGGCTTCAAGAAACGCTTGTCCCATGGAGACGGATGTGCTGATGTGGCCCACGAAGTTTCTCACCAGAGCAAAAAGGTTCACTTCAGCCACAGGTTTCTCCTGCCCATCGATAACTTCAGCTTCGCTCCTCCGCTCCCACGGCGCCTGGTCAACCATGCTACGACAGAACGTCACTAGATTAGGAGTTTCGCGTTCAGTGATGTCCTTGGCGACCTTGGAAGCCTCTGTGAGAAACGGTTCTCGCATTAAGAGATTGGGGATATTGTGATGGATGATATGGTGGTCAGTGGCGCCGAGGTTACGAATCGCGCCCTTATCACCCCCGACCTTTTCCAACGCATAATTGACCAATGCAGTAGATGACATGCCACGGGAGGCCAAGATGGCCTTAGTGAGCGACGGTGACACTACGACATCGTGCTTCGAGCCACCCAAAACAATCCCAAATACAGCTTCGTGCATGTAATCTCTGTCTTTCCAATCAGCCACTTAACGCTCTACAACTGACAGTAAGGTAAGCACGCACCTCGCCCTTCGAACGAAGTTGATATGATCCCAGCCAAAGGGAATGCTATGTCCTAACCATGGGAGCCAGTAGGGGACCAGCCTTACTGCTCTTGGACTTCCTGCATCTGTCCTCTTATCGGGCCAGCTTTTGAGGCCAGTAATGATGCGGGTAGCAAGACATGAGAAGAGAAAAATAGCCAGCAAGGTCGGCCACATCCACTCTCGAACATCGTCCATAGACAATTGTAGCAGGCTACTTGGGGCTATTTTATGAGTTTCCATTATCCCCATCCGAGGAAACCGAGCAGAAGCTGTAAAGGGGAGACTGCCCTGGCAATGGAGGGAATGCTAAAAGACCAAGAGAGGGAAAACAGACATATGAAGACAAGCCAGCAGAATAGTCAAATAGCAATAAAAGCCAGATCAATGATGGGAGCAAAGTTACTTAATAAAAGAACAACGCAATTTCATGATGTCAGTGATTATTCAAATTTATCTATGAAAACAAGAGACGCATTGAAACAGAAGGATCCTGAATCTCCATCAGGATTGTGTAATATTGTGTACCTTAAGCATGGGAACCGTAATTTACGCAGTTTGCTTACTCAGCAGTTTACCGTGGGTCAAACACTCAAAACTGCTGCTATCATTGAGGTGCTCACTATGTTTCAAGACGCTATGCTTGAGCGAATTCAGAATTTCAACCTGGCTCCATTGATATAGTATACAGATCGTTACATCATCAGACATAACTGGTTGACGCGACTCACGACTCATACATCATCAAATCAATGTTCGCTTCGAAGAATCTTCTGTAGATATGCACTTTCCTTCTCATATTTCGCAATCTTGTTCTGCGAACTGTATACTTTGTTGAGCAACCATTGGATTCGGTCTGTCAGTTCCCGTGGCTGCCTAGGCAGAGAGCCCAACAGGCTGAGTTCTTCCTCGTATTTTCCAATGCTCTTATTCTCTTTGTCGATCTTCTGTGCTATGATTGCGAGGTCCATGCGACTGCTCAACGCTTTGTTCTCGGTGACCTTCTTGAAGGCTGCGCGAAGAACGGGTTTTCCAGGCCGGATTGCCTGGGGGCAGCCGTTGACGGCGGCGATTGAAATGAGTTCGGCGTGCTCGAGAGCGCGAAGGGTGATCTCTCCATTCTCTTTGAAGAGCTCGGAGAGAACAATTTCATTGTATGACAGAGCACCATCTTTCGACTCTGCAAGCCTTTTGATCAGATACCAAGCCTGTTCGTGGGTCCACGACTGCTCTATAGTTTCCGGCGTCAAAAGGAACATCTTGAGAATTTCAGATGCCGATTGTTCGATAATGCGGTTGACCGCGCCTTGAGCGTATGTTAGTAATCTATCAATAGAACGTGACTGGTGCCCTTTGACGTACCTCGCGGTGTCTCTCCCGCCTCAATACGGTGTGCCATGAATTCAAGATCTGTCACCCTGCCTCCCAAAGTCTCAATGCAAGCGTCTAGGTCCTCCAGCTCTTCAGCCCGCCGTGGCTGCGTCTTTCCATCCTTTGACTCATATGCCAAGTGATTCACAACAAACTTTCGGCCGACCTCCAGAGAACAGTCACCTAGGGTGATTGTGCGGAAAACCGAATTTGGCAACGCTTTGCTCAAAGGTTTGGCGTACGAGACATCGGTCGTGAGGAATATGACATGGGCAATGTTTCCAGCCGTTAGGCCAGCGGCCCACTCGGTGATCTTGTCGTACACAACGCTGCTCTCCGAAGCATTGTGCAGGTAGTTGTCGATTACCACCACTGGGCGAAGCTCGGGATGAGCCTCAAGATACTCTTCATCGGTGAGATGCGAGTCCTTGTCATTCTTCTTTCTGTGCTCCAAGGTCACTTTCTTCAAAGCGGTAGCCGTGTTTTGCCAGATGTTGCTCAGCTGGGCGTCCAACGTCTCCGAGAACCCTGCCTTGGTTCCAATCATTCCCTGTGCCGCGAGATCGATAAAACTGCTGATGCTGTTCATCCATGAGAAAACCGGCCGGTAGCCTACCTGGCTGGCTGCCCTGGCAATTTTCGCACTGTCACCCCGTGCGTCTTGGATTTGTTTACAGTCGATGAGTAGCTTATATTTGTAATCGACCAGGGCCCGGTCCAACACAAGCTCCCGCTTGCCCGAGCCACGGGGTCCATGAACAACGATGAAAGTTTCCACATTCTCCATTAGCCAGGATTGCAGTCGAGTAATGTCATCCTGACGGTCCTCCCATATGGCCGTGAGCCCGCGAGGATCCGCCCCTTTGCGACCAAAATAAATGATGTTTGCTTTGTTGACCTGTTTGCGGATCCATTGCATCACACCATTCTCTTCGGTTTGCAGTGTCGACTTTATTTTCAGTTTGATGAAAAATGTCCGCATTGGATCGAAGATGGTGACGCTGAGGGCGGCCAAGAGGGCGGCGAGCACCGGAATAACTATCCTGGGATGACTCAAAAGCCAGTCCTTGATCATGGACAGCTTGATCTTCCGCTCGTACTTTATCTTGAGCCGAGTACCCAATTTGCCGCCACCCTCTTGTTCTGGAACAGTGAATCCGTGCATACAGTTCTTCGCCATGCCAGCGTACTTGGGCCGAGAAAATTCCACAAAGGCGTACCTGGGCGTGACCTTCGAGTCAGACGGTTGTTTCTCTATGTCTCTGATCTTCCCATAGGGGCGAAATAAAGTGTATAGAGTTTCCGTGTTCAGATCTGCCGCTGATGCTTCGGGAGACACAGGGTGGAACGCAACCTTGAGCCGGGGGCTTGGAAGGCGATAGAGATCTTCTATCCAAGGCCGTCCAATGACCCGACATACTTGAACTGCTTGAAAAGGATTGAACCAGGGCCTAATGGGATGCTCTTTCAGATTCTCTTTGATAGAGGCTTCAATGTCGGCGTCGTCGACATTGCTTGGACGAGTGTACTTGACAAACGCGCCCCCTTCCCTGAACCGCGGAACGACCTCTTTAACGTGGATATTCAGGTTCTTTGGAACAACTCGTTGGATGATTTGCAAAGTATCCGATGCAGCCAAATGCGGTCTGTCGATGCGCTTCACGGCCTCCTCGTAGGACCGCATACCACCCAGCGGACCCCGCAGCAGCCATTGGAGTTTAGACGGAAAGATATCTAATTTTGAAGCATTAAATTACGCGTAGGATGATTCATGGAGAATAAGGCAAGGTCTTACTATTGATAAAAAGGAGCCCCTCGTTTTCTTTCAGATCAATGTGTCCTGTCTCGAGCCATGACACTGCATGTGAAGTACTCCATCTTGCATAGCGGACTCGAGTCAGTTGTGAAGGAGGAGGTTTCCAGGGAGGGGTCTGGCAGATTCGCGGTACCAAACCCGGGATTCGAGTTCGCATCATCGCGGCGAGGATGACATTCTCTTTTGAAGATTGGAGAAGAGTGTTGCCGAAGATGACTGTGATGGATTGATATCCAAGAGTACTTTTATGAGGGGAAGCTTCGTGCCTGCTTATGACGTCGATCATGAGACCAAGTGTACAGCCAATATAGTATGTAACAATATTTATTACACCAGTGCTTATAAGTTACTAAAATTACCGTCACAGCGCGTTTGCGGGATGAACTGCGAAATTTACAACTCCGAAGATGATGATCGTTTTTGCAACCAAAGGTGTAATTTATTGACGTGGATAACTCGATCCACAAGACAAAAAGATCCCTCCATCCCAAATCTGCCAGCACACGATAAACTCGAAATGGGCTGGCTTTGGAGATCATCACCCTCGAAGGAGGAACCTCAAACAACCTCCTCTATGCCTTCTTTGTCCGACAATGCGGCACCGCAGCCATCACCTGCAGCAGAGACACCAGGCACCACGCCGCCATCGTCGCAGTCTCGGCCCTTGAGTCGCGAGGAACAAGCGGATGCAGAGTTCAACCAGTTACTGGAGAGCTTAAAGGCCGACGTATCACGAACAAAATCGCCACAGCAGTCGTCCAGTGTCTCAGAATCTCACCTATCCTCATCATCACTTTCCGGCCCTCCGCAACCTCCAGCTTCGATCGCCCCCGAGTCTCTCTACCCCGATTCCATGTCCTGCCGCTCTGCGTTTGACTACGCGTTTTTCTGTCAGTCATTTGGAGGCCAGTTTGTGAACGTATACCGCTACGGCGAGCTGCGGTCGTGCAGCGAACACTGGGATAATTTCTGGCTGTGCATGAAGGCCCGCGGAATGGCGGACGAAGGGCGCAAGAAAGTGATTCGGGACCACTACCGGAAAAAGGCCGTCAAGTACAAGACGGGGCCGAGCAGTGAGGATGTCTGGGACCTTCGGGGGGAGCCAGTGCAGAACGCTTTCCAGGGGGATTTTGCCGCACTGGAGAGGGAGATGCAGGCCGAGGAGGAAGCAAGTCGCAACGCTGGTGGGATATAGAGATTCTTCGCTTTTGGACCATGTCTTTCTTGTGCCTCTTTCGTACCATCTGGATTGGATACCTGTCCCCTCTGGGACGATTGTATTATACATTGTGGACTACGGAGTTCATCTTATGCTTAGCAACTGGGATACTACTGAATGAATCAAGCCTTATTATCCTTGACTCGTCGCTCCAGTTTCAAACATGCATAGCTGCTCTTTCATGACTCGACGATTCAGAGAAAGGAAGCTCTCCGCCGGTGACACATACAAAGCATTGTGTCTAGAACAAGGACAAAGAAGATCCGCATCGATGCCCTTGTTCTCATTGTTCATCCTGCATCGAGGTTCGTTATCAAGGCTCCAAGTCAACGCATGTCTCATATCGCTGTCACAGACCTCAGAGGCTGAGCAGGCCACTATGATTATAAAAGCAGAGGAACCGCGCAGCGAAAATAATGAAGCTACAACTCAACAATTCCTGCATTCCCCCAATCCCCCAAACCTAGCTTCAAGATGAAATCTCGTCTAACTAACCTCCTGCTCCTAATCATCCTTATCATGGACTGCTCGCCTTCGCCTCCAAGGCCCCAATCACCACCGTTGTCCCCACCACCACGACGTCGTTCTCGCAGACGACGGCGGTTCTCAGACCACTTCGCGTGCGGTCACGGCTCCCACACTGACGAAGGAAACAGGTATCCGCTGGAGCGCATGCAGTCGCACGAAAGACACAGCGACAACCACCAGAAAGACGATACCTCACCCTCCAGAAAGGCCGTCCACTGGGGACCCGTCACTAAGATCCCGAGTCCCGACTACAGAAGCCGCGAGCGCGAGCGCAGCCCTAACCCATCATCATGCAGAGTCGCGGCCAAGCCATGCTTGAAGCCGCCCACTCCCTTGGATCAAGAGATGGTCCAGAGGAACCTTCGGGCCATGGTGGACGAGTCTACGCACCGTCTGAACATGTACTACAACGCCATGGAGTACTTCTCCGGTGACGTCGTTCTGGACGAGGTCATGTGTCAGGATGAGAGACAGCTTTTTCAAAAGGCAAGGAGACAGTCTTTGAAAGATACATTCCGCTTCGCCGGGTCGCCATCTCACACTCCGTCCAGGTCGAGCTCGGGAAGATCGCTCCGAGATGAATCTATGCAGAACGAGTAGCGAAGTGTCACGACATCCAATCGTCTTCTCCTGGCATTAGGGATCAGGACTGGCGACGGGAAGGTAAGCTCTTAATAAAGCCTCAGAAGCAGAACAGACTCGACGAGTTTCAACTCTTTTCTCGGATACCCTACTGGGTGAGCAGCATTATCAGCGATCAAGAACATCCTCGACGGAACGAAACCGCAGACGGATGAGGTACGCCTCCTTTGTGTCTCTTTCTTTTACATTCCTGCCAGCAGATTTACACGAAAACCCGAGGTCAATCCACCAACTTTGTCGGACTGAAATTACTCTATTTCCTTGTTTTCGAAACGGTCCCCTTTGAAACACAAACAGCACGAAAAAATATAGAATAAGTTTCAGATTGATGATAGAAAAGGATATGTACATAAAACATAAGACATAGAACTTGCGGGAATCGTAAAAGCTCCGGCGACACCTTGAATGTTCACCATAAGGTCATGTAAAACGACGCTGCAACCAAAAGCAAACTCGCCTTTATCCGAAGAATAATCAGAAAGTGAGGTGCGCGACGTGAAAAGAGTCAGCGAGCCTCCCTCTGTCACATCCATGTAATCGTGATGCGCCTAACATGGTAGATACAATTGACCACCCTGTAACGGATTCGGGATTGATCAAGGACTTTTCAACAACAAAAGAAAGATATCTTAAATCATTATCATCATGGAACTACTGTCACAGCCCCAGACGTAGCAAGGTCACAATCATCTAGGCGACAACAGTGGCGGTCTCGCTTGTCTTCGGGACCATGTCAATGGCTGGCCGGCGAACGATGCCACCAGTCACAGGAAGCTGAGAGCTGGTGTCCATCAGGAAGCTGTCAACTTCACGAGCACATTGACGGCCTTCGTTGATACCCCTAGAAGACAGTGTTAGTTACAATACGTTGGTTTACCCAGCCTTGAGTCAATTTTGCATGGGCGTAGACTTACCAGACAATGAGGGACTGTCCTCGGCGGCAGTCACCAGCAGCAAAGACGCCGGACACACTGGTTGAGTAATGACCTGGAGGGGTCTTGACGTTCTTACGGGCATCACGCTCAATTTCATCGCCCAGAAGGCGGTCCTCGGGACCGAGGAAACCCATAGAAAGGAGAACAAGGTCCGCAGGGAAGAACTGTTCGCTACCCTCAATGGTCTTCATATCCCAACCGCCAGAGGCGCTCTTGGTCCATTCGACACGGACAGTGTTGATACCCTTGACGTGACCGTTACCGTCGTCGACAAATTCAGTAGACATGACACAGAACTCGCGAGGGTCCTTACCCATGTGGGTCTTGACCTCGGAGTGGCCGTAGTCGACACGGTAAATACGGGGCCACTGGGGCCATGGGTTGTCACGGGCACGCTCTGGTGGAGGCTGAGGCAGCAACTCGAAGTTAACAACAGACTTGGCACCATGGCGAACAGAGGTACCAATGCAGTCGTTACCAGTGTCACCACCACCAATGACAACAACGTGCTTGTCCTTGGCCGAGATGTACTCGCCGTCCGAGAGACCCGAGTCGAGAAGAGACTTGGTGTTACGGTGCAGGAACTGCATGGCAAAATGTACACCATCCAGCTCACGGCCAGGGACCTTCAGATCGCGGGCAACTGTGGCACCAGTGGCGATGATGACGGCGTCATTGCTTTGGCGCAGCGAGTTCAGGGACACCTCGCTGTCAGGGCCAACGGCAGTGTTGGCGACGAACTTGACACCCTCGGCGGCCATGAGGTCGACACGGCGTTGGACGATCTTCTTATCAAGCTTCATGTTGGGGATACCGTACATCAGCAGACCACCAATACGGTCAGCACGCTCGTAGACAGTGACGCTGTGGCCGGCACGGTTAAGCTGGTCTGCAGCAGCGAGACCAGCGGGTCCGGATCCAATAACAGCGACTGTCTTGCCGGTGCGTGTCTTAGGGGGCCGGGGGACCATCCAGCCCATCTCAAAGCCACGGTCGATGATGGCACATTCGATAGACTTAATGCCCACAGGATCTTCGTTGATGCCCAGCACACAGGCGCCTTCGCAAGGGGCAGGGCAGACACGACCAGTGAATTCCGGGAAGTTGTTGGTCATGAGCAAACGGTTGAGAGCATCCTGCCATTGGTTCTGGGTAAGGACTATTAGCACTGCTACGGCTTAAGTGAATTGACAGCGATGGGTTTTACCTGGAATACCAACTCATTCCATTTGGGAATGATGTTGGAGATAGGGCAACCAGTGTCAGATTGGCAGAAGGGGACACCACAGTCCATGCAACGAGCGGACTGGTACTTGAGCTCATCTTCACTGAGACGGCTCGACAGCTCGGCCCAGTCCCGGGTACGAGTAGCCGGGTTGCGGTACTTCTCGCTGCGTCGGCTGTACTTCATGAAACCCCTCGTCTTGTCGAGAATCAAAGCGGACCTCTTCTTCTCAGTCTTTGAGTCGCTCACGCTGTCTTCAATGTCCAGCATCTCGGCCTTCTTCTCCTCTCCTTCCGTCTTGGGCTTGGGCTTCTCGGCAGGAGTGCTGGGAAGCTGGGGGATAGTGAATTCGGCCTTCTTAGCAGCAGCGGCCTTGGCAGCTTCCTCCTCCAGAATGCGCTTGTAGTCAGTAGGCAGCACCTTGACAAAGTGGGGAAGAGCACGGGTGAAGTCCAGAAGAATACGAGCAGCCAGTTCTGAGCCCGTGTAGTGGTGGTGGTCCTCGATCAAACCGCGAACAAAGGCGATCTCGGCAGGGTCTTCCAGGCCCGAAACCTCGACCATCTCCATATTAACCTTGGAGAGGAAATCCTGGTTCATGTCCAAGACATAGGCGATACCACCGGACATACCAGCAGCGAAGTTACGACCGGTCGAGCCAAGAATGAGCACACGACCACCGGTCATGTACTCACAACCGTGGTCACCAACACCTTCAACAACAGCAGTAGCACCGGAGTTACGAACAGCAAAACGTTCAGCGGCCACACCACGGAAGTAGCAGGTACCCCGGGTAGCACCGTAGAGACAAGTGTTACCGATGATGATGTTCTCCTCTGCCTTGTAGGCAGCACCGCGAGGCGGATAGACAATGAGACGACCCCCAGAAAGACCCTTGCCCACATAATCGTTGGCGTCACCCTCAAGTTCGAGAGTAATACCAGGAGCAAGGAAAGCACCAAAGGACTGACCAGCAGAGCCCTTGATGTTGGCGTGGATGGTATCTTGAGGAAGGCCGGCTCCACCGTAGCGGCGACTGACCTGGTAAGACAGAGTTGCGCCCAGGGCACGGTCAGTATTGACAATGTCACACTCAATTCTGCAAGGCAAACCCTTCTCCAGCGCTAGTTCCGACTCTGCGATCAGCTTGTTGTCAAGGCGGACATGCAGACGGTGGTCTTGCTTGCGGACATTGTAAGTAGCCACGCCAGGACGGAGGGAGTGAGCGGGAGTCAGGATGAGGGAGAGGTCAATTCTCTCCTGCTTAGGGGTGCGAATGTCCTCCCTGACCTTGAGCAACTCAGCACGTCCAACCATCTCGTTGACCGTGCGAATGCCCAGCTTGGCCATGATAGCACGCATCTCATTAGCCACATAGTAGAAGAAGTTGATCACGTGTTCGGGCGTGCCCTTGAACTTTTGGCGGAGTTCGGGATCCTGAGTTGCGATACCAACAGGACAAGTATTCAAATGACATTTCCGCATCATGATGCAACCAAGAGCGATCAAGGGAGTGGTGGCGAAACCGAATTCTTCAGCACCCAGCAAACAGGCGATAGCGATATCGCGACCAGTGCGAAGTTGACCGTCAGTCTGAACCACAACACGACCACGCAGATCGTTGAGGACCAGAGTCTGATGGGTCTCAGCGAGACCCAGTTCCCATGGGAGACCGGCGTACTTGATACCAGTCCAGCGAGAAGCACCAGTACCACCGTCGTGACCGGAAATCAGAATATGATCAGCCTTGGCCTTGGCGACACCGGAGGCTACGATACCGACACCAACCTCAGACACCAGTTTCACAGAAACGCGGGACCGAGGATTGGAGCACTTGAGATCATAGATAAGCTGCTTCAGGTCCTCAATTGAGTAAATGTCGTGGTGAGGTGGAGGCGAGATAAGACCGACACCGGGAGTGGAGTAACGAGTGTGGGCAATGGGGCCGACGACCTTGTGCCCGGGCAGCTCACCACCTTCTCCAGGCTTAGCGCCCTGGGCCATCTTGATCTGCAGCTCGTCGGCATCAGCAAGGTAGTGGGAAGTCACACCGAAACGGCCGGAGGCAATTTGCTTGATGGCAGAGCGCATGGTGTCACCATTCTCCAGTCGCTTGCTACGCTCAGGGTCTTCACCACCTTCACCGGTGTTAGATTTACCACCAAGACGGTTCATGGCGATGGCCAATGTGGAGTGAGATTCCATGGAGATGGATCCGTACGACATGGCACCTGTCACGAAACGACGGACGATTTCAGTCCAAGGCTCAACCTGGTCGATAGGAATGGGGCTCCGTTGCTCGAAGTCGAACTCGAGCATACCACGCAGAGTGCAGTTCTTGATCTGTTCATGAGCGGCCTTCGCGTAAGCCTCATAAGACTTGTCGTTCTTGGTACGGACAGCATCTTGGACATTGGCGATACTGACGGGGTCGTTGATGTGCGCCTCGCCTCCATCACGCCAGTGGTACTCGCCCGATTCAGGAAGTCCGGGAATTTCAATGATGGAACGAGATGGGTATCCGCGTTCGTGGAAGGCATACGCATCCTGAGCGATCAGCTCAAAAGTCAATCCACGGATACGGCTGGCAGTTCCAGAGAAACACCGGTCAATGACGCTGTCATCAATACCGAGAGCCTCGAAGATTTGGGCACCCTTGTATGACTGCAGGGTAGAAATACCCATCTTGCTCATGACCTTCAGGATACCTCCGTCGCAAGAAGCCTTGTAGTTCTCAATGACCTTCTCATCGGAAAGTTGCTTCCGAATCAACTTCTCCCGGTTCATCTTGAGAATAC